TTTGTTCGATAAAAGGTTAAGACTTAAGACATTTCTTATCTTTTGTTAACACTAGGCATGCAAGAGCTTAATTAGTAGATTTAACATAGTAAGTGAAATTTTAAGATTAATTTTTCTGGTTCAGTTTCATATGTCAAGTGACAAGTATCATGTGGATATATCACCAGATTAACCTCGAATTTACCCCTAAATTAAACAATGATCCAAGAACGTGCAACTATACAACAAACAAAGTTAGTGCTGGAACTTTAGTTTAGATTTGTTTGTTTTTTCCAATCAAAGAATAACCAACCACAATATATTCTCATAACGTGCATTTACCTGAACCAAGATGAATCTGCCAGACCCATCCATCACCATCACTAAAGAATTGAAATGAATAAGAGAGAGTGTGTGAGGATACTAAACCGGGTCTCTTTGATACAACAAGTCAACAACAAAGAGTAGGACCATAAGACCACGAACCTAAGGCGTGTTACAATAGACCGGGTTCCATCTATGAACCAACCGGTTTTCAATTTAGTTTAGGGAAATGATCAATTTCTTCATCTTTCGCACTGGTCCAAGCTCTTATCCACTTGTGGCGTTCGGACTTTTTTCTTTAATGTTTCTTTCACTATGACTAGTCAAAAACTGTCTGGATAACTAAGTGGGATTTATAGCTGTCAAAAAAAAAAAAAAAAAAAAAACTAAGTGGGATTTATTATGTGTGCTGGGCTAGGCCCATAAAACTCTGACCGAGCTGGGTCTGTAATAATTTTATTTGCAACCCTATTAATGGTGAAAGAAAAGTAACTAATCAAGTAAGAAGTCTATAGCCATCTAAATTCTAAGCTATGAAGCAGCTCAAACCAAAAGAAGAAAATGTAAGAATGATGGACTTTTTTTTACCGGGAAACGTGGCTGATTCACGAGCGTCCATTAGAAAAATCTCGATCCATGGAAAACGGAATGTGGAAGTCACTACCAACGAACTACTCCAAGTACTAAAAGCTAAGCAAACTCACGAAATCGTGTCTTTTTAAATTAAATAAAAAAACTCTGAACATAAAGTTTATAATTTTTTGAGATTTGAGAGAAGCATCATCAACCCATTTGGTCAAGGAGAAGAGAAGCAATGATCTCCGGCGACACATTATCAGCTAAAAAACCCAAATCGGTTCCACCAGAAGAAGACCAAGACTCACCAAGCCAATCAATCGCACTTCTCGACAATCACACAGATTCCTCAGATTCTGATTCTTCCACTAGAAGCATCTCAAGCTGCTTCATCTTCACATCTCTCCTTCTCGTCACCTGCATCGCTCTATCCGCCGCTTCAGCTTTCGCGTTCCTCTTCTTCTCTTCCCAAAAACCTGTCCTTTCCTTAAACCAAGTCTCAAAGTCACCAGCTTTCGACAGATCCGTAGCTCGTCCACTCAAGAAACTCGACAAGCCTGTGGTTCTTTTGATTTCCTCAGATGGGTTTCGCTTCGGGTATCAATTCAAGACCAAATTGCCGAGCATTCACCGGTTAATCGCCAACGGAACCGAAGCTGAGACGGGTTTAATCCCTGTTTTTCCGACACTAACTTTCCCGAACCATTACTCTATCGTCACAGGTCTATACCCAGCTTATCATGGAATCATCAATAACAGGTTCTTTGATCCAGAAACAGGGAACGTTTTCACAATGGCTAGTCATGAACCAGAGTGGTGGTTAGGTGAGCCATTGTGGGAGACAGTAGTGAATCAAGGGCTTAAGGCTGCTACTTACTTCTGGCCTGGCTCTGAGGTACACAAAGGCTCTTGGAATTGTCCTCAAGGTTTATGTCAAAGCTACAATGGGTCAGTTCCTTTTGATGATAGGGTTGATACTATTTTGAGCTATTTCGATTTGCCTAGTAGCGAAATCCCGAGTTTCATGACGCTTTACTTTGAAGATCCTGATCATCAAGGTCACCAAGTTGGCCCTGATGATCCTCAGATCACGGAAGCTGTAGTTAATATTGATCGGCTAATAGGAAGATTAATTGATGGGTTAGAAAAACGAGGGATTTTTGAGGATGTGACTATGATTATGGTTGGTGATCATGGAATGGTTGGAACTTGCGATAAAAAAGTGGTTGTGTTGGATGATTTAGCTCCTTGGATCAAAATCCCAAGTAGTTGGGTTCAGTACTACACTCCGTTGCTAGCGATTAAACCCCCTTCAGGGTATGATGCAGCAGATATCGTGGCTAAGATAAATGAAGGGTTGAGCTCGGGTAAAGTAGAGAATGGGAAGTACTTGAAGGTTTATCTGAAAGAGGATTTACCTAGTAGACTGCATTATGTAGACAGTGACCGCATCCCGCCTATTATAGGACTAGTGGATGAGGGCTTCAAGGTGGAGCAGAAGAACAGTAAAGCCAAAGAATGCGGTGGAGCTCACGGGTATGACAATGCCTTCTTTTCGATGAGAACTATATTCATTGGGCATGGTCCTATGTTCTCAAAAGGAAGGAAAGTGCCTTCATTTGAGAATGTTCAGATATACAATGTTATCAGTTCGATTCTAGGACTTAAGGCTGCACCAAACAATGGATCCGACGAGTTTCCTGCAAACGTTCTATTGCCACGCATGTAGCAGAGTAGGGTAAGTTCATTCTTCTGTCAATAAAAGGCAGTCTAGACTCTTAAGACTTTGTTGTCAAAACAGAAACGAGTTTGATCTGTTAGACTATTTATGCGTTGTGATCTGAATGCTGTTTCTGTATGATTTCATCAACTTAAACGTATTCTAGTATTTTGGAGTATGTAATCGTTAAAACATGTCTTGACATTTGATGCCAAGATTGGAAGCTTTGTACTTTCCTCCAAAGAAACAATGCTTTGAATTGGATACTCGATTCTTTGCCAATAATTGGAAACAATTTAATGTATGTGGGAATTATCAACACTTATCACTGATGTGTCCTATTTTCTTGCAATGATTTAATGTTATGTTTTTTCTTTCATCACTTGGCCTAGTTTGTTAGAACAGAACATATTCACTTATTCCTTAGACCAAAAACCTTCCTCTTTTAAAATCGTCATATACATTTTTGATCCAAAGTTGAAAACTTATCAAACCTAAGTATATATGTACTAGACTTGATTGATCAAAAATACGAATCTAATTAAACCCAAATCGCCTTCATAACGAAACCCAAAACAATTTGATATATTTTCTTTAGATTTTTCTGTGTTTGTATATCAATTCAAGTTGGGCCCAAATAACAAATAAACATAAATGGCATTTTAAGTAAATAAGTTTCTTATCTGCGTTCCGTGTTAAAACACGATTCTAACGGAGAAACAAAAACGCGTTTACACTTTTTCAACGCTAACGATATTATCGACAAAACGCCAAGTGGATGACGGCGGTGTAAACGCTTGAAATCGCGTCTATGTATACTTTGGAGACATGATGAGAGAAATATCACTGGAATCTGAACCAGACAGTTTCTGATCTTCTTCTCCTAGAGGATCACTCGGAGAAGATTCAAAACCAAGACCAATCTCACTCTCTCTGGGTTCATTTAGATGGCTGGAGTTGTACGATTAACGACGACGTCGGTTCAAGCCATTCGCGTCTCCTCGTCCTTCAGCTCCTTTGCCACCGCTCTTAATCCTCTGCAACCTTGTCTACCTCCAAATTCGAATCTGAATTCCGACAAGAGATTGCGTCTTCTCTCATCTTCTCCTTCGTGCTCGTCTTCTCATTATCACCCATCTTCTGGTTTCGGAAGCCATAGCCTTCTTAAACGACCCAAGAGCCAGGTGTTTCGTGTCAAGGTACAAATGTCTAGGCTTTTAGCTAATTCTGTTCGAAAATTGAATACCCTTTTGGAAATTGAGACTCTTGAGCCCATTTCTGATCTCTTCTCTTCCCACTTCAGATGTTTAGAAATTAGTCTAAAGTTTCAGTTTTTCGTTAGATACGGTGCGGTGATGCTATGGATTGATTCAGTATTGGATGGTGATGCTTTTGGCAATAGTTTGAGTGTCTGATGCGTGTTTGTGGTTTAGGTAGATGAAAATGTAGCCGAGACAGAGCCACCGAAATGGTGGGAGAGGAATGCCCCAAACATGGTCGACATTCATTCTACTGAAGAGTTCTTGAGCGCTTTAAGCGGAGCGGGTGATAGATTAGTCATTGTAGAGTTCTATGGAACTTGGTGTGCTTCTTGCAGAGCATTGTTCCCAAAGGTTAGTGTCATGTGACGTATCTGTTTCATGAAACTATAAGAGTTTCATTTCTCTTTCGTGATTCTGAGAGAAATTTTAGATGTTTTTAGTGTATGTTTTGAAAATCTTTTCAGCTTTGCAAGACAGCGGTGGAACATCCGGATATAGTGTTCCTCAAAGTAAACTTTGATGAGAATAAACCGATGTGCAAGAGTTTGAACGTGAGAGTACTTCCTTATTTCCACTTTTACCGTGGAGCTGATGGCCAGCTTGAGTCCTTCTCATGTTCTCTTGCTAAGGTAAAGAAGGCTATTCGGTTTCACCTTTTCCCTTCAAGCTTAGAGAACTGCTTCGGTGTTCTTTTTGGTGTAGGATCTATCAAATATTAGAAACCCTTTGCATGATATTGATACAATTGGGATTCCTGGCATCAACCTATTGATAGATCAAAACCTGTTGAATGCATTTGGTCTGTCTCTGATTACTATTTGACATCCTCTTCTTTGAATATTTGTGTTTCTTTCAGTTTCAGAAGATAAAAGATGCCATCCAACTGCACAATACCGATCGTTGCAGCCTCGGTCCAGCCAAGGTACCTGAAGGATTAACATTAGCCAAACCAGCTGGATCAAGTTGAAGTGCCAGACTTTTAGATATATTACTAAGGCAACAATCTTTGGTTGCTCAAGCAAATACTCAGCTTAAAATTCTGTATATCGTCATATTTTTTGGTGTAAAAGAATACTTCCTGAATCCAGTTACGATTCTTCTGCTAATACGCAAGTGCAAATGTATTTTCACTACTGCTGGTCTATTGATGTATTTTCAATACGCAAAGCAAGCTTATTGATGTATGCATGGTGTGAGGTTGCAGAAGTCTAATTTGCAAAGTTTTGGGGTAAATTTCTAAGTTTCTCAACTTAACGAAGGATAGTGAACAATAAATACAAAAGTTTGTAGAAAAAATGGTGATAACAGTACATGAATCATATGCTACCAACTTGTATAATGTGGCTCAAGTGAAACTAAAGAGAAGTTCAAGGACTGAAAACTAAAACTTAAAGAAATATGAGACTGTTTGGTAAACATTTTAACGTTTAAAGTCTTGCCTTTGATTTCAGATTTTCTCAGGTTCCACGCGCCGCCGCGAAAAATCCGAAATTCGGCGAAGGTTTGAGAGAAGGGAGAAAGCTGAGAGATGCAAGGAGTGTGGAGCCAACTATGGAGGAAATACGCTGATTACAAGTACAATAAGTTCGAGAGATTTGCCGTTTGGGAAATGATCGAACCTTACCGTCGACCAAAAACCTTCACAACTTTGATTACTATCTATGTCGCCGCCTTTTACACCGGCGTCATTGGCGCTGCAGTTACAGAGCAGCTCTACAAGGTAAGCTTCATATTGTTATTAGATTTATGGGTTCTTATCTAATTCTCGTGATTGGCAATGTTAGGGTTCAAAATGTGATAAAATTGGAAATGCTTCATTGTTGATGATTTGGGTATTGTGGATTATTGATAAAGGATTTCGTGTTCAAGAAAAGAACTATACTTGAATTATTCTTCATTGTACTGTTGATTAGGTCTATCAAAGCTATATGAAATTATGAATCCGTTGTTCTGTAGATATATTAAATTCTTGTCAATGAGCAAATAAGTTATGCTTCTTGCTTTAGTGTGAACTTTGTGTTACTCCACTCTGTAAACAGGAGAAGTTTTGGGAAGAGCACCCAGGGAAAACAGTGCCTTTGATGAAGCCAGTATTCTATCGAGGACCATGGAGAGTTTATCGCGGTGAGGCTATTGCTTCAGATGCTAGCAGCCAGTGAAGGTAACGATTAGACTATCAGAGACTATGGTCAAGGATATATCTCTGCGATGTGCATCCTTTATGTTGGCTCGCTGGTATATATACCAAACAACTTTGGATTCTATAGAGTGCATGTGGCCTACTTCGAGTTGTTTAAATGTTCTAGGCATCTCTGGATTTAAGCTGGTCGTCGGTATATTATGCTTGTAGACAATAAGGTCTATCGACTCTGTTAGGATTGATTTTTCCAGAAATTACTTGTAATGACAGTCTCATTATAGTATTAATGATTTTATAAGAGAAGTTTAAGGGTATCCATCTGTTTCTTTGAATATCTCTCCTTCCATTATTAGTACATTGTAATTCTTATGTGCCTGTCTTCTAGTGCCCTGAAATAAAACATTCCCAAATAAGAGAGGTGACCTAACTACCTCAGAAACATCGAGAAACTGTTTTATCTCTTCAAAGGGACCTTCACATTCTTTTTCCATATAGATTCCTCTGGTGATGTTCTCTGTTTTTTTCTTTTCTTTTTTCTTGTTTGTTGCTTGTGAAAGAATATGACAACATATGGCGCTATACCATCCCAAGAAAATGCTTCGTCAAGCCTGAGCTTATTAGGACGAGCCAAAGAATTGATCTTGTTAGGCCTTAGCTCTCAAAGGCCATGGCTTGAACTTGTACAATGTAGTGCCTTTAGCCTTCCTATCTCATTTACTGTTGCCACTGAACGAATCAAAACCAACATCATGATTTTTCGAACCAACTACATTATCATCTTCATTGTTACTATCTTCATCAGCATGCTCTGGCAACCCGTCCACCTTTCTGTCTTTTTTATCTTGATAGTAGCATGGCTATATGTCTACTCCCGTGATAATGAACCATGGGTGATATTTGGCAATGTGATCGATGATTCTACTTTGGTGCTGGTTTTGTTGGTCCTCACGATCGGTATATTTCTATTAACAGATGTATCCCGCGGTATTATGATCGGGGTTTTGGCTGGTTTGCCCATTGTTCTGGTTCATGGCATGTGTAGGAATACAGAGATGTTGTTCGTCTTGGAAGATGATGAAGAGAAGCTGACAATTAACACAGCAAAATCTTCGTCGCTTTCTTCTTCCTCGTAACAACTGAAACACATGATTTTTTGTTTTGGTTTCATGACCGGTGGAGCAAAATCAACATGATGCAAAAAGAACGTTAGCTCTTTTGCGGTCAAAAATTCAGGATTTGGACGTTGAGATGTAATGATATTAGTCAGAGACCATAGTGACACAAATGATACTTTGCCTTGTTGACCTTGAGGTCCTTAAATAGGTTACAATGAACTTCTTTGAGAAACTACAAGAAGTCTAGAATGTACAAATGATGTGAACAAGAGGCGTCTACTTTTTATGTCTTTACTCCTCAAGTCTCAACAAAGTCTCAATCTTTCACGCTTTTAAGCAAAACTCACTCTTATGGAAATGGGCTATTCAGAACTTTTAACTCTTCTAAATTCTGAGACTTTTTTACCTGTGGACCACATATTTATATCAATCTGGTTCATCTTTCATTTACTCATGAATGTAAATTCATGTCCCACCATATAAAATGTGGTAAGGCGTTAACATTTTGGTTTTGCTGACAAAAACCACAACTGTATCCTATCTTGTGATTAGGAAACAATCGAAGGCTTAGTATCAAACGTAATGATTATAGCACTGAATTTTTATTATCCCCAATAAACTTATACAAACAATAACCAAGACAAGTGTGATCCACTTGTCGATTATCGCTAATCACAAATTATACAATCGATTCTTTTCGTTTTCGACAATTCCGAATTGAAAGGTTATGACTTTATATGAACAAAGATATGTTTCTTTGTTTCTCACAATAAATCTCAGTATTCATAACAATGAATGGCCTTGAAATCTTACTTCGGAGCTATAATACAGAGGTGAATTTTATTTTATTTTTTGATCAAGGTGATGACACAAATATATGGATGTATTATTCTAGAACAGAACTATCTGTCTTTAGACCATTAAATTTACAACAACATCTGTGATTAATTGGAGGGTTTTTAATGCATATTAAAAACGTTGGATCTTCTCCAGGACCTGTGCATATGCTCTTGCAATCTTCATCAGTTTTACAAGGGCCTTTGTAGTGACATCTAACATCTTTGTGCAAAAACTATGGAAACAAAAATTCTCAATTAACTCATATTGTATTTAGCATTCGTTTTCATATAAAGAAATAGAGGAAGTTAATCTTACCAGTTGTCTGAGAAGAAAGAAGACTACTAATTAAGAGAATAAAAACAAATTGAAATTTTTGTGATGCCATTATTTGTCTCTGTAACTCTTTTTTGGTGAAGATAATTTCTGTGTGTTTTTTTTCTTCTTCTTTTCTTTTAGTTTTAGAGCTAATGGTCATCTCCCTTTATATAAGAGACTACATGATTACATCCTTGCATCCATTCCTGTCTAAATTATTAAATATAAAAGATCATACAGTATTGCAAAAATATCTCAACGTATTAATTGTGAAAATCTTGGATTAATTATATCCATAATCACTGCAAAAAATATCCAAATTTAGATATATATTGAAAACATTTAAGCTTTTTTGTAATCTCTTACCATTTATGACAATAGGTCAAAGTCACGTGTTACTCCAAAGCACAAATTTATTGATTTCTATTTTTGATTATTATCCCCTGCGCTCAAACTAACAGCAAGTAACGGAGGTGTTTCTCGGAGTTGAGTGTTAGAGCACCTCCAATGGGAGGTTTTCATGGAATTAAAATGGGGTTCTCTTGTTTTAAGAGAATAAAAAAAAATCAAAACAATTAATTTTGTAGAGATCGTTTCTCTGGAGAGACATTTGGGAAAATGAGAGAGCCGCATACGTGGCAGTCAGTGTTTGGTTGTTGGCAGTCAGTCATTTTTTTTTCTTTTCGGGAAAGCGAATTGGGATGCCAATCGGAGAGAAGAAGAGAGGGATTTGTGTTTGTTTGTTGTTCTTCGATCGAAAATGGTGAAAGCGACAAGTAAGGATGCTGAGGATCTGTTTCGATCTCTTCGTTTCAAATTTTGTTGAAATTGAATGCCTTGGAACTTTTGATTGCAGATCATCGACTTGTATGTCGTTTTTGCTGTCTTCACCGCTCTGATTCAGGTTCCACTCTAATCTGTTTGGATAATGGCTTCTCTAGATCTGCGATTTTAAGGAACTTTAGACTTTTTATGAATATGTTGTATTATTTCTTCCATGGTTAGTTTTGTAGATTAGGTAATCGATTTGGATCTCTAGTTTCTTGGAGAGAAGACGTTGTGATTAAAGCTTGTTTCCTCTGTAGATAGTGATTAAAGCTTGTTCTTAATGGCGAGGCTGTTTGGCGAAATGGGTCGTCTGGAAAACGCACGCCAGATGTTGGAGGAAATTCTCCAACGAAACCCACTTTCGTTTGAGGCTTTGTTCGAGAATGCATTGCTCATGGACAGGTCTGTGGAAGGAGCTGCAGTGCTGCAGAGGCTGGAAGATGCTTTAGCTGTGCCGAGGCTGAGTATTTGGTGAAGGAAGCGAGAGACGTGAGACTGATCATTGCGCAGATACATTTCTTGCAGAAAAACATTGATGAAGCATTGAAGAGTTACGAGCAGCTGACGAAAGAGGATTCGAAGGATTTCAGACCGTATTTATGTGCCGAGACCACAAGTATTTTTGGAATGATTGTGAACCAAAAATAAATGGTTGTGTATGCCACTTGCTATTGCTATATATAACACCATCTTTCACCAATAATGTAACTTGTTCTCTCACCATGCATCTTCAAATGTATCGATCACCAAAACTCAAAATTGTTCTTATTCTTAGACAAAAAAAAAAAACACCATCACCAATCCATATAATTCATCTTGTTTTTTATTTCTACAATCTCCCAACATCTTGTTTTTTAAATTTTTTACACAAGTTCTCTTCTTACAAATTTTGTCAATTTATATCTCTATACTATTAAAAGAGAAGTACAAATGAAAATCGGTCGGGTTAAAATCAGAAAATTGACCCGAAATTCTGAAATCGGATCTTTGAAATTTTTTTGGAATATAAATTCGAATTAATAATGAAAAATCGAAATAAAATCAAATATTTATGAAAATCAAATAAAATCTGATTGTACTTATGGTAACTAATAATAAAGAGAAATTGTTAAAAATGCCCCTTTTTCAATACCCCTTTTCAAAAATGCCCCCTTTGAAAGTCCATTTTTAAGTTTGTCCTCTTTTAATTTTAAATGACCATTTTACCCTTATTTGAAACAAAATTAGGTCCACAAAATACAAAATATTTTTTGGCGGGAAAAGTGATCCCGCAATTTTCCCGCCAAAACACTTGTAAAAACCTTTAAAATACCTTGTAAAATTTTCCCGTAAAAAATTACCGCCAAATACAAACCCGTCCCGCGAATATATGCAGATTTGCGGGATTGTCCATGGATTTTGTTTAAATAATTTTAAAGTAACCAAAATTTAAAATACTACTAAAATAAATAAATAAATCAAAATACTATTAAAAGTTTGTTTAAATTACCACATGTTGAATAAATTATAATTTTTTCAATAAATACTAATATGCGGGCTGATCCGCCAATCTGCGGATGAAAACCGATTATACCTATGATCCACTGCGAATTAATCCATGTGGCCCGCTTATTTGCGGGTTTAATATATTTTCCCAAATCTGCCCTATAGTGAGATGATGTGGGCTAGACCCGCGGTTTTTGACCTATTTTGACTGCTCTAATTCCCATGAAACGTCTAATTTTAGAATTTTAAAACACAAAATTCTATTTTGTAAATCATAATTATTACGATGGGTATATTTATAAACAATTTTACATTTTCTCTACAATTCGTTATTATGAATATTTATAAGTATACTACACGATTCGTTCTACTAAAAACACACACACAATATTAAACGCAACATATGTAAACCAATATTCTCCCGCGGTGGACCGCGGGTCCGATCCTAGTTAAACAATGGGAGAGAACCCATGGGGGCTCTCTCCATTGGAGATGCTCTTAGGAATAATTTTGAATTTTTTTTTACTTAAGAGGTGGTTTTTTGGTTTTAAATTTTATTTGTCTCCATTGGTAGGTTCTTAATTTGTGATTTTTAGTGAAGAAAAAAATAAACAATTACAATTTTAAAAAACTTAATAATTATTGCAAATAGAAAAATTTGAAACATACATGATATATAATTTATATTATACATTTGTTGAGAGCAAATGGTCGTCCCCTTAATATAAACTATAAAGGATGACATGATTACATCACTACATCCATTCCTATTTACTTTATTTTTTCAACAAGGATATATATATACATTACCTAAAAAACCATATTCAAAAATGTCTGTACATTATCTCATGAAAATCTTGTAGTCTTAAGTATAACCATATTCTCTGCAGAAAATATCCAAAATTAAATTTAAAATAAACTGTTAAAGCTTTTTTAGTTTTAAGAAAATTATTTATAATTAACCAAAGATGAAGTCAAACAAAAACAAAATTACCAAAAGAAAACCGAAGAACCATAAGAGTATATTGACTGTTGACTAAAAAAAGCATATGTCAAAATAACTTTGTTCTTAATTATATATATATATATATATATATATATTTCTTTTTTTGGTTAAAGTATATATATTTTCTTTTTATAAGTAAAATACAATATCTTGACCCAAAAATCAAGATTATTTTTGGATAACTATTTAGTTAAGGGCCATGGGTTCATACATTCCTCGAGAACGAATGCACGAGCTTAACCAATGCATGAGCTTAACCATTAGATCAATTCGTTTTGTTGACAATATATATATATATATATATATATATATATTAATTCTTGTTGAAAAAAAAAAACTGATTGTTAAATTTCTTTAAAATATTGTTGATAATTTTCTGAATATTGAATCCTCAAAATCAATCTCAATGTCGCAGAACACGTATTTCAGTAAGTCAAGTAGATTTTTCTGAATTTCTTATAGATTTGATTAAACTTCCACTAGGATGTTAGTCTTTTTCTTTCTTTTTTTTTTTTTTTTGTATAATGACCTTACATCATACTTTTACAAAAAAAAAAAGATCCATATATTTGTTTTTATTAATTTAATTCTTATGATAAGTGATGATACAAATCTAGGGATGTATCATTTTGAAACAAAACTATTTTTCTTTAGTTGATAGGTGGTACACAACAACATTTGTGATTAATTGGAGGGTTTTTAATGCACATTAGAAATGTAGGATCTTCATCTGGACCTGTGCATAATGTTTTGCAGTCATTATCAGTTTTACAAGGACCTTTGTAGTGACATTTCCCTGAAAAAAAAATAGTTAAAAACTTAAAACAAAGAATATGAATTAACTCAATTTAAGTAGCATTATTTCTTATAGGTTTTTCCAACAGAGGAAGGAAATGTTACCAATTGGTTTAGCAATTAATTGAGAAGAAAGAAGACAAATAGTTAAGAGCAGAAAGGCAAGTTGAAATTTTTGTGCGGACATTAGCAGCTCTGTAACTTTTTTTAGGTTAAGATTGTTTTTTGTTTTTCTTGATAAGTTTAGAGCAAATGGTCATCTCCCTTTGTATGCAAAATTTATATACAAAATGGCAATCGAATAACTAATGATGGTTTTGAAAATATTGACAAAAATGAGCAAACAATAAGCAAAATATAAGCAAAACATAAACAAAACATAAGCAAACCATAATAATATAGAGAACCGCAGAATCATCGACGACGTAGCGAAACTGGCCATTCACTACTGCGCCAAGGAACTCACACAGAGACCAGAATATTTCGATAGTTTAAGGCTCACAGGCTGTAGTAATTTATAGAGCAGCTCATAAAAGACTGATAGAGGAAGATGATCAACTTTCGAAATGTGATTTTTTGGCTGTGTGTTGTAGCTGTGGTTAATGCACGAGTGACTCCAGATGCAGCGGCAGTGGATTTGTACAGTGAAACACATAATCTTTATCTAGTTTGAATCATGCGCCTTAATCATTTTTAACTGGTCTAAGTTCTGCTGAATAGTTATAGAGTCTAGACGACTAGACTAGAGAACCATGGCATAAGTCATCATGATCCAAGTATCCTATATTCTTCCTTTAAAGCTTTCATTGTTTGGATTATTGGAAGCATTACAATCCCAGTTTATTTTATTGCCAATGGTGTTGGTTTTTCGCAGGCCTAGGGAGAGTCCATTGATTTACATTTGTTGAGTTTGGTTAGCAACTGTGATTGAATTTCTATCAAGTATTCTTAGAATTTTCTTGCTCTTGATGTGCAAGAAAAAGGTTTCTAATGTGAAGATGCTTTTTCTTTTCTTATATCTTCTTGCAGCTCTTATCTCTTCTTAGAACATCTGATTCTTGATGACAAATTAGCAAATTCCTTTATTTCACCAGTAACAGATGATATCAAAGATGATCATCAGCACAAGTGTAAGCTCTTAGAACGTTGGCTCTAGGCATTGCTTGTACACATGCATTTGTGCAACAGGGGATAACATGTAACTTTGGTCATTGGCAGGCCCGGCGCATGACACAATCAAGTGAAGCGATGGCTTAGGGCATCAAATTAAAGGGGGCATAAATTTTAGAATTTTTTTTAGAGTCTTATATGTTAAAAAAAAATTATAAGCTTTTTTTTGAGAAAAAAATTTGTTCGACTTTTCTTTCACTATATTTTATGGACTTTATGCCTTTAAATGAATAAAATGTTAATTAATATGTTGTTAATGAATTTTGTTTGGAAGTTTTTGGCTTAAAATAAAATAAAACCCTAAACGTTTACAAAGATTAAATGGGTTGGCATTACTATCCATTGAGACAGCTAGGGTTGAAAAACTCGACTACGTGAGTTTGATGAATGATTTTGCTGGTAAAAGTCTAAATAGAGCTATATTTAGAGAATAGATTTTTTTTTTCCTTACAAACTTCTTATGAAATTAATTACTGTTTTTTTTAGTTTAGTAGTATGAGTTTTATTTTAATTTTATTTGTGATGCGAGGAAATTTTTTTTTTTACAAAGGACATGATTTCTTTTAGTGGCGTAGGGCATTTAGGTATACCGCACCGGCCCTGGTCATTGGTGGATAAATCTTGTTATTGCTGAAAATACAGAAATAATCTTTTTTTCAGGTTTGCAGGTGTTTTTACTGAAAAACTAACAAAATGATGTTAAAATTTTTGTAGTGTTGTTCTTCATTATTTATGGGCATGCTAATGCTCCAAATGATAGGGTAAAAGGAGCACACATTCCTTGCTTTTTTAATTCTCTCATTATTACCTGTTTGAAAATGTTTTGTTACTTGTTGCAGAAGATGGAGATTTGGCATTGCTTGACCTGGGTGCTGAATACCGTTGTTATGGCTCTGACATAACATGATCAGTTGATCATTCCCTGTGAGTTCAGTTTCTAGCGTCAAATCTATTCTTAATTTCCTTTTAGGTTCTGCTACTCAGAATCCTGAAATATGCTACTGAATTGTATTTGTACCATGCATTGACTTTTTTTTTATAGTCATAATTACATGAACATCATAATTTGTTGCATCTAGTTATTCAGAGAAAGTGGTTCCTAATATTTATCAAATATTTTACAAGTGACCAGAGTCTAATCTATAATGTAAGTGCCTTACAAGTTTGCTGCAACGTGGATGTAGTAGAAATCTGTGCTTTATTTTTGTCAATTTTTTAGCACAATCCAGAGTGGTGAGTCTCTTGAAGCTTTACATCTGATCAAGTGTCTCTGATTGTTCAGGCTGTTCTGGATGCACAAAATTCTGTAACTTCTGCAATGAAGTCTTACTGAGATGCTATATAACTCTGTTTCAGTATGTATGCAGATTCAGTAATTGGGATTTGACTATGTAAGCTTGTAAACTCAGTTTGCTTTGGTCCATTTTGATTTTTTTTGTCTTGTTAGGGATATAACTTGAAATACATCTCCACATGGTTAATTCGTTGTTATGGTTTCGTTCTCTGTTCCTAGTGATGTGGACCATGAAATGTATCTAAGTAAAATAATTGAATTGATTTTGACCACTCTACTTTGTATTTGCTTTGAAAACTGGTTGATGAGTTTCAACTAGAAAAAGAAAAATGGTTCCTGACTCTCACCATGAATCTTATTAATGTATTCACTCAGTCTCGTTTATATGTTGTAATCTTACATACGAGGTAAAAACACAATTTCAAAAGTATTCAACATGGATGCACACATCACATAAATAGTAGAATAACTAAGTTTGCAATTTTAAAGAAAAATTGGCATGATATTTGTATTTCATGAACTTACTTTTGTTTTAAAACACGTAATCTATATATCGAGAGTTGAATATAATCTGTAACACTACGAAGACATAATTAAGTAACCGTGCTACAATCTACCGTCTACATTTGAACTAGCATTATACGATTTTTTTTTTTTTAAATGTATATTACTAATCGAAATTTCAAACCATCAAAATATTACTGCTAAGACTACTTATTTTACTACTCTCTTCACTATATCTCTTTTATACTAAACTACAAAATGAATCCTAACTACATTGTTTGAAAAGATTGTTCTTGAGTCATCGTGAGTGGGATCCTATGAATGACGTATGTAAACACCTTTCAAAAAGTACGATTCAATATGCATGAACTAGAACTTTTGGAATAATTTTTTTAATTTTCATCTATAATACTACATACTGGAACCATCAAAAATGTTACTAATTAAGTGTTAGGACCATTGAACCAAACAACACTCTTTCGTTTCATTGCTCTGTTTATACTAAACTACAAAAATAATCCTAACCACTTTGCTTGAAAACATGGTTCATGACTCGAATCTTGAAATTCCTAAGAGTCACAATCACTTTTTATTTATCTTGTAGTGTTGGTTGCGTATGTGATTGACGTAAACTCCATTAAAAAAGTACGCTCCCCTCTTTTTTTTTTTTTCTAGTAAAGATAATTGGTATGTAGTTTTTGGTGTGTTTTTTTCTTCTTGGTTTTAGAGCAAATGGTCATCTCTCTTTATATAAAGACTTACATGATTATATCACTACACCCATTCCTATTTACTTTATTTTTCAAAAAGGGATATATATATATATACATTACCTAAAAAACCATATTGCAAAAATGTCTATATATCTCGTGAAAATCTTGTAGTATTAATTATAGCCATATTCTCTGCAAAAAAATATGCAACTTTAAATTAAAAATAAAATTAGTTAAGCTTTTTCAGTTTTAGAAAAATTATTTATAACAAACCAAAGATGAAGTCAAACAAAAAGAAAATTACCAAAAGAAAACCAAAGAACCATATGAGTACATGACTGTTGACTAAAAACGCTTATAATATATATATATATTTCCTTTTATAAGAAAATTTTTTTAAAAAAAAAAAAAAAAGATTTTGACCCAAAAAATCAAGAGTTTTTTTTTTGGATAATTATTTAGTTAGGGTCTATGGGCTCATACATTCCTCCAAACGAACTCAGAAGCTTAACCATTGGACCAATTTGTCTTGTTGATAAAAAAAAAAAAGAGAGAATTAATCTGATTAATAACTTTTCTGTAAATATTGTTGAGATAATTTTCTGACTATAGAATCCTCAAAATCAATTTCAATATCGCAGAACACTTGTTCTAATAAATCAATTTTTCTTATAGATTTGATTAAGCTTCCATTAGGATGTTAGTCTTTTGTTTTATTTTCGTTTTTATATGATGACCTACATCATACTTTTACAACAACAAAAAATGATCCAAATCTTTTTGTTTATTAATTTTAAATCTTATAATAGGTGATGATACAAGTCTATGGATGTATCATTGTAGAACAAAACCAATTTTCTTTAGTTGATAGGTGGTACACAACAACATTTGTGATTAATTGGAGGGTTTTTAATGCACATTAGAAATGTAGGATCTTCATCTGGGCCTGTGCATAATGTTTTGCAGTCATTATCAGTTTCACAAGGACCTTTGTAGTGACATTTCCCTGAAAACAAAAAGTTAAAACAAAGAATATGAATTAACTTAATTTATCTAGCATTATTTCTTATAGGTTTTTTTAACAACTAAAAAACAGAGGAAGAAAATATTACCAATTGGTTTAGCAAGTAATTGAGAAGAAAGAAGACAAATAGTTAAGAGCAGAAAAGCAAGTTGAAATTGAAATTTTTGTGCAGACATTGTTAGCTCTCTAACTCTTTTTAGGTGAAGATTGTTTTTTGTTTTCTTTTTCTTTTTAGGTTTAGAGCAAATGGCATCTCCCTTTATATAAGGGATTAGAATGGTACATCCATTTTTTCTTTCTTTTTAGTGAAGAAATATATATATATATATATATATATATACACAATAAAATATATACCTTCCTAAGAAAACAGATTGATAAATATTTAACATATCTCATGAAAATCTTGCATTAGATTTAGTCATATTCTCTGCGACAAATGTCCAAATTTAAAATTATAATTTATAATAGAAATATTTCGTTTTTTTTTAAAAAAGAAAAGAAATATGTCGTTTCATCCCAATTATGACAAACCAAAGATTATACTTCAAGCAAAAAGACATTACCAAAAGCAGATCAATCGTAAAAGTTGTGTGTTAATTGATATTGGGAATAACATTAATAAAAATCGTGTGTTAAATAAGGGATTACATGATTAAATCAGTACATCCCTACCCATTTTAATTTCTAAAAAAATATATACATACCTAAAAACCAGATTGCAAAAATGTCTTGAAGATCTTTTTTTTTTTTATTTGGTAATGAATATTCTATTAATATCATGAAAATCTTGCATTAATTTTAGCCATATTCTCTGCACAAATATCTAAATTTATTATAAAGCAAACATTTTAACCGTTTTTCTGTTATTATATATATATAACTATTATGACAAACCAAAGATTATGTCAAGCAAATAACAATTAACAAATGACCAAAAAGGAGACAAAAAAATCTCATATGACTATTGACTTAAAAAAGAAAAAGAAAAATAAAAAGCATTGCCATAGTCAAGGTCATGTGTTACTTCGAAGCAGATCCGGCCCTCGGGCCAAGCAGGTGAAGCAAATATTTAGGGCATCAAATATTTTAGGACATATTTTAAGCCTTTTAAGTGAAAATAATAAATAATTAATAGATTTTTTTAAAGTTAATGTTAATATTAATTAATTAAGCTTGTTGTTAATGAGTTTTAAAGTAAAATTTTGGTTTAGAAAAACAAATTTGAAAGTTGAAACCCTAAATTTAAAACTTTAATCAAAAAGTTTTCATAATCAAAGAGTTTTATGAATATGATTTTTTCTGTTATTATGTTTTGTAATTTTGTAAACAATAAAAGGATGAAATAGAATTTTTAAAAATCAGCGTAGGGCATCAAAAATTGCCGGGCCGGCCCTACTTCGAAGTAGAAATTAATTTGCTTATATTTTACGAGTTATCTGTTATTCGATTGGTAATCTTTATACAAATTTTCTTTGTAATAGATGTGTTTAAGATTTGGACCCTCAAGAAAAAACTCAAAGTAATTATTGTGTTAACTGATTACGAATCACTGTTATATATATACATTATGATGTGGATGTTCTCAAGTTTAGCGAATTTGTTATCTTACGTATACCGTATAGTATGTGCATTAAAAAAAAAGGACTTGTGGGCTTGTGGCTCAATGTGATCAAAGTGAAAAAGGTAAATGATGATGAAATTATGACTAAGGCGAGATCGCCGTGGACCGTTTTGGCCGGTGAAGCTCAATTGATTGAAAAAAATAAAATTCTCCGACGATGAGTCGATGACAATGAGAAAACTATATAATAGTACATGTTGAAAATTAAATGGTTTCTCTTTGTTTGGATATTAAATTTTTGTGACTAATTTATCTATATTAACTCGATAAATGACAATCTATGTTGGGTAAACAACAGATGACTAGCTAGCTTATCCTAATCATCGTGGGAGATTTATTTCAAATGGGTACTTTATATCCGACCCGTTATAGACGACTTGACAAAACCAATTCCTATATATAAATCAAATGTTTTTTGAACGTTGAACGGTTTGTGTAGTCTAAATGGCTACGCACCCGGCAGGAAAGTTTGATTATCATAAGTTCGAATCCCTCTGCTTGCTGATATTCAAATTTTCCTTTTTGGTTGCAAATGGGGGTGCTAAATAGCTACGTTGAACGTTGTTTGGTGAGGTTTCATAAATGAAACTCTGGGGCTGTTGACTAGCTGTTGAGTGCATGTGGAAGTGGAATGATTTGCGTAGTCCATCTGCACGACTGCACACAAATGTTTCTATAAGAGTTCAAATGTTTTTGGAAAAATGGATGTAAAAAGAAGGAGTAGTATTTTATTTTCTTCCATTTTTGATTAACATTCAGAAGCATTGTTACAAATTATCACTGTTGTGTGTTTATTTTATTAATTGAGACCTAATTTTCTGGTAAAGTTTTATTTTCTTTAGCTTAATGTTTAATTTACTGGACATTATATTATGGAATACATTTTTTTTTTTGTAAACCGATTGGTTTATGAGTTATTTACACTACTAGTAATTTAGTAGGTTAAGGACCGTAAGGTACCCCTATAATCTAAAGATCTAATTGTTGGAAAATTAAAAATCTTCATGAACCGGAATATTAAAAAAAGACATTGGTCAGGTGGTTTATTTCCTTGTTTGGTACTCAATATTTTAAATATTATATTTTATTTTATTTTCCTTCCCTCCTTTTCCTTTTCTTCTTCCCGAGCGACTCTCCAACGTTCTCTCCTCTGCGATTCTCTAAAATACTTCTTTAACCAATTTTATCAAAAATTCCGGTGGCCGATTACTGCCTCGCCGGCGACTGTATACCGAGATTTTGAAAGGGATATTTTCAATTTCGTTAGGTCTACAAACTTACTATTTAAAGTATCAGAAGAGGCTTTACCTTTCTTGAATGAAAAAGAAAGAGTAGACGGGATTAGAAATTTCTACACAAGCGAAAAAAAACAACCACAAAGTCAGATCTGTCAGCTGTTTCAGACTTCGTGGGTTCAAACATCAATCCGCAATTTAGAAAAGCTCCGGCAAGGACCTTAGCGTTTATCAATCAGGATCCTGAAGAGCGAAGATGACGACAAGTCTCCGATCTCTACTTTTTTGGCTCTGTTTTATCATTTCCGTGAATTCTCCGTTTCCTACAGAGTCTGATCGCCGAGTAGACATCGTCGTTTCGATTGTTAGACAGTTGGGCTATCCAGAGGAGTTCGTAAAGAGTTGGCAAGGGAATGACCCTTGCCAATGGTTTGGGATAAACTGTCTGGAAGGTATCATCACGAGTATCACCTTTATCTCCCTGAACATGAGCGGAACCATCTCTCCACGGTTTGCAGATCTAACCTCTCTTCAGGTGATAGATCTTTCGCATAACGGTCTTACAGGTACCATTCCTCCCGAACTCACTAAGTTGAACCTGAGAACTCTGGATCTTTCCTATAACCGTCTTCATGGGACACTGCCGCAATTTAGGAACATAGTTCCAAACATTGAAGGAAACTCAGACATCGAGACAAACCGCGTTCTTGTTCCTTCGCCAACAAGGAACAAGAACAAATTAGTTGTTTTGGCACTTCTCATAGGCATTGTGGTCGGTTTGGTTGTTGCTGTAGGAGGAGCTTTTGCAGTCTATCTGTTGAAGAAAAGGAAGCAATTAAACAGGCTTCCAGAACCCAATGAAACAGTGATCGTGGAATCTGAGAGTTCTGTGATTCCGCTCCAGCTTCTCAGGGACGCTACAGAAGATTTTGATGAGAAGAACATAATTGGGAAAGGTGGGTTTGGGTCAGTTTACAGAGGGAAACTGCAGAATGGAAACTTTGAGATTGCAGTGAAAAGGATGGAGAAATTGATAGGAGGAAAGGGCAAGGAACAGTTTGAATCTGAGGTTTCTGTTTTGACAAAGGTCCACCACCGAAACCTTGTAGTTCTTCATGGATACTGTATTGAAGGAAACGAGAGGCTATTGGTTTATCGATACATGCCACAGGGTACTTTAAGTAGGCATCTTTTTCACTGGAAGGACGAAGGGTTGAAACCCCTTGAGTGGACTACTCGGCTTACTATTGCATTGGATGTGGCTAGAGGACTAGAATATCTGCATAGTTTGGCTCGTCAAAGTCAGAGTTACATACACAGAGATCTGAAACCGTCAAACATTCTTCTGGGAGATGATATGCGAGCAAGAGTTTCAGATTTTGGTTTGGCCCGGTCTACAGCAGAGGGCAGCGAATCAATCAGGACAAAGTCTGTGCTCGGAACATATGGTTACATGGCACCGGAATATGCAGGTATGCTTCTCGGTTTATCTGTCAATGTTTATTACATCTGATTACCAATATTATTGATTTCTAACAGCTCAAATCTTTGTAAATGCAGTGACTGGAAGGATAACTACAAAAGCTGATGTCTACAGTTTTGGGGTTATTCTCATGGAGCTAGTCACAGGCAAGGAAGCTTTAGACGAGAAGCGATCAGATGCTGAACAACACATTCCCAGTTGGTTCAGGAAAGTCTTCATCAACAGAGACTCTTTCGGAGAAGCCATTGACGAAACCATTGAGGTTGACGAAGAGAACCGCATCATCATCGACGACGTAGCGAAACTTGCCATTCATTGCTGCGCCAAGGAACTCACACAGAGACCAGAGATGAGGTATGTTGTTTCGACACTTACCTCACTCACTGGCACTGGGCAGTGGAAGCCCAGTGAAATAGAAGAAGACAACGACAGGGACGACATATTAGAATATCTAAAGAGATGGAAGGAGCAAGAGATGGAGGGAACCAGCAGTATTGTTGTGGTTTGATGAAGCTTCAATTTAGAGTCTCTGTTTCATGAGAACAAATTCCTTGACAAACCCAATTCAGGTACTTCTAGATTCATTATGTGTTCTGACATTACATTTTACTTGATGAAGCATTAGATTTGCTTTTAAGAAGTTACTGGATAGTGATTATAAGCAATGGTGTTATATAAATTTCCAGAAGCGTTTTACTTCATCTGTGGCCTGCAGCGATTCTGTCGTGCCCTGTAAGCCCTCATGAGGCTTATACTATCAGGTACTACCTATGTCCCCTGTAATTTTGAATTTGAGTACAGGGAGTCTTTTTTTTTGGATATACACATAATTAGGTTGGAAATTGTGTTTCGAGTATAAATGTATGTTAAATTGTTTGTAGTGTTGTTCTTCATTATTGGCATGCTGCTGCTCCAAATGATAGGGTAAAAAGAGCACACATTCCTTGCTTTTTTAATTCTCTCATTATTGCCTGTTTGAAAATGTTTTGTTACTTGTTGCAAACTTTCCATGATGGAGATTTGGCATTGCTTGACATGGGTGCTAAATACCATTGTTATGGCTCTGAGTTCAGTTTCTAGCGTCAGATCTATTCTTAATTTCCTTTTAGGCTCTGTTACTCAGAATCCTTAAATGTGCTACTGAATTGTATTTGCACCACGCATTGACTTGTTTTTATAGTCATATTTACATGAACATCATAATTTGTTGCATCTAGTTATTCAGAGAAAGTGGTTCCTAATATTTATCAAATATATTACAAGTGACCAGAGTCTAATCTACAATGTAAGTGCCTTACAAGATTGCTGCAACGTGGATGTAGTAGAAATCTGTGCTTTATTTTTTGTCAATTGTTTAGCACAATCCAGAGTTTGGTGAGTCTCTTGAAGCTTTACATCTGATCAGGTTTCTCTGATTTGCCTTCTTTTCAGGCTGTTCTGGATGCACATAATTCTGTAACTTCTGCAATGAAGTCAGGAGTAAAGTGGGTGGATATGCACAAGTAAGTCTTACTGAGATGCTATATAACTCTGTTTCAGTATGTATGCAGATTCAGTAATTGGGATTTGACTATGTAAGCTTGTAAACTCAGTTTGCTTTGGTCCATTTTTGATTTTTCGTCTTGTTAGGGATATAACTTGAAATACATCTCCACATGGTTATTTAGCTTTCTTTGTTAACTGAAACAAATTAATGTACAGGTTAGCTGAAAAAGTCATTCTTAAGTCACTGAAGAAGGGGTCCATAGTCACTGACTCACTGGGTAATTCTCTCACTGTTAGACATTTGTTTACTCTTCTCTAAAGGTTAATTCATTGTTATGGTTTCGTTCTCTGTTCCTAGTGATGTGGATGGCATGATGGTACAACGCTTAGGTGCTTTTTCATGCCTCATGGACTAGTTCACATCGAGATTCTTGATTACTGATGAACCATCCGGGAGCAACGTGGTTGGAATTATTTTAGTACTTTAGTAGTAACTAATGTAGTGAAGAGTGGTAAGAACACACACACCCAACTGAACAAGTCTTAATAATCAAAAACAACATTTGTTTCGCCATGTTGATCTTAACTTGACGTGAACATAACAGCAAAATCACTTTTATGTCTCAGTTCTCAACAAAACCTCAACCGTTAACTATTTTTGTCATAGCCCACTGTCACAACTCTTAACTTTTGATACAGATAAATTGATAATCAAAGATAATCAAACCTATGTTCATAAAACATCGATTCGCTTCTCATAAGCAAGAGTCTCAAAACGAGAAGCTCCAGCAACAATGAGGAATAGCTTGAGAATTACAGATAATTCTCAAGAACAAACAAAGAACTAAATAAAGAAGAAGATCACAATCTCAGATTTTTGAATAAAATGAATAAAGCGTCTTCAACTTCTTGTTAACCTCATTCTTCTGTTCTTAATCTTCAAAAGATCTTGACCGTTGCTTTTAATCTTCAATTACCACCGTCCACGTGTCATTGATTTATCATCATCATTTTCCCATATCAAATCTCCCCTGTTTGCAGAACCTTGACCACAAGGTTCAAAGTTTAGAATTTGTCCCTGCATAACAAAGAGAACTCCCATGTAGGTTCCTCCCTAGTTTCATGAGTCCACTTGATGAAAACCATTGTAGCAGCTCTGTTTGGAATATAGCTTCTTAGAGTCTCTTGCGATCAAATCTGATCCGTACAAACAATTTTAGATTTGAAATTACTTGATGTTGCATAGTCTTGTGCTTCCGCCAACTTTCTCTTCTGTCCCAACTGATTAACCACTCTTCAAATTCCAACTTGCTTCCATGTTTACGCCACCACCACCACCATATTGTTACGGGTCTTATTTGTTGGAAAATTTGGAATGAGAAGAAACAGGTATGTGACAGGGTCTTGCTCTTCCAACAATGCCACACCGCAAAATAGCAAATCATACACAAATTGGAAGAAAACAATCTCTTTATAGCATCATCCACAGATTTATACTTGAACCACCTCCGCCTGGAAAACTTGATCTTTTTGTTTCTCATCACTTCATGAATGGCCAAACTGGTTTGCAACAGTGGCTCTTGCACCACTATAATCGGCTCATACGCAGATTTTTTGCCATGACCATCATCACTATAATTCTTTACTTCTTGAATCCAGCCTTCCACTTCCCCTTCCTTCTTTGTACACAACTCGCTTCTATCTTGACATGACGAATCTGTTGTACCATACTGATACCAGCTTTGGTATATCACATACCATAACTGAAATTGTGATGCAAGGGTTTTGTCCAAGAACAAGCACAAATACACTTGATATTGTGATGCTCTGCTAAATCCAGAAACTGCCCGTAGTTGCTCACTCTTGTGCTTTATCCAAGGCACACTTAAACACCTAGTGTTGTACCCTTCTGCAATTATATTTCAATAACAATGGCATTTTTTTTTTCTGTAACCTATCAACGTGAAGTGCCCTCATCATTATTAAGCAGAGAAAAGAAATGTTCCTTCTCTTCTTCCACTCCTTCCCCAGTTTATATTTGAACATCCAAGACTTCGGAGATAATCTTTGCTTCCTATGAGACTAGACACATGTTGACTGCTCACAAAATGCAGCCACTTCCGAGTGGAAATTATCTAAGAGTGGACTCAAAGCGTCTGCTAAGACATATTGTTGATCCTACTGACCGTAATCATATCAAAATCCCCTAAGAGATTCTGCTTATGGCTAGATTCCAAGACAAAAATTGATACCTGATGCTTGATCAATTTGATAAGGAGCCCTATGGGAAGTGATTCATGATACACTTGATCATCATCCTTGAAACAATCAACGTTGAGCATGGACCAAGTTCTGGAAAACTTTTCCTTGTTCCAACTCACCTTTCTGTTCCAAGAGTGGAACCATCCTTGATTGTCTCGTTTCTTTATTTTCCTTTAGCAGATTTGTATTTGAACATCCAAGATTGAAATCCTTTTGTTTTCTTCTTTGTTCCCGTAATCTTAGCTTGAATCAAATCCGGTTTCAAATTGCAACTGTGTCCATAACGTCACTCCATTTCCTTTCACAGATTGTCGTTCTTCTTTCATCAAAACCAGCTCTAGATTCGATGATTCTAAGTAGCTGTAGTTCTCTGTAGACAACTCAAGTCTCTCTTGATTCGATGATGCTAAGTCACCTGCTTCTAATTTGAATCCCATTGCAGTCTGTGTTGGACTAACCTTACCCTTCAACAACAACAAATCACTAGATGTCTCAACCATTCTCATACTCTTGGAAAATTTAAGTGCGTGCAGTTTCCTGAAGCCACTCTTATACTTAAACATCCATGATTTAAACCCTTTCCTTTTCTTCGTAATTCCTAGTCTTTCTTTATACTGAGACATTTTATCGAACAGTTGGTGGGCACAACAATTTTTGGTGCTACTTAACACTTTCTGACTCCTCTCAGCATCACCATCAAGCTCAAATGTCATACTAACGTACTTTTGAACCCCATCTTGCTCTAGATTCTCATTCTCATTCATCACCACATACTCTAGAGTTTCCAACGTTGAATTTTCTTCCCTAACTTCAATATTCTTCAAAATCTCAGAATCTGAAATTGGTACCTGAAATTGTGGAATCGATTCTTCCTCTAAGATTGCTTTCGGTACCAAATCTTTGTGATTCTCCAACTTTGGGTTCTCCTCTCGAGCTCCCTGTACCAAATTCACCGTACGATGCTCAATTGGTTCACCATTAGGGAGTTGATCGTCATCGATCATGAGAATCCCCGAGTTCTTGTGACGCAGATGGTGACCTGGAGTTTCCTATATCAACTTTTTACCATGGAGGTTAAGGTTCAAGTTGCAATGATACACTGCTAATCCTCTGCTTTTGTCTTGTTTTGCAGGTGACCGTTGTACGAAGATGAGCTCTGGTGGTTTGGGCTTGACTGTTGACTGAGTTGGTTTGGGCTTAGTTGTTGACTGAGTCGAATTGGGATTTATCATTTGAGGGCCCAATTAAGTTCTGTTGTCGTTTTGAACTGTAGCTTTGACAGCTTTTATCTTATTTATTGATGGAGATTCATGCAAATGCTTTTTTTTTTTTTTTTTTTTTTTTGCCCAATAAAGTCTGTTACTTCAGATTCTTGTTACTATCCTACACGGTATATCCGTATATGCTTTAATTCGTTCCATCTCTAATGTTAACAAAAATCGGATAATTTTCGTAGGTTTATAGAACAAATTAGATACTAATTATGATTATATTAATTATATTGAGATTATTAAAAGGTGACATGAAACCAACCATGAAGATAATAAAACATAATTACGATTAAATTACTATTATCCTAAGTTTTAATAACCAAGACCAGTTTAATTCCCCTACTGGCGTTATTATTTTTCATTTAAAAAGTGGAATTAACTATCATCGTACCATTACCAATATATATGCATCAGTTTCCTTTAGGCATCTCGTAGCAATGGAAGACCTTAAAATCACAGTTGGGGGCAATAGTCTCCATAATCATCCTCGCCGTCTGCTCTTGGCGCACCTCCGCATCTTTCTTCTCCACCAGCACCGCTCCGACGATCTCCTTAAACCCTCCGTCTCCGCCTCCGCAACGAACCATGTAATCAACCAGAGCGGCTTGCACGGGCCCCAAGCTAGGGTTATACGCCACCGATTCCATATACCATCCTCTGTACACACTTCCTTGGCGATCAACCAGTGCCACTCCCGACGGACATTTGCTGTACGGCGCGTACGATCTGTTCACCGCCGCTAGACCCGCGGGCTTCAGATCGGGATAACGGTAGGGGACATCAGGACCCGCGAGAATAAGGCCATTATAGCACGGCTCGAGAAGGCGAGGGACATTTTCTGGGAGGAGACTCTCAGGGCCGAGTCTCTCTGGAAGGAGGCTCTCGAGGCTTACGAATGATTCATTGTCGCCGTTTTGATCAGTGAGTAGGATTTTGATCTCAGGCGCCTCGCGGATTTCTTGAAGAAACTGGCGGCAGTGGCCACATGGAGCGCTGGGAGGGGAGACGGCTATGTAGTTGAGCTTTGGCTCGGAGTTGAGTGCGAGGTTGGCGACGAGGAACTGCTCGGCGTGGATGGAGTGATGGAGAGGCAAACCTGGAAATTCGACATTGACTCCTACGAAGACCCGACCAGATGATCCAAGTCCGAGGGCTATGACTTTGAGTGTGGAGAATGGCGAACGAACGAGTGGAATCAGCAGCGGAAGGTGTATTGGGTCGGAGACGCCGGCGGATTTTGCTTCGTTGGGAGTGAGAATGAAGTTGGTGGGCTGTGCCATTGTCTCTTTCTGATTACGGGTCGTGTTATGAGATTTATGTTGGGAGATGGGAAAGGAGATGAGAAGTGGAGAAGCAAGTCTTGAACTTATTTATAGGTGCGGTGAGTGCATAATGAATCCTACTTTTTTAATGGAGTTTACGTCAATCACATACGCAACCAACACTAGAAAATAAATAAAAAGTGATTGTGACTCTTAGGAATTTCAAGATTCGAGTCATGAACCATGTTTTCAAGCAAAGTGGTTAGGATTATTTTTGTAGTTTAGTATAGAGCAATGAAATGAAGAGTGTTGTATGGTTCAATAGTCCTAACACTTAATTAGTAACATTTTCGATGCTTTGTGTATGTCGTATTATAGATGAAATTTTTTAAAAAAAATATTCCCAAAGTTCTAGTTCATGCATATTGAATCGTACTTTTTGAAAGGTGTTTACGTCATTCATAGGATCTACTCACGATGACTCAAGAACAATCTTTTCAAACAAAGTAGTTAGGATTAGTTTTGTAGTTTAGTATAAAAGAGATATGGTGAAGAGAGTAGTAAAATAGCAGTAATATTTTGATGGTTTGAAATTTCGATTAGTAATATACATTTTAAAAAAAAAAAATCGTATAATGCTAGTTCAAATGTAGACGGTAGCACAGTTTATATTCAACTCCCGATATATAGATTACGTGTTTTAAAACAAAAGTAAGTTCATGAAATACAAATATCATGCATATTTGTCTTTAAAATTGCAAACTTAGTTATTCAACTATTTATATGTGATGTGTGCATGCATGTTAAATACTTTTGAAATTGTGTGTTTACCTCGTATGTAAGATTACAACATATAAACGAGACTGAGTGAATACATTAATAAGATTCATGGCGAGAGTCTGGATTTATTTTTCTAGTTGAAACTCATGAACCAGTTTTCAAAGCAAAGACAAAGTAGAGTGGTCAAAATCAATTCAATAATCTTACTTAGATACATTTCGTGGTACGAATAGTAAATAGATAAAATAGGAGAATTTAGTCAGATTCATGATGACTCGTGACCTTCAAAGAAATTTTGTTTCATAGTAGTTAGGATTACTTTAGTAGCTTAGTAGAAAGTAATGTACTAAAGACAGAGTAGTCAAAAATAATTCAACAAGTTTAGTTCGTCACATGTTCGTGGTATGAATATAGTAAAAAGATAAACAATTTGGAAATTTATTAAAAAAAATTATGCTTTTGTAATAAGACTTTTAGGAGTTCAGAAAGAAGTTGTTACCATCTTTTATGTATTTCTTTTCTTCTAATCCTGAAATTCAACTCTTCTAAAATTCGGAGATAATTTTATTACCCAATTGTGCACTAAGAGCATGATTATAGGTAGTCTCTTAAAAATACTTCTTAGCAATATTTAAATAATTTATTTGTAAAAGTGATTGTTAAGAGATAGTATTTTTGAGTTAAGATTTTTGTGTGATTAATGGTAGGCCCTTAACATGTGGTTCTTATAAAAAAAATATTAATATAAAATAAAATTTATAATTATAGAAAATTTAATAATTGTTGCAAATTAAAAAAAATAAAACATACATGATATACAATTTATAACTTAAATAACATAAACCACAATTGTTTTAAACTTGATTTATGGAATATTTTGTCCATATGACAAAAATAGTGTTTTGAAGCGATTTGGTTCTTAAATATTTGAAATGTTTTGGTTTTCAAAATTTTTTAGTGTTTTGATTTTTTAAAAATTTGGTTACAACAAATATATAGCAAAGTGTTTAAGTGTATGAAACTAGACAAGAAAGAAAGAAATTTTGGTTACATTTGAGTGTATAAAGAAAGAATTTTTGTTTAAGTGTATCGACTCGAATAGCTACATTTTTCCCCATGTATACCAACACATTGATTCAAAAATAATACATTCGTTTGTATTCTTTGCGGAAAATAGCTTAGTTCTTACCATACATAAGAGAACACATCTGAGAAAAAAAGAACAAAACTTGATTACAAATTCAACGTACCTAATCAAACTTGAACGGTACCCGAATCCTTGGATGTTTCCCGGAAATCATACTCAACAATGAGTTAAATCTATTGTTGTAACCTCTTGCACTTCGTTAGAAGTCTTCCTAATCCCCAATAGGTACCACCGCCAACATTAGTCCCCACTCACACGTTCAAACTTTCCTTTCACCATCAACCTATAATTTGAAAGCCATTGCATGAAATCTACAGGTCTATGAAGTTTAAGGAGCCAGATACACAGTTTCTGAAAGAAATAGCAAATGTAAACAAAATACCTTGATAATGCTAACACCAGATCCAACGTTCATAAGAAGACAGGGATACAAGTCATTTGGATCTATCTGTACAAATTCTATCTCACCCTCCATGTGCGTGAAGGCTTTACATCGAATAGCCTACAAACAAAGGCATGAACAAAGACCCAAATTATCAATCAGATATATTAATTTGGAAGGAAATGAATTTACAGATACTAGTGACTATATCTCAATGAAAGAACAAAAACCTTGAGAGGCTGTTATAAATCTAATAATCCTACAAGACGAGTTAGTGGCCTACTTTTGTGAATTGTGCATATTAAGTCAAACAACTTCAAAACCACCACAACCAATTCTACCACATTATAGAGTGACGAAGCTCTAAATCTATAAATTTTCTCAATTCATTTCAAATCATCATCAATATTACAGAAAAGTCCTGCAATTATTTCCGAAACCAAAACTTGACTACAAAATCTCTCTCTGTATTGGAAACAACATTAATTTCAATTTGCTTAAGAAATAGATTCAGAAAGATGAGAGGAAAAACCTGGCGGCGGCATAAGATAAGGTCAGCGGAATCATCAGCGGCGTCTTCAACGAACTCGTAATCGGCGTCGGCATCATCTTCGTCGGAGTCAGCGTAATCGGAGTAGTTTTCGGTGCCGCTGTAGAAATCGTCATCAGCATCCATTGAGATTTTTTTCTACTCATTCGATTTCGATCTCAAGCAGAAGCTTAATTTGTACATACTTAAATCACATCAATTCACACAATCAGATAGAAATTCATACCTTGAAATACTGATCGGTGCTCGCATGAGTTTCCGAAGTTGTCTTTGTTTTCGCGATTTGAGAGATAAAGAAAAAGAAAGAAAGAAAAAAGGCGCCACGTGGACGTCTCTTAACATTAGTTTTGTCTCTTAAGTAAGAGACGTTCTTAGTTATAAACGAGATTTCTGATTTAATTTAATTCTGCATTTAAGCTAAGATCACCCTAAGAGACTAGCGTTAAAGATGCTCTAAGTAGAATTTTGCCAATGGTCAGTGGACCACATTATTCTCTACTTCGTTATGTTTGCATGTGAGACTTTTATCTTACCAACTAATGGAGATTCATGCAAATGCATTTTTTTTTAATCCTTTTTTGCTTTTGTAAAACCAAGAGAGGTCCATAACTTTATTACTTCACATTCTTTATTCTAATCATAAACAGAAGACACAACAATATATGCTTTAATTCCTTCCATATCTAATGTAAAAAAAATCTGATACTCGTAGGTTTTTATATTGCTCTATAAACCTATTGTGACAAACAAAAAGAGTGACATTAATTTCTAATTGCAAAGAGATTTGAGATCGTCGAAAATTATGCATTGAAATCATTAAAAAGGTAAGGAAACATGAAACCAAAGAAGAAAACAAACATATATAACATAATTAAGCTTATACTATTTTATCATCACAAGTTTAAGCAGCAGGACAAGAAGTGAAATCCCCCATTAGTTTATTATTCTCCTTTATATTATCATTTTTTTATCTATCATCTTAGTATAAATATGCATCAGTTATCTATCATCCAGGCACCATAAACATGCTTCAATTTTCTGCGGTCTTGTAGCAATGGAAGACATTCAAAACACACCCTGGGGCTATAGTCTCTAAAAGAACCCTCGCCGTGGCCTCTTGACTCACATTCGCATCATTCATCTCCATCAGCACCGCTCCGGTGATCATCTCGAACCCTTTACCTTCACCACGAGCCACGAAATCAACAAGTGCCGCTTGTACTGGTCCCAAACTAAGGTTATACGCTGCCGATTCAATGCACCATCCTTTGTACACTTCCCCTTCGCAAATCAGCGCCACCCCCGACGGACACTTGCTGTACTGTGCGTACGATTTGTTTGCCGCTGTTAGAGCCCTACACTTCGGATGGGAACAATGCTCGCGGTTTGCGCAGATCTCTGCTGCGGAAACGGGATCCGATAGGGCGAGGCGGTTATGCTGAGGCACGAGAAGGAGAGGGACGTCTTCCTCGAAGCTTTCGAGGTAGAATCTTGACGGAAGAAGACAAGCGTGGAGTTCTTGCTCGAAGTTGAGTGCGAGGTTAGCGACGAGGAATTGCTCGGAGCTGATGGAGTGGTGAAGAGGAAGACCTTCAAATTCGACATTGACGCCTAAGAAGACTCGATCCGATGATGCAAGTGCAAGGACTGCGTCTTGGACTCCGGAGATTGGAGCCCGAGCCAGAATAATCGCATCTTCTTTCAGCTTCAGGAAGTCACTGGGGCTGGAGACGCCTTTGGATGCTGCTTCTTCAAGAGTGAGAATGAATTTGAGCTGTTGTACCATTGTCTCTGTCTGATTTAGGATTGTGTTTTGAGTTTATATGTTTCGAGATATGAAATGAGGTGAGAATTGAGAGTAAGTCTTTAGCTATTTATATAGGTGTGTTGTGTCTGTGTGCTTATTGTGAAAGTACTTTTTAAAACCGTGTTTACTCATTCGTATACACAAACAATTACTTACTACAAGATATATAAAGGTGATTGTAACACTTCCATTATCATGAAAAAGATTTTTAAAACAAAGTAGTTATGGTTAATTTCATAGTTTAGTAAATGTATAGCCCTAACTTGTAATTAATAACATTTTGATGGTTAAAATAATAATATATAAATTAAAATTAAAATTAAAATGGAGCTTACATCAATTACATATGCAACTAACTACAACAAGATGAAAAAGATGATTGTGACTATCAAGACTCATGAACCATTTTTTTGAGCAAAATAGTTAAGATTATTTTTCTAGTTTAGTAGAAAGCAATGTAATCTAAAGTAGTAAAAGAATATTCAATAAGTCATTAATTATTAACTAGTAACATTTTAGTGGGTTGAGTAGTAATATAGATAAATATCAAAATGGTGTTAATGTTAATCACATACGCAACCAACACTAAAGTTAAAAAAAAGGTGAGTGAGACTAGCAAGACTTATGAAATATCATTTTAAACAATAAAAAAAATCATTTTAAACAAAATAGGTATGGTTATTTTCTAGGTTAGTATAAATGTAATGAAGAGTGGTAAAATATAAATCATAGTCCTTAACTCTTAATTGGTAACATTTCGATAGTTTGAATAGTTACATAGAAACAAAAAGAATATTAACAATAATTATATCAAGAATCATAAGTACCCAAAAAAAACAAAAAATTAAGAAAATTTATTCGTGAAATGCTAGTTCAAATGTTGGTAGATCGTAGCATAGAGGTTACTCGTGTTTTAGTGGTGTCACGAATATGATAAAGAATTATGTATTTACGTTATTGAAAAGAAAACATCTAATGTTAATATATCAAGTCCACACGATACACATAAATATTCCCTTTGTCTTTGAAAATTGCAAACTAACTCTTACTAGATATGTGATGTGTGTGCATGTTGAATATAAAGTATAATGCTTTTAAAATAGTGTTTTTACCTCGTATGTGAATAATCACATGCACACGCAAGATTACAAAGTATAAACGAGTTTCTGTCTGTATCCGTCATCAAAACTCAGGATGAGTCATGAACCATTTTTCAAAGTATAATTTCTTTATAGAAGTTTCGTTGAAAGTAATGTACTCAAAGAGTGGTAATTCAATTAGTCATCTTTTTATGGTATGAATAGTAAATTAGATTTTAAAAATTGAAATTTTATGCTTAAGATGATAATTACAGTGTGTGCGAGACTGTGACAAGAAACCTATATAATAATAATCATGTCCATGTTATACATTGGATCTTCACTTTATTTTTGAGAAGGATGAAAAAAAAACCTTAGCAATGAGGGAAATTCAGCTCACAAAACAAATAAACATTTGTTGACTATCTGTGAATGAGTTTTTGAACTGAGCTGATACGTATAGTAACCTAAATTAAATGTCCATAATAATAATTAATAACCAAAATAAGTTAATACCATCTCTAATGAAAAAAATGTTCAACTCTTCTAAAATTTTGAGATCATTTTAAATTTTTTATTGTTCTTCAATTGTGCACTACTGCACTTAGGAGGAGTTTGTGACTTGTGAGTATTGGACCATGTTTGAAAATGAGATTAATTTTTTATCTTACTTGTTAATTGAGAGTCATGCAAAGGCATCTCTTTTTTCTGCTTTTGCACAACAATAAGAAATTAAAAGGTTATTGTTTACATTTTAGAAGGGAAGGAATTCACTAAATAATATTCGTAAGTTGACATTATATTTAATTATAAGCAAAAGTGTTTAAGATGGTAAGATTACTGCATTGACATTATTAAAAGGTATAACATGAACCCAGCGAAGAAGAAAACAAAACATAACTGATATTAGATTATTATTCTAGGTTTAATAACCAAGACAAATGTAATTACCCTATTGGCTTATTTCATCCGTCATATATTAACTTTTTATTTATCTATCATAGTAATGCATCAGTTATCTATCATCATACGTATAAATATAAAGTATGCATCACTTTTTTACTACTATCCAACTGTTATATTCAAGCTGCTCGTAGCAATGGAAGACCTTAAAATCGCAGTTCGGAGCTGCTATCTTCTCTAGAAGCGTCCTCGCCGTGTCCTCTTGCCTAACCTTCGCATCCTTCTTCTCCACCAGCACAGCTCGGGTGATCTTATCGAACCCTTTGCCTTCGCCACGAGCCATGAAATCAACCAGCGCCGCTTGTACTGGCCCCAAACTAATATTATACGCCACCGTTTCAATGTACCATCCTCTATACACTTTCCCTTCGCAAACCAGCGCCACCCCCGACGGACACTTGCTGTGTGGCGCGTATGATTTTTTCGCCGCCTGTAAAGCCACCAACTTTAGAAGGGGATAAAGGTTCGAGTTGAAGAGGGCGAGACGGTTATCACACTCCACGAGAAGGAGAGACGGTTCTGCCGGGAGGATACTTTCGGGGCCGAATTTGTCTGGCATGTGGCTCTCGAGGCTCTTGAATGATCCGTCTTCGTCGTTTCTGTTTTTTATCAGAATTTCTATTTGAGGTGCATCGGTCATCTCCTGAAGAAAGTGGGTGCAGCGGTAGCACGGGTCGTGGAAGACGGTGCCATTATTGGAGACGGCTAAGTGAGTGAGTTTTGACTCGAGGTTGAGGGCGAGGTTGGCGATTAGGAATTGTTCAGCTTGGATTGAAAGGCTAGGAGAAAGACCTTCAAATTCGACATTGGCGCCTAAGTAGACCCGACCAGATGATGCGCGTCCAATGGCTCCGACTTTGATTGGAACCTTAGCGAGATTCCTAGCCTTTTCGATTAGTTTTGGAAGTTTCTTGTGGTCGGTGACACCTTCGGATGCGGCTTCTTCGTTAGTGAAAACGAACTTGTACTGTTGAGCCATTGTCTGTCTCTGTGTGATTTCGGATCGTGTTTGAGATTTTATGTTAAGAGATTGGAAATGAGATGAGAATTGGAAGCAAGTCGATCTTTCGCTATTTATATAGATGTGCCGTGTCTGTGTGATTATTCTAAAAGTACTTTTTAAATCGTGTTTACGTCATTAGCATACGAAACTAATTATAATACAAGAAATAAAGGTGACGTGACATTTCAAATTAAATGTTGTTTGTAAAAAAAAAAAAAAAAAAAAACTAAGAAGTGTTATAAAACTTGTTGTTCTATTGATTAATGAATGAAGTTTCGATACATATATATACATGAAGAGGGGAGACAAATCCCCATAGGGCTAGTAAACCCTAAAGCCCAAAAGCCCACTAAGTACAATATAGGCCGTCATAAGGAGAGTCTTCTAGAACATGGGCATGGGCCTTCTAGGACATGGACATAGGCTTCTAGAATATGGATAAGGCCCACGGTTATGGAGTCCATCCAACATGTGATTTATAACACTCCCCCTTGGATGACATAACCGTGTAGATGCCAAAGGATCTCAGTAATACGCTTGGGGGATGCTGCCTCATTAAAACCTTACCAGGAAAACCCATTGGGACAAAACCACGGTGAAGGAAAAAGAGTACAGCACGTATTACTCCCCCTGATTTGGTCATCCCTGTAAGTCCTTAAGTCTCCGCGTCCCAATCTGGTGCGTGAGCTTCCTCAATGTTGATGTCGGTAATGCCTTGGTAAAGAGATCGGCTGAGTTGTCGCTGGATCGAACTTGTACCACTCGAACTTCTCCATCCCTTTGCAAGTCATGCGTGAAGAAGAACTTTGTTAAGATGTGCTTCGTCCGATCTCCCTTGATGTAGCCGTCCTTGAGCTGAGCGATACAGGCTGTGTTGTCTCCTCATATGATGGTCGTTGATGTTGTAGTAGCTGCGCCTTGAAGAAGGCTGCCTACGTACCCTTGGAAGGGATCAAGCCACACGTAGTTCCTATTTATTGACCATGCCATAATCTGATTTTACCTGCATCAGCAAAACAAACTAAACCAAAGCAAACTAGACCTTCTTTGGTTAGATCAATATAGAATAAAACCCAAATAAACAAACATAGGAAGAATAGAATTTAAAATTTAACCAAACCTTCCTTCAAACCTTTCTAGTGCCTTTGGGTTGATCATGAACTAAATTTAGGCAAAGGAGGTTCACGGCAAAACATATGTCTGGTCTAGTGTGGCTAGCCAAGTACATTAACGCTCCTATGGCACTAAGGTATGGCACTTCAGGATCGAGAATTTCTTCCTCATCCTTCTTTGGACCGAATGGATCACTATCCAATCCGAGGCTTCTCACCACCATTGGGCTGCTCAATGGGTGGGCCTGGTCCATATTGAATCTCTTGAGTACTTTTTCAGTATATGCCTTTTGATGCACAAGGATTACATTATTCATGTACTCAAGTTGCAATCCCAAACAGAATTTTGTCTTGCCTAGGTCTTTCATCTCGAATTTTTTCTTTAGATATTCGACTGTTTGGGCGATTTCCCCAGAGGTTCCAAGGATGTTTAAATCATCCACATATACTGCTATTATCACAAACCCTTTGTTTGCAAATTTCTTTATGAAGATACATGGACTGATGGGATCATTCTTATAACCTTCTCTGACTAGGTACTCGCTTAATCTATTGTACCACATGCGTCCACTTTGTTTCAGTCCATAAAGTGATTTGTTCAGCCTTATGCAGTATTGGTCTCGAGACCCTTTCTTATCTTTATCTTTGAGCTCAATACCCTCTGGTAATCTCATATATATCATCCAGTGGACTTATATAAATATGCAGGCATTACATCCATTAGCCGCAAATCAAGTCTTTTTTTTTATATAGCCAGACTTAGCAAAATTTAAATGTATTAGCATCCACCACATGGGAGTATGTTTCTTCATAATCTATCCCCGGTCTTTGTGAGAATCCTTGTGCTACAAGCCGTGCCTTATATCTCACGATTTCATTATTCTCATTTCTCTTCTTCACAAAGACCCATTTGTGTCCTACTGGTTTTTACATCGAATGGTGTCCTTAAGGTCGGACCAAACTCATTCCTTTCTTAATGATTCTTAGCTCCACGTTTTATGGTCTTGTACCATTTAATCAATCAAGTCTTTGAGTGCACTCTAGTATAGACGTGGGCTCCTGATCCTCATTTATATTCATAAATTCAAGTGCTACCTTGCATGCAAAATCATCTTATGTCGACATTTCTTATATGTTCCATTATGTTCCAGACATGATATAATCGATTTGAGATTTATTATGGTCAGGACCTTTAATACTTTGCAGCTTGGCGTCCCAAGCTACATTATATGGTACCTGTACCTTAGAGCCGGCCGGCCTTATCTCCATGTCTGGGATGGTTTCCTTAGTAACCTCGGATTCCTATTGCACCTTTCTTTGATTTTCGAGGATTTTTATCTTTGGAACCTATTGGTCTACCACGTTTCTTTCGTGTGTTAGACTCGGTAGCAATTTCATTGATTCCCTTTTGGATATCAATACGTACTGGTGCATTACAAGCTGGTATGTACGTTTTTGTAACTTTCTTTGGGTCAGCAAAGGAATCTGGCAATTCATTAGCTAGCTTTTGCAAATTTATTATTTTCTGGACCTCTGATTCACATGCCAGAGTCCGAGGATCTTGCCAATTCAAGGATGTTTGATTCCATGATATTTCTTTTATATCTTTACCCAGCTTGTTTGTCTCTCCACCTAAAGTAGGAAATTCGGATTCATTAAAATGACAATCCGCGTATCTAGCCTTAAATAGATCACCCGTAGTTGGCTCTAGATACTTAATAATGGTGGGAGAATCAAATCTAACATATATTCCCATCCTCCTTTGAGGTCCCATCTTTGTTCTATGTGGTGGAGCGATCGGTACATATATGGCACACCCGAAAGTCTTTAGATGGGATATGTCTGGCTCATGACCCATGAGTAATTGGGATGGTGAATATCTATTTTCACTAGATGGCCTTATGCGTATAAGCCCTGATGCATGTAAAACAGCGTGTCCCCAAGCGGCTACAGGAAGCTTCGACCTCATGAGTAATGGTCGAGCTATCAATTGAATTCGTTTAATGAAGGATTCCGCTAATCCATTCTGTGTATGTACATGTGCTACGGGATGTTCCACACTTACCCCCATGGACATACAGTAGTCATTAAACGCTTGGGACGTGAATTCACCGGCATTGTCTAGACGTATAGTCTTAAGCGGAAAATCTGGAAAGTGGGCTCGCAGTCTTATTATCTGGGCCAATAACCTAGCAAACACTTGGTTTCTAGTAGATAGGAGACAAACATGCGACCATCTTGTCGATGCATCAATGAGGACCATACATATATCTCCTTGTATCCTTTCCAGAAATTTTAAGGTCTCTTTATTTACCTTAGCCGGTGATGGCCTTATAATGAGTTTCCCTTGTGAACATGCTTCACACGTGAGATTCTTAGGGATAACTCTTTTCTCTTTTAGGGTGTGCCCCTTTGAATTTATCATAAGCTTACGCATCATACTATGACCCGGATGGCCAAGCCGGTCATGCCATAAAGTGAATTTCTCGATAAACTCTTTGTTCATTGCCATATTAGCTTCGATCATATCGATTTTAGCATAGTAAAGACCAGTGGATAATGCGGGTATAGTCTCTAGGACTTTCTTATGTCCTTGGGTGATCTCAATTATATTTAGGAATTCTTTGTTCCCTTCACCTTTTGTTTCAATATGGAAACCATTTAATCTTATATCTTTGAAACTTAACAAGCTCCTCTTCGAGCTGGGTGAATATAGGGCATCGCTTATTTCGAGATGCGTGCCATTTGGTAATAGAATATGGGCTTGGCCGTAGCCCTTAATAAGATTTGCTATACCCGCTAAGTGCTAATATTGGCATTTTTCATTTCTTATCTTTTGTGTGGCTCCACTATCCACCACAATTATGTTCTTGTCCTCGGCCATTTCTTATATGGACAAGAATCATGTTCTAAACATAAAATAATATAAAATAAATTCAAGCAAATAACAATCAATGAACACATAAAATGCAAAGAAAAACATAGAGGTTTTGATGTCGAAGTAAGATTTATCAACTTGATTCTTTTATGCAATCAGAAGTTTCATACTCTATTAGATCATCTTGATCATGTTCACCATCTTTATATACCAAATGGGCTTTAGGATTCTTCCCTTTACACTCTCTTGATAGAGGTCACAACGATGTTTGGAAGTCCTACATATCTTAGCCCAATGGTTTCCCATTCCATATCTATGGCATACTCATTTGGTCGAGTGTTGTGGTTTGGAAATACCACATCGTCCTCGCCCCCGACCACGGCCGGAATTGGGTCTACATCCACGGTTATAGTGGTTCCCACGGCCGGATGAGTTATAGTGGCCACAACCACGTCCTTTTAATACCACCACGGTCACGGCCGTGTGGTCTATCACTTTAGACGTGGTTAGATTCTTTGGATTCTTTCTTATCCTCTGCGGCCTTATTGGCATTAGGTAATGGGGTTAATCTATGAGGTCGTAATTCACTGTTTTTATCTGTAAGTCACTATTTTTTTTTTTTCATCTAGCAATAGACTCATCCACGGACTTATAGTCCTGGATTATGAGACTCTCAATAAGATAGTGGCTAATATTGCCTTGTATCTATCTTTCTCTCTTGGCATTCTTGCCTTATTAGATACATTCACCAAGTCCTTTTGACTTTAGGATAATCTTAGTATCTATTGCCCATTTTAAAATAATTATCTCCTAAGAGATTTAGGGCAGTAAAGTACAAGTTGTAATTCAACATCTACAAGGAAAAGTTTTGAGTCAAAATCATGTAATCGTTAGTGTCATGCGGTATTTGAGACCGAACCATGAATCGATTTACTTAGGGATTTGACTTTCCTCTTTTGCTTAGGATTAGATTTCCTCTTTTGATTAGGATTAACTTTTCCTTTTCCTTTTCCTTTTAGGATTTACTTTCCTCTTTACTTTAGGATTAATTTTCCTATTTCTAAATATTTCCTAATTTGATTAGGGTTTTAGAGTTTTAAGATTTTCTATTTAAGATTTTAGGGTTTTTAGGATTTCCTATTTTATTTAGGATTTAGGGTTGTTGAGATTTCCTATTATTTAGGGTTTTGATATTTCCTATTTTATTTAGGGTTTTAGGATTTTCTATTATCCCTAAGATTTAGGATTTTAAAGATTTCCTATTTTCTAGGGTTTCCTATTTTATTTAGGGTTTTAGGATTATCTAAGTTTTCTAGGGTTCATGCAATTTTAGTTTTAGGGTTTATAACAACTTATGCATGTAATCAATCAAAGAAACAATCAAATTAAAAACGCCCTAAGCAAATAATTTGCGTAACCCATGTAATTTGCGTAACCTATGTAATTTGCGTAACCCATGTAATTTGCGTAACCTATGTAATTTGCGATTTTTAGGTTTAGATAATTAAAACTTCTCTAGCAACTTAGGCGAGTTTAGCTTAAGCGATAATCAAATCAACTTTTTCTAGCAACCTAAACGAGTCAAACAATCGGATCTCACAAGCAAAGCAATCACTTAATCAATCATCATTCGTTTTAGGGTTTCTCTTTGCTTAACTTTCAAATTCAATTGTTGGCTCTTTAGCTTTAGGGTTTTGATGTTACCTTTCACCTTATGGGGTTGTATGGACTAGAACCGGGAGCTAAAGACCTCGGTAACTCACGCTGCTGCAACGAACCGCAAACAGTACCACGATGAACAGTACCGCGATGAACAGTGTCGCGATGAACAGTGTCGGCGATGAACAGTGCCGCGATGAACAGTGTCGGCGATGAACTGTGCCGCGATGAACAGTGTCAGCGATGAACAGTGTCGGCGATGAACAGTGCCGCGATGAACTGTGTCGGCGTGAACAGTATCGGCGATGAACAGTATCGGCGATGAACAGTGTCGGCGATGAACAGTGTCGGCGTGAACAGTACCGCGATTTTTAGGGTTAGGGTTGTTAAGAGCAAACTCGTGCTGATAACGTGTTATAAAACTTGTTGTTCTATTGATTAATGAATGAAGTTTCGATACATATATATACATGAAGAGGGGAGACAAATCCCCATAGGGCTAGTAAACCCTAAAGCCCAAAAGCCCACTAAGTACAATATAGGCCGTCATAAGGAGAGTCTTCTAGAACATGGGCATGGACCTTCTAGGACATGGGCCTTCTAGGATATGGACATAGGCTTCTAGAATATGGATAAGGCCCACGGTTATGGAGTCCATCCAAGTGATTTATAACAAGAAGTTTATTTGTAAAATACTTGTTCAAATGTTGATAGATTCTAACATAGTGTTTACTCGTGAATTTATAATGTTGTCACATATACGATATATAATGAGTTTGGTTTATGTAGAGGAAAAGGTATTTGATAATAATCAAGATTCAAGTCCATGGAATACATAAATCTTCCTTTTTTCTTAGAAAATACAAACTAAATATTACTAGATTAGTCTAGATATGTGATATGTGTGCTGTATGCATGTTGAATACTTTTAAAATAGGGTTAAGAGCATCAGCAGTGGCACAAGCAGGTAGGTGTGAGTCTTGGGATATAGGTATTAAAAAAACGAAAAAATTGTCTCTCTCTTCGCACTCGGGTGTAAGTTTACACTCGGATGTAATACTTTTTCTCTCTATCTCTCTCTTTCTTTCTCTTTCTCTTTTCTCTTTTGCTTTAAATTATAATACTAAAAAAATACTTACACCCACACAAACACATTTGCCACTGATAGTCTAACAAAATCTAAACGTGTTTACCTTACGTGAAGAATGACACGCACACGCAAGATTACAAAATATAAACAAGGTTGTGACTGTATTTGTCGCTAACAAGACTCATGATGACTCAATTAATTAACCATTTTTCAAAGCTAATTTGCTTTATAGTAGTTAGGATTACTTAGCTTTAGTAGTTTTGTAGAAACCAACTGTACTGAAGAGTTGTAAGAAAATAATTAATTATTTAATCTTTAATTAGGTACATAATTTCATGGAATGAATAAGTAAATAGATAACAATTGAGAATTTTATTTCATAAAATGATAACTAAATTGGTTGCTTAGTGTGTTAGACTGTGACAACAAATATATCTACTAATAATTGAGTCTATTATATACACATCGATCTTTACTTTGTCTTTGAAATTGCAAACGATCCTCACGAATGAGTACTTTTTTGGTAGCCCATTTTAAATTTATTATAGATGATTTTTCGGAAAAAAAACAAGCTAGCACAACTTACAAATTCAAAGTTCAAACCATGTCATATGATTACTTTTGTCTATTTGTGAATGGGTTTCAGCTGAGATTATAGGAGTAGCACCCAAATTAAACTAAATGTCCATACTAATAAAAATTGGTATGCCATTGCATATAATGTGATTCTGGTAATATATCATACGTTTATTAAAATTGACGTTATTAACATCTGTACCCTTATATTTTTAAATAGTATATGCTACATTTATCAATTTGTACAGGCTACAAAGAAATAAAGACTAACATAAATAAGAACATAAAGAGTCAAATCACATGCGCACGCAAGATGATGTAAACAGAGAAATCACTTTTATGTCTCAATTCTCAACAAAATTTCAACCTTAACTATTTTTAGCAAATCCCACTTTCTTGAACCTCATAACTTTTAACATTTTACCATGGAGGTTACGGTTCAAGTTGCAATGATAAATTTCATAATTTTGTAATTAGACTAAGCTTATATTGCTATTTGTCATGTTAAATTAGGATTGGTCTAGGGGAAATGATACAGCATAATACTTTTGTAATTAGACATTTTAGGGGTTCGGAAAGAAGTTATTACCGTCTTTTATGAAACAAGCATATTCAATCATGAAATTTAACTCTTCTAAAATTCTGAGATAGTTTTATTGTTCCTCAGATGTGCACTTAGTAGAAATTTGCCGGTGGTCAATTAATTGTCAACTTATTCTCCACCTTGATGTGTTTGCAGATGAGACTTTTTATCTTACTCATTAATGGAGATTCATTAAAAGACTTTTTTTTTTCTTTTTCTGGTTTTGCAAAAAACATTTTTTTTTGGTTCTTACTTCTTATTTTAGAAGAGAATCAATTCACAAAATAATATTTGTAAGCTGACATTTATAAGTACAAAGTGATTTGAGATGGTAAGATTACTACATTGAAATTATATTTAAAAGTAATTAACATGAACCAAAGAAGAAAACAAAACATAAATATGAATATATTATATATTGACACCACTGAAAGGTAACATGAAGTCATGAACCGAAGTAGAAAACATATATAACATAATTATGATTCACTGACATTATTAAAAGGTTTAACGAACCCAACCAAGAAGACAACAAAGAATAATCAATATAATTTGATAGGATAATAAAATAGTTTAATAACGAAGACCAGTGTAATCCCCTACTGGCGTATTATTTTCCTTACTAAGTATCCCTTTTTACCGTTCTCTACCTCCGGTATTGTAATATAATTCATTTTTTTTACGATATCCTCGTAGCAATGGAAGACCTTGAAATCGCAGTTCGGAGCTGCTATAGTGTCTAAAATCATCTTCGCCGTGCCCTCTTGACTCACCCTCGCATTTTTCTTTTCCACCAGCACCGCTTCGCCGATCTTATCGAACCCTTTGCCTCGGCTACGAGCCACGAAATCAACCAGCGCAGCTTGTACTGGTCCCAAACTAGGGTTTGACGCCACTGATTCAATGTACCATCCACGGTACCACTTCCCATCGTTATCCTGCAGCGCCACTCCCGACGGAGAGTTAGTGTACGGCGAGAACGAGTTGTTTGCCGCGGCTAGAGCCTTGCACTTCAAATGGGAACAATCTGATGAGCATATCTCTCCGGCAGAACCCGAGAGGGTGAGGCAGTTATCGTGCTTCTCGAGAAGGAGAGGGGAACAGGGGGAGAATCTGTCCGGAAGGAGGAGTCTAAGGCTCCTGAATGACCCTTCTTCATGCTTTGATTTGAGAAGGATTTGGATGTCAAGCGCGTTTCTCATCTCCATAAGAAACTGGCGGCAGTTCCCGCACGGTGCGCCGAAGTCGTTGACGTCAGTAGAGATGGAGACGGCTAACAGATGGAGGCCTTTCTCAGAGTTGAGTGCGAGGTTGGTGACGAGGAATTGCTCGGCGTGGATGGAGTGGTGAAGAGGAAGACCTGGTAATTCGACATTGACGCCTAAGTAGATCCGACCCGATGGTGCGCGTCCAACGGCTCCGACTTTGTATTTGGAGATTGGAGCCCGAGCGAGTGACATCGCCTTTGTGATCAGATTTGGAAGTCTGAAGGGTTCGGTGACGCCTTCCGATTCTGCTTCTTTGGCAGTGAAAACAAACTTGTACTGATCTTGTGCCATTTTCTCTGTCTGATTTAGGATCGTGTTTTGAGATTTTATGTTGAGAGATGAGATGAGAAGTGAGATTAGGTCTTTACCTATTTATATAGATGTGTTGTGTCTGTGAGCTTATTGTGCAAGTACTTTTTAAAATCGTGTTTAGGTCATTCGTAGACGCAAACAATACGTTAGTGTGTGAACTACAAGATTAAAAAAAGGTGATTGTGACTATCAACATTCATGAACTAGCTTTTTAAACAAAGTAGTAATTAGGGTTAGTTTTTTAGTTAGTATAAAAGTAATGTAATGAAGAGTGTAGTAATATATATAAAATTTAACGTCATGAGGACTAATAGTCCTTAACTTTTATTTAGTAGTAACATTTTAATGGTTTGAATAGTAATGTAGATAAAAATTAAGAAGTTTATTTGTAAAATATATGCTAGTTCAACCGTCGGTAGATTGTAGCATAGAGAATTATTTTGGTAGATATCAGATCTGATATTGAATATGTGTTTAAAATTGTCTGATATGTGATATGTGTGTATATATGAATGCTTTTAAAATGGTGTTTACCAATTACCACGTAAGTAAATAATTTCATGCACACGCAAGAATATAAACGAGATTATGACTGTATCTCCGTCATTAAGACTCATGATGACTCATGAACCATTTCTCAAAACAGATTTGCTTTTTAAGTAGTTACGGTTACTTTAGTAGTCTTGTAGAAAATACTATACTAAAGAATGGTTATAAAAAAAAATCAGTAGTGTTAATTAGTCACAAATTCATGGTATGAATACTGAAACAAACAAAAATTGGGAATTTTATTCACAAAAGTGATAATTTAATTCATTGAATACTGTGTGAGATTGTGACAATATAAAAACATCTAATAATACTCAAGTCCATGATATACATGGATTTTCTCTTTGTCTTTGAAATTGAATCTTGTTCAGAAATGAGTACTTTGGGTAGATCAGTTTGAACTTAAAAGTATGATATATTTGTTCGAAAATAAGCTTACTACACAACTCATAAATTCAAAGTTCATATGATTCTATGTTTCTTAAGTTAGTTTCAGATAATTTTTTGAGTGGATTATGGATTGAAACTTTTTTAAGAAATAATCATTATTTACTTATGGGAAAATAGTATATGCTACATTTAATAATTTGTTACACGTGATTTTACTGATACAAAACAAATAAAATTTACCATAAATAATAACAAAGTATCAAATCACATGTCCACACAAGATGACGTGAACAGAACAGAGAAATCACTTTTATGTCTCAATTCTCAACAAAATTTCAACCTTTAACTATTTTTAGCAAACCCCACTTTCTCGAACCTCATAACTTTTAACTCATTACCATGAAGATTATTGCTCAAGTTGAAATAATACACCTTTATACTTTTGCAATTAGACTAATCTCATGGCATCTATTGCTATTTGTTATGCTTATGGTCGGTCTAAGGAAAATGATAGATACAGCATTATACTTTTGTAATTAGAAATTTTTAAGGATTCAAAAAGAAGTTGTTACCATCTTTTATAAAACAAACATATTCAATCATGAAATTTAACTCTTCTAAAATTCTGAGATAGTTTTATATGTTGTTCCTCAAAACAATTTTTTTGCGTCCACTATCTCAATGGGTATTTTAGAAGAGTATCAATTCACAAAATAATATTCGTAAGCTGACATTAATTTATAAGTACAAAGTGATTTCGTAAGATTAGTACACTGAAATTATATTAAAAGGTAACATGAACCAAAGAAGAAAACAAAACATAATTATGAATATAATATATATTGACACCACTGAAAGGTAACATGAACCCAAGAGGACAACATAACATAATTACGATTCTATGACATTATTAAAAGGTTTAATGAACCCAACCAAAAAGTAAACAAAGCATTATTATGATAGGATAATAAAATAGTTTAATAGTGAAGACCAGTGTAATCCCCTACTGATGTATCTATCACCAGCGTATCACGAAGATACTTGAGTCTTTTTGCGCCATCCACAGAGCAATGAAAGACCTTGAAATCGCAGTTTGGAGCTGCTATAGTGTCTAAAATCATCTTCGCTGTGCGCTCTTGACTCACGATCGCGTTATTCTTTTCCACCAGCACCGCTCGGACGATCTTATTGAACCTTTTGCCTCGGCTACGAGTCACAAAATCAACCAGCGCAGCTTGTACCGGTCCAAAACTAGGGTTAGACGCCACTGATTCAATGTACCATCCATAGTACCACTTCCCGTCGTTATCCAGCAGCGCCACTCCCGACGGAGACTCGGTGTACGGCGAGAACGAATTGTTTGCTGCGGCTAGAGCCTTGCACATCAAATGTGAACAGTCTGATGAGCATATCTCTCCGGCAGGACCCGAGAGGGTGAGGCAGTTATCGCGCTTCTCGAGAAGGAAAGGGGAACCTTTCGGGAGGACGTTCGGAAGGAGGTGTCTAAGGCTCGAGAATGATCCTGCTTCATGCTTTGGTTTGGACATGATTTTGATGTCAAGCGCGTTGCTCATCTCCATAAGAAACTGGCGGCAGTGTCCGCACGGCGTGCCGAATTCTTTGCCGTCAACAGAGATGGCGACGGCTAACTCACAGAGGTCTTTCTCGGAGTTGAGGGCGAGGTTGGTGACGAGGAATTGCTCGGCGTGGATGGAGTGGTGAAGAGGAAGACCTGGGAAGTCGACATTGACGCCTAAGTAGACCCGACCAGATGATGTGCGTCCAACGGCTCCGACTTTGTATTTGGAGATTGGAGCCCGAGCGAGTGACATCGCCTTCCTGATTAGATTTGGAAGTCTGATGGGTTCGGTGACGCCTTCAGCTGCTGCTTCGTTGGCAGTGAAAACGAACTTGTACCGATCTTGTGCCATTGTCATGTTTTTAATTTTTGTGACCAGATCTTGCAAATGAGATAACAAGTTAGGACGTTGTGCCATTGTCGTGTTTTGAGATTTTATGTTGAAGATATGAAATGAGATGAGAATTGAGAGTAAGTCTTTACCTATTTATACAGGTGTGTTGTGTCTGTGTGCTTATTGTGAAAGTACTTTTTAAAATCGTGTTTAGGCCATTCGTATACGCAAACAATACGTTAGTGTGTGAACTACAAGATTAAAAAAGGTGATTGTGACTATCAACATTCATGAACTAGCTTTTTAAGCCAAGTAGTTAGGGTTAATTTTCTAGTTAGTATATATATATAATATAAAGTAAAGTAATGAAAAGTATTCTAGGAAGACTAATATAATAGTCCCTAGCTAACTTTTATTTAGTAGTAACATTTAATGGTTTGAATAGTAATATTGATAAAATTTAAGAAGTTTATTTGTAAAATGCTAGTTCAATTGTCGGTAAATTGTAGCATAGCGATGATTTATTTTGATAGTAGTGTCAAATGTGATATGTGTTTGAAAATTTCAAAGTAATAATATTACCAGATGTGTGATGTGTTTTAGATGTATATAAAATGCTTTTAAAATGGTGTTTACCACGTAAGTAAGGAATTACATGCACACGCAAGAATATAAACGAGATTATGTACTGTACCTCCGTCATTAGGAATATATAAGTAATAAATTTGTAAAAGTTATAGTTAAGAGATTGTATTTTTGGTTTAAGATTTTATGTGTATGTAATGGTAGGCTCTTAACATGTGGTTCTTAAAAAAAATATTAATATAAAAATAAAATTTATAATTATAAAAATTTTAATAATTGTTGCAAATTAAAAAAATTAAAACATATATGAGATACAATTCAAATTTTGAAAATTTTATATGAGTATATGAACTTTTGAGTGTTTACATTTGAATGATCATTAATTTGAGTAAACATTTGTCATAATTGTCTTATATCTTCTTCTTTCTTCTTTATCAAGTTTTGGTTAAACCAAATTTTGAATGAAACAGAGTTGTGGTTTTGGACAAAAGTGTTTACATTTGTGTTGGACAGAAAAACAAACTTAAAGTGTTTACAAAGTTTTAGTTCAAACAAAAGATTTGCCATCTCTACTTGCTATGTGATGCTTGCCATCTTCTAGTTGAAGTTTTGGTTCGGACAAAAGATTCACCAAGTCTTCAGTTTTATTGTCATCTCCTGAATAGAAGCAACATGAATACAAGTAAATTACCGACCAAGCAGAGGCATTAAAATGAATAGACTACAAGCAGACACATTATCATAATAGTACCTTGACATAGAACTATTCACATAATTCACATTAAAAATCAAGCTTTCAAAAGAATCACACATCAAAATCAGAAACCAAGAGAAGACCAAAGATCAAATCTTTGAAAACTCATTACCTCGTTGCTAAAGTAGAATCTCCGAGAACAGAATGATCTCGGCGGGATAAAATTAGCACCAATTTTAAGATTATGAGCTTTGATTAGAGACAAAGTATCTCAAAATACTGATTGTTAAATTCTCTCCAAACCCTAATAATCTCGGCTTTCTCTAAGAACTTCTTCTCTCTGTTCGATTCGATGAAAGCAAAACACGATCTGAGAGATCTTCTTAATCGAATCAGCTAACTTATGTTGATTTTGGTTGAATTTGCCATGGGTGAGACGAGAAAAGAGAGAGGTCGAAAAAGAAAGAACACGCGAAAGAGAGAAAGAGGAGGAGAGAGAAAGAGGAGGTGGCTCATTTTTTTCCCTTCACACAGCGACACGTGTCGCCTCTTAGCCTAAAAATAATATCTCTTAGATAAGGAACGTTTCTTAGGTTTAATACTGATTTATCATTTAATTTTAATTATTTATAACCTAAAATTTTGTCTAAGATACCACCGTTATTGATGCTCTCATAAACCATTTTTCATAACAAATTTCCTTTTAAGTTGTTTACGGCTACTCTAGTACTCTTGAAGAAATTACTATACTAAAGAATGGTTAAAAGATGTGCATGTTGAATGCTTTAAAATAACGTGTTTACCTTGTACGTGAAGAATGACACGCACACGCAAGATTACAAAATATAAACAAGGTTGTGACTGTATCCGTTGCCAACAAGACTCATGATGACTCATGAACCATTTTCAAAGCTAATTTGCTTTATAGTAGTTAGCATTACTTTAGTAGTTTTGTAGAATACAACTGTACTGAAGAGTTGTAAAATATAATAGTTCTAACATAGTCTTTAATCAGGCACATGATTTCATGGTATGACTAATAAAATAGATAACAATTGGGAATTAGATAACGAAATTGATTGCATAGTACGTGTGAGACTGTGACAATACTAATTAAGTCCATTATATACGTCGATCTTTACTCTTTGAAACTGCAAACGATCCTCACGAAGGGGTGCTTTTTTTAATTTGATAGACGATTTTAAATTTAATATATATGAGTTTTTCGGGAAAAGAAGAAAATAGCTAACACAACTCACAAATTCAAAGTTCAAACCATGTAATATGATTACTTAAGAAATAACAATCATAAATTAGTTTCCTTCATAATAAAAAAAAAAGAGAAATGAATGAGAAGGATGAATGGGTTGAAATAGATACAAATTAATAAAATGAAGTTCGTTTACACTCCCAGCGAAGCAGCAGAAATGAAGCTCGTTTACACTTCATTTTATAAAAAACGATACTATTAGAAGGAAAATTGTCAATGTGATTTTTATATATAACATACTTTCATAGAAATACAGACTAACATAAATAATAACATAAAGAATCAAATCACAGGCGTACGCAAGATGACATATGGACAGAACAGAGAAATCACACTTCTATGTCTCAATTCTCAAAAATATTTCAACCTTTGACTATATTTACCAAACCCCACTTTCTCGATCCTCATAACTTTTAGCTTATTATATACCATGTATTGAAATGATACACCTTTACACTTTTGCAATTAGTCTAATCTTATGGCATCTATTGCTATTTGTTATGCTTATGCTCGGTCTAACGTCTAAGAGAAATGATACAGCATTATACTTTTGTAATTAGACATTTTTAGGAGTTCAGAAAGAAGTTGTTACCCTCGTTTATGAAAAGTAAATGTAAAATATTCAATTATGAAACCAACACTTCTGAAATTCAGTGATAGTTTTATTGTTCCTCAATGGTCCACTTATTCCCCACCTTGATATTTTTGCAAATGAGGCTTTTGTCTTACTCATTAATGTATATCCATTCAAAGACATATTTTTGTTTCTTTCTGTTTTTTTCAAACGCAATAAAAAAAGTTTTTGTTCACATTTTAGAAGAAAAGCAGTTCACATATTATTTTCGTAGAGTAACAAGAACCAAAGAAGAAAAACAAAACATAATTATAAATATATTATATATTGACACCACTGAAAGGTATATAACATGAACCAAAGAAGAAAACACAACATAATTATGATTCTGTGACATTATCAAAAGGTTTAACGAACCCAACCAAGAAGACAACAAATCATAATAATTCTGATAGGATAATAAAATAGTTTAATAACGAAGACCAGTGTAATCCCCTACTGGCTATTATTTTCCTTGCTAATAGTATCGTTTTTTTTATCTATCACTATTCACTAATATACTTTTTTGGAAATCCACGTCGCAATGGAAGACCTTGAAATCGCAGTTCGGAGCTGCTATAGTGTCTAAAATCATCTTCGCCATGCCCTCTTGACTCACCCTCGCATTATTCTTTTCCACCAGCACCGCTTCAACGATCTTATCGAACCCTTTGCCTCGGCTACGAGCCACGAAATCAACCAGCGCAGCTTGTACCGGTCCCAAACTTGGGCTATACGCCACTGATTCAATGTACCATCCACGGTACAAGATCCCGTCCTCATCCCGCAGCGCCACTCCCGAGGGAGAGTCAGTGTACGGCGAGAAAGAATTGTTTGCCGCGGCTAGAGCCTTGCACTTCAAATGGGAACAATCTGACGAGCATATCTCTCCGGCAGAACGCGAGAGGATGAGACAGTTATCGCGCTTCTCGAGAAGGAGAGGGGAACCCTTTGGAAGGACGTCGTCGGGGGAGAATCTGTACGGAAGGAGGAGTTTAAGTTTCCCGAATGATCCTTCTGCTTCATGCTTTGATTTGAGCAGGATTTTGATGTCAACCTCGTTGCTGGTCTCCATAAGAAACTGGCGGCAGTTTCCGCACGGCGCGCCGAATTCGATGCAGTCATTAGAGATGGCGACAGCTAACTGACGGAGGCCTTTCTCGAAGTTAAGGGCGAGGTTGGTTACGAGGAATTGCTCGGGGTGGATGGAGTGGTGAAGAGGAAGACCTGGGAAGTCGACATTGACTCCTAAGTAGACCCGACCCGATGATGCGCGTCCAACCGCTCCGATTTTGTATTTGGAGATTTGACCCCTAGCCAATGACATCGCCTTTCTGATGAGCTTTGGAAGTCTGATGGGTTCGGTGACACCTTCCGATGCTGCTTCGTTGGCAGTGAAAACAAACTTGTACTTATCTTGTGCCATTGCCCTGTTTTGAGATTCTACGACGAGATTTTGGAAATGAGATAACAGGTTAGGACGTTGGGCCATTGTCTCTGTCTGATTTAGGATCGTGTTTTGAGATATGAAATGAGATGAGAAGTGATATTGAGTCTTTGCCTATTTATATAGGTGTGTTGTGTCTGTTTGCATATTGTGAAAGTACTTTTTAAAACCGTGTTTAGGTCATTCGTATACGCAAACAATAGTTAGTGTGTGAACAACAAGATTAAAAAAGGTGATTGTGACTATCTAACATTCATGAACTAGCTTTTAAAGCAAAGTAGTAATTAGGGTTAATTTTCTAGTTTTTTTTTTTTTTTTTGTAGGCATTTTCTAGTTAGTATAAAGTAATGTAATTTAATGAAGAGTATTCTAGGAAGACTAATAGTCCTTAACTTTTATTTGGTAGTAACATTTAATGGTTTGAATAGTAATATAGATCAAAATTAAGAAGTTTATTTGTAAAATGCTAGTTCAATTGTCAGTGGATATATTGTAGCATAACGATTATTTATTTTGATAGTGTCAAATCTGATATAGAATATGTGTTCGAAAATTGCAAACTAATATTACCAGATATGTGATGTGTGTTAAGTGTATATGAATGCTTTTAAAATGGTGTGTTTACCACGTAGGTAAAGAATTACATCCACACGCAAGAATATAAACGAGATTATGACTGTATCTCCGTCATCAAGACTCATAAACCATTTCTCAAAACAAATTTGCTTTTAAGTAGTTAGGGTTACAGGTTACTTAAGTAGTTTTTTTTTTTATATACTAAAGATTTGTTAAAAAAATAAAATTCAATAGTCTTAATTAGTCACAAATTCATGGTATGAATACTGAAACAAACAAAAATTGGGAATCTTTATTCTTAAAAGTGATACTAATTAGATTCATTGAATAGTGTGTGAGATTGTGACAATGTAAAAACATCTAAGAATACTCAAGTCCATGATATACATGGATTTTCTCTTTGCCTTTGAAATTGAATCTTGTTCAGAAATGAGCACTTGGGTAGATCATTTTGAACTTAAATGTATAATATATTTGTTCGAAAAATAAGCTTACACAACTCACAAATTCAAAGTTCATATGATTTTATTTTTCTTAAGTTAATTCCAGTTAAATTTTTTTAATAAATATGGATTGAAACTTTTTAAGAAGGATAATTGTGTTACTTTGAATTTTGATTTAGAGTTGGAATTATTTGTTTTTCTTTCTTCTATTTCTGTAGACAGAAAAAAGAAACGTTTTTGTCTTATTTGACTTTATTTTATTTACAGTTACTCCCTAAAACTTTGTAAAAAACAAATAAAAGCCCCTAAAACAGAGAGAAACGACCACGTAGGAGTGGTTTGGATCACTAGACTCGAATCGTCATCTTCGTCGATCGATATGCGACACATCATCTTCATCGTCATGTTCTCTCCTAAAAGTTCAAACCTTTTTACAAATCAGACAAAACCCAACAACTATTGAAACAATGTCAAAAACTGCTAATTTCCTCAGCCTCAGATCCAATCCTCTGCCTCCTATTTTCTCATCCACCGGAAATTCTCCTTTCCTCCGAGCTTCCTCTGCTCTGAATCTTCCGACGGCTGCTTCGAAATTCCACCGTTGGATTCGCGCTTCTTCACGTCGCCGGTTGGTTCTTGGTGGTTTTAGCGGCGCTTCGTTGTGGATGAACAACAACATGTCCGGTAATTTTGGCGGTAAATCTTTCATTGCTTCCGCTAGGCAGACCAATCCTTCTCCGGTCGAAGAGGTCTTTTACTCTCTTTAGCTTCAATTAGGGTTTCGTTTCAATAGCTAATTGTTCAAAGTTTGTACCTTTAGGGATTCAGAAATCGAAATGTCGTTTAATTGGTCGAAGTTTATAGCTTTATGAAATTTGAACTCTTTTGCTTGGTTTTAGGCGTTGAATAAGGTGAATTGGCCCGAGACTTTCCCTTTCAAAGAAGAAGATTTCCAGAGATTCGATGAGTAAGATACAACGATTCCAAGCTTTTGTTATAGTCTTGCTCTGTTTTCTTATCTTTAAGGCATGCTTGAGCTATAGTTTTGGTGTGAGACATACTGAGAGCTTGTTGACTTGTGTTGTAAATTTGTCCTAAGGTCGTCTGATTCAACATTCTATGAAGCTCCAAGGTTTGTGACACACATTGATGATCCATCCATAGCTGCATTGACAAAATATTACTCCAAGGTTTTGCCTCAGAGCGATACTCCGGGAGTGAGCATACTCGATATGTGTAGCAGTTGGGTATGTACAAAATGCAAATCCTTTTAATAATGTTCTGTGTGTGAAAAGTTTTTTTATTGAGAACCCTCTAAAGTTAGATTATTGGCTGTTGTGATGTTACATAGGTCAGTCATTATCCACCGGGGTATAGGCAGGAACGAATAGTTGGAATGGGTATGAACGAAGAAGAGCTTAAGCGAAATCCGGTAAAGAAGATTCAGTACTATGTATTGTACTACTTAAAGATGAAATGGATCATCATATCATGGGATCTAATACTCTCATTCAGGTTCTCACCGAGTACATAGTCCAAGACTTAAATCTCAATCCAAAGCTGCCTTTTGAAGACAATTCTTTCCAAGTTATTACCAATGTGGTATGACCAAACTTTCTCAATTTATCTCTAAAACTTACACTTCTTTATTGAACCTCAAGTTTTTACAAATTTGTTTGTTTCTTGGCATTTCAATAGGTAAGTGTGGATTATCTTACAAAGCCGCTTGAAGTGTTCAGGGAAATGAACAGAATCCTTAAGCCCGGTGGACTCGCTCTAATGAGGTTCTTTTTAACATAAACCTATCAAGTCTTGTGACATTGTAATAGTACACATATCCGCATGTTTTCAACCTGAATACTTCCTATTTCTTTGCAGCTTCTCGAACCGTTGCTTCTTTACTAAAGCAATCTCGATATGGACATCAACTGGCGATGTAGATCATGCTCTCATTGTCGGATCATACTTTCACTACGCTGGAGGATTTGAAGCTCCTCAGGTATTTCTGTATATTTCATCAACACACCTTCTCATAGAAAGCCTTTAAGAGATTTTTTACTCTTTCTTTGTGATGAATTCGTTTCAACTTTTGATCAATGCAGGCCGTTGATATATCTCCAAATCCAGGGCGTTCAGATCCTATGTACGTTGTTTACTCTAGAAAACTCCCAATGGCTTAAACCTGAGATCCAAACACTTCATGTATACACATAATCTTTAGACCAAACTGAGATAGAGACGAGGAAATTAATTCTTCAATGAAGACAACTTCTGAAATCTTGTTTATAAAGAATGTGCCACTCTCTCAACACTAATAACAATGTCATGGAAAGAATCTGAAGCCAGATTCGCGAATTTGATGATAATACTTTTCTTCGAGAACTGGATTGTCTTTTCACAGATCCTGGAGCCAACACTTAAACACAAGACTAACATGTCCTGGAATCCCATCGACTGTTCTTCTTACAATGGCTCTGTGATCTTGAGGTGGACCATGAGGAGCATTCAAGTATCTGAAACTAATGTAGAAGATTGCATTCCCAGCCATCAACTTTTCCTTTGACTCCACAGCTTCACGAGTCTCTACAATGACCTTCATAATCTGCAGCGGCACACAAGACCCAAGCCTCATGTCTCCTTCCCACAGCGAGTATAACGCGATTTCAGTGTATAGATTAAGCCAGTTGTGTTCTCGGATCTCTGACTCCTGAACCTCATAAAACTGATCTTGCTCACTGCATGGCATCAAAGCATCATCCGATATCCACTTAGGTAGATTGCCTTTGTAGAAATCATCAATTGCTTCGCCATTCCATCGCTTTGGTTTGTCTCCAGTACCTGTTTTACAACACTTTCCAGTATCATCAATATTATGAAAACAAAAAGAAAACAATCCCACTAATTAAAACCATAAATTAATTTACCTTGAATCTTTGGTTTTATTCTACAAACTTCAGTCAGTATCCTCAGGTCTTCATCGTTCTTACATGTAGCTTGTGTAACACATGTCTGGAAAGTGAAACGTAAGTCGTTGTCCGGATCAACAGCCTCAGCAGTTATATGGTAAGTCATAAGCGCACAGAATCTAGAATTATATTTATCTACGTGCATCAACACAAGGTTTGAGCCATGAAATCAGTGGTAGAGAAAAAATATCAAATTAATCACAAGTCGCAGATACAGAGTACATTGGTTCCAATTAGGTTAGAAATATGAGACTTTTAACCTTGTGAAAGTTGTACCAATGGAGTCCCACTCTAGCGCAAATGCCAACAATGTCAGCATCACGATAGTAATCATTGTTAGCACATTTGTACACATAAAGAAAACTACTCGGAATACGTATGTCGAACCACAATCATTACGTACGAGAATATTATCAAAGTCACACATGAATAAGTTGAGATCAGGGAAAATATGTATCTCTACGTCGGATTCGCGAATTTGGCGATATAACTCTTGCTCCAAATCCGTGACCACATCATCATCATCTTCGTCAGTCCATCCAGATGGTGGATCGTTATTTACAGCGGCAGACCATTCTTCTTCCGATATAAAACCGCTACTAACTACATCATGCGACACGGTGATCTCTTCAACTTTCCGTTTGCGCAGCGGTGGTTCGTCGACTGCTTCCATATCCTAAAACAAACTCTAGATGACAGCAAACATGTGGTTCACTAGCGTCGTGAATAAATAATGCAACACCAAATCCATGGTATACAAATAATACTTTGTAACGCTTAAATAAATTTTAGGGTTTTTTAGACAGAAGCCAACATCGCCGTTTTCGTAGATTGTCCCATGATGAATATTACGGCGTCGTTTAGACTTTATATCCCTAAACCAAATTTATTTTCATACTTGTGTAATGGGAACTTTTTTATAGGGGTTCGAAAAATTAAATTTTTACTATCTTTTCCTGTAAAAATTATTCAATCATGAACTTCAAACTAATAAAAATTCGGAGACCATTCATTGTTCACCAGTAAAAGCATGATTAACAATGAACCAACACCATTAATTGATTTGAGATCGTAAGATTACTGCATTGACGCTATTAAAACGTACTACTTTGAACCCAAGAAGAAAACACACATTAATTATTTTAAATCTTCAGTTTCATAACTAAGATAAATGTAATAGCTAGCCCAACTAGGTTAATATTTCCCCTTACATCTTCCATAAATTTTTTTTTTATCATAATTATGAGGACAATTGTGATCATATATTTTTTTATGTTTAAGGGTGAGTTCCCGTCTCGTTTCTCACATTATTCTGAGGACTTCACCGGCTCCTGGAAATGTAAGACTTTGAAAACGCAGCTGTCGTGGGCTATCTTCTTAATAATATTCCTCGCCCTGGCCACTTGACTAAACTTCGCAACTCTCTTCTCCACCAGCACCGCTTGGACTATCTTATCGAACTCGTGACCGCCACCATTAGTCACGAAGTCAACCAGTGCAGCTTGTACTGGCCCCAATTGGGCAAATTGATATAACGCGGCAGATTCCATGTGATTCTGTACTGGCCCCAAACTAGGGTTATACGCCACAGATTCCATGTACCATCCGCTGTACACTTTCCCTTGGTGATCCATCAGCGCCACTCCAGACGAACAATTGCTATACGGCGCGTACGATCGGTTAGCCGCGTTTAGAGCCCTGCACTTTAGATGGGTACAACTGTCGGAATTAACGCAGATCTCTCTGATGGGATTGGGATCAATGAGGGTGAGGCCGTTACGGCGATTGTGGTCGAGAAGGCGAGCGAAGTATTCCGGGACCTCATTGTAGACGGAGAAAAATTTTTGCGGAAGGAAGGTCGAAAGAGGCATGGAGTTCTGGCGGAATAATGGGTCCGTGATCAAGATTTGGGTATTAGACGCATCTCGGATTTCTTGAAGAAAGTGGCAGCAGTGGCCGCATGGCGCGTAGAAGAAGGTGCCGCCAGCGGAGATGGCTAAGCAGTTGAGTTTTCGCTCGTTGTGGAGGGCGAGGTTGACGACAAGGAACTGCTCGGCGTGGATAGAGTAGTGAAGAGGCAGACCTCGTAAGTCCACATTGACGCCTAAGAAGGTCCGACCTGAGGATCCTCGGCCCACGACTACGCGGGGTAACTGCGGGTTTAGAGTACGAGCGAGTGGAAGCGCACGATTGATCAGCGGCATAATGGTTTCGGTGGTGAAATCACCGGAGAATTCTGTTTCATTTGGAGCGAGAATGGAGCTCAAGGGTAGTGCCATTGTTTCTGTCTTAGTGCGGGTTGTGCTGTAGGATTTTTTGTTGAGAGATTGGAAAAGAGATGAGAAGAGGAGAAGCAAAGTCTTAACTTATTTATAGCCGGTGTGGTGTGTGTTGTGTTTGTCGTGTGCATTTAGAATTGTACTTTTAAAATGGTGTTTACGTCAATCTTCAATCACATACGCAACCAACACTACAAAATATAAAAAGGGTGATTGTGACTCTTAAAATTCACTATCAAAAAGACTTATGATGGACTCATAAACCATCTTTTTCCAAACTAGAAAACTACTGTAGATGATAGTAATGTAAAGAAGAGATGTAAAAAATATGGCTCAATAGTCTTAACTACTAATTAATAACATTTTGATATATAGTTTTATTATATAGCTATATAGATGAAAACTAAAAGATTTTTTTTTCTTTCACAAATTGCTAGTTCATGCATATGAGTTGTACCTTTTAAGATGGTGTTAACGTCATGCACATATGTAACACGCACAACATAATCAAAAGGTGATTGCGACTCTTAATTATTAGGATCCACTCATGGATTACTAGCTTACAAACAAATTGTTAACCAAAGTAGCTAGGACTATTTTTGTAGTTTAGTAACTAGGATTGTTTTTGTAGTTTAGCAGAAACTAGATGTGGTGAAGAGGGGAGTTTAGTAAAAATTTGGCTCAATAGTCTTTAGCTCTTATTAGAGATATTTTAATGTTATGAATAGTAATAGATGACAAAAATTAAGAATTGTAGCATAGTGAGTTACTCATGACTTCGTGGTGTTACAGTCTATATTCAAATCCAATATAGGATATGTATTTTTTGACAATATTCAAGTCCAGCATTCATATATTTTCAATTGTTTGAAGTTGCAAACTTAGTTATAAATAAAATGTGTTGTGTGCATGTTGAATGTTTTTGACAGGGTGTGTTTAACGTATGTAAACAAACAATTACATGCGTGCACAAGATTACAAAATATAAACGAGATTGTGAGTGGTATATACACTAATAAGATAATGACTCATGAACCGTTTTCAAATCAATCTACTTTGCTTTAAACTAGTTACGATTACTTTAAATTAGTTAGTATTACTTTAGTAGTTTAGTAGAAAGTAATGTACTAATTAAAGCGTGTAGAAATGAATTCAATGGTCTTAATTAGTGACATTTTCTTAGTATGAATAGGACAATACAGTACATAAAAATTGGGAAATTTTATTCATAAAATGATACTTAATGTTACTGCATATTGTGTTAGAGAATGAAGTTATTGAAACAAATACATCTAGTAACAATCATGTCCATGAGATACATTGATCTTCGCTTTGTCGTTAGATTTGCAAACTTTCTCATGAATGAGTGCTTTGGGTTTAGACCATTCTGCAGTGATTGGGAACTTAGTTTCTTGAGACACAAGAAAGTGAAGAAATCCTGAGTTTTATTAGTTAAATCAGATTGTGTATTTAGTTGCAACAACATATAGAATTAATACTAGTGGACCAAAAGAGCGTTTGCGTTTTAAAGAGCGTTTGCGTTTTAAAGTGGTTGACTTGACAGAGAATTCGTTTATTACAGTTGAGACTTGAGAGAGAGAGCGAAGGACAAAATGGAGGAGTGGATTCCACTGTTGGACATTTTCTTGAAGAGTCCATCTCCGGAGACCGAGGCTTCGCTGTGGCTAGACCAGGCTTCGAACTCTTCTTCTTCCTCCTCCTCTGCGGCGGCGCCGATCAACCGGAGCTCGTTTGTTTCATTGCTGAAGAAACAATGTGACCAGAATTCATCTCCGGCTACGAAGAAGTAATGCCCAGATTTTCAATTTGGATTTCTCTATTCCGATTTGGGTTGCTGATGAAATTGTTTTTTTTCGTTAGGGTTCTTTTCATTGAGACATTACCCAACATGGTTCAGTCAAAGATTCTATCTTTCCTTCGTTTAGAGTATCAGAGGTTTTGCGTTAGTGATTTGGTTTGGCTGGCTAGAGAAATGTTGTGTGGTGGTGGAAGTAAAGTAGTCGATTTCTGGGTTCAGAGAGATGCACAGAACCTGCTCGACAGAATTCCTAAACCAAAGTTTGATTGGATATCTCATCTGGATATGGATTCAGCTGATGATGGCGGTATTGGGGAGGATTTTGACTCTGTTCCTGATTGGCTAAGTGAGAAGGTTGGTTCTGCTGGTACAATTCTTCCATGGCTTCCTGTATCATACGATGATTTAGATTCGGAAATGCTGGTTGTTGATTCTTGGAATGGGAAGGAGATGACTCAAATCCAAGAGGATATGGAAGAAGATCAGAGAGAAGTTGTGGATAACATTGATCATACCATGAATGTTGGGTTACAAGCTGATGATCATGAAATGGCGGTGAATCTTAGAGCTCAGGTTACGAACTCTGAGTCTACTTCTGAAGTTTTAACCTTGTGTAATGAAATTCGGAAACTTTGCTTAGAGAAGGGTAGGGACTCTTTTAGAGTTTTGGCTTTGATTGAGCCTTGGAATGCAGATGATGAGACTGCTGCGGTTTTACTTTCTAATTTGCAGAGTGGAAGTGAGGAAGATGAGCTTGGTTGGCCAAGCCAGGTTCTATGTTCGATTGTGCTTCCAAAGTTTGTGTCTCTCGAGAAGTCCGCCTCTCGTGTGCTGATGTCTTCAACAATCGAGTTTTGCAAGATCCACCAAAGAGCAGCTGAGTATGCATTGGTGTTCCCTTTGATACTCAGGAGAGAAGGGATAAACAATTTCATTTGTGAGGTGATTTCAAGGGTGTTGAAAGAATGCTTGCACTTGGGTCAAATTTCTGGTTTTTGCCAGAAGTTACTTTGTGGAAGAACAGAAGAGCGGAGGTTTATGTTCCTTCCCTGCCATCGAGAGCTCATATCGGATGAACTGATATGGAATGAATCTCTGTTTATCCTTTTCCAAAACATCTTGATCCATGACGTCCCTTTATCCCAAGACTCCGTTGATTGCCTTGTTTCTAAGGTTCAGGAGTTGGCGGAAAGGTATTCCAAATCGCTAAAATTTGGAAACTTCTTGCTACATTTTACTGCCAAATTTGCTCCGATGCTACAGGCTCATAAGTATCAGCTGACCGAATCAGTTAAGTGCACCAACAGTCTAGTTACAAAATCTATCCTATCGAAACTCAATGCCCTGTAGATCCTATAGCTCAAGTCTAGATAATTCCAACAATTCTCTGTGGTTTGACATCTGGAGCCTTTGTCTTGTCTCCAAACTTGGTGGTTAAAGAATACTTGAGGTAAACTTGAAACTTGAAGCCTCTGGGATACAAGAGCTTTGAAGCTGGAGATATAATTGCATCAGCAGCAAGATTTTAGAACGTGGCTATTGACCACTGTAGTAAGTGGAGTAATTATGAACCCTGTCGACCATCCCCATGGAGGTGGTGAAGGGAGGGCTCCAATTGGTAGAAAAAAACCTGTTACCCCCTGAGGTTGTCCTGCACTTGAAAGAAGAACTAGAAAAAGGAAAAAATATAGTGAGACTTTGATTCATTGTCGCCGTCTACTTCATGTGTCCCCCCTATGCCCTATCACTCAATCAGTATACAGAGGAACGATTCAAGAAACACAGTCAGGTTTAGTTCACTTTTTGGGTCTTTGTTTTCAGTGACAAATGGCTTTTAAGGATATTTTGTGCCCACAGTGTTCACAACACCTGTGTAAGCGATTTGTTAAGCCACTGCTGATCAACGAATGCCTAAGCTAAGTCTCTCAGGTGAAACTCAAGAATGGAGCCATTGCCTGAACTTGCATATCCCACTGCGACTCTCTGTGAAAGGAATTACAAGGCTGCAGCGGTTTAATACAAAAAAAATCAGCTTGATTTGTGTATATTATGCATGATGATTAATTAAAATTTAACATAATAACTTGATAAGATTTTGTTATGAGTAGATTACATTGGAACACCAGATATAAATAAATAAAAGGGCAAAGGATAATCTGCAACATATTAAACTAACATGTGTTCAGACCAAATTTAGTCAATAGAGCAGAAGAATTTAATTAGAGCAGCTCGGCAAGTCCGCAACTGGCACTTAACTTCAAGAAAAAGGTGTTCTGGATGCCCATCTGTGGTTCTTCTTACCACGGCTCGGTGATCTTCGGTCAGATCACAGTCCCTGAAACTGATGTAGAAGATTGCATTCCCAGCCTTGAGCTCTTGCTTTGGCTCCATGGCTTTGTACAACGACCTTCTTGATCTTCAGAGGTGCAGCAAACTTGAGCTTTGTCTTGGAGACAAAAGACAAGTTAGGCATAAAAATTAACAACCAACATTAATGTTTACACATTGTATAACCAAAAGCCAGAGGCATGTGAAACAGCAAAACAAACAAATAAATTTCATTATTAAGGATTCAGATCTTCAGTTTATTACATTGCAACCAACATCTTAGATAAATTTATAGATACTGACTACTGAGAGAACAGTACCTATACTGAGAGAACAGTACCTAATAGATATCATACTCAGGCCAAACTTCTAAGTTAATAGAACGACTCACAGATCCTTGAGCCAACACTTAAACTCAAGACAAACATGTCCTGGAATCCCATCAACAGTTCTTCTTACAATGGCTCTGTGATCTTGAGGTGGACCATGAGGAGCATTCAAGACTCTGAAACTAATGTAGAAGATCGCATTCCCAGCCATCAACTTTTCCTTTGACTCCACAGCTTCACGAGTCTCTACAATGACCTTCATAATCTGCACCGGCACACAAGACTCGAGCCTCATGTCTCCTTCCCACAGCGAGTAAGACGCAATTTCAGTGTATAGATTAAGCCAGTTGTGTTCTTTGATATCTGACTCTTGCACCTCATAAAACTGATCTTGCTCACTGCATGGTATCAAAGCATCATCCGAAATCCACTCAGGTAGATTGCCTTTGTAGATATCATCAATTGCTTCGTCATTCCATCGCTTTAATATGTCTCCAGTACCTTTTTAAAACACTTTCCAGCATCATCAAGATTATGATAACAAAAAGAAAACAACCCACTAAAATCAAAACCACAGTAATTTAATTCACCTTGAATCTTGGGTTTTATTCTACAAACTTCAGTCAGTATCCTCAGGTCTTCATCGTTCTTACATGTAGTTCTCGTAGCACATGTCTGGAAAGTGAAACGTGAATCGTTGGCTGGATCAATAGCCTCCGCAGTTATATGGTAAGTCATAAGCGCACAGAATCTAGAGTTATATTTATCTACGTGCATAAACTCAAGGTTTGAGCCCTGAAATCAGTGGTAGAGACAAATGTCAAAATTAGTAGAGGAGCAAATCGCAGATACAGAACACAATGGTTCCAATCTAGTTAGAAATATGAGAATTTTTACCTTGTGAAAGTTGTACCAATGGAGTCCCACTCTAGCACAAATGCCAACAATGTCAGCATCACGATAGTCATCATTGTTGGCACATTTGTACACATAAAGAAAACTACTCGGAATACGTATGTCAACATCAAATCCCTGCGAACCACAATCATTACGTACGAGAATATTATCAAAGTCACACATGAATAAGTTGAGATCAGGGAAAATATGTATCTTTACGTCGGATTCGCGAATTTGGCGATATAACTCTTGCTCCAAATCCGTGACCACATCATCATCATCTTCGTCAGTCCATCCAGATGGTGGATCATTATTTACAGCGGCAGACCATTCTTCTTTCGATATAAAACCGCTACTAACTACATCATCATCATCATCATCATCATCATCATCATCTTCGTCAGTCCATCCAGATGGTGGATCGTTATTTACAGCAGCAGACCATTCTTCTTCCGATATAAAACCGCTACTAGCTACATCATGCGACACGGTGGTCTCTTCAAATTTCCGTTTGCCCACTGCTTCCATATCCTAAAACAAACTCTAGATGACAGCAAACATGTGGGTAAGTGAATAATACAACACCAAATCCATGAGATACACATAATCGCTAAATGTATCACATGAGGAACAGCGAGACGAAGACTGGCAAACCCCTAAACAATTTCAGTCAATTCGAAATTACAAATCTGAAAGCTGTGGCTTCAAAATTTCAAAATATGGATAAGAAAATAGATCTGCGATGGTTAAAATAAAAGTGAGAAGCAGATTTCACGAACCTGGTAATCGTCTTCTTCGTCGATTTTGCGGAGACAAGTAGGGGAAATTGAAAATATTATTATTATTTGTAAGGCATAAACCAACGTCGCCGTTTTGTGTAGAGTGTCCCGTAATAAATATATTAGATATTACGCCGTCGTTTAAGGTTTATATATCGGTAAACCGATTTTTTTTCATTCCACTCTACTAAGCCCATTTTGTTTAGAAGCCCATAATATGGGTCTATCAGAAATTAGAAGAATAGATAAGTTTGAGAATACAGGTACTTGAGTGTAAAAACTAATAAATTAAACCGTACATATATGGAAATTGATTGGACCAATTGTCAAATTCCCGCTTATTCGTCGCCGGCTATTGTTTAATTCGTCACAAGATTTTGCCTTCGTCGATCGTCAACAGTAACATCTTTTTGCATTCCGTGTACAGAAAGTCAGAAACTATAGCGAACGTACGTAAGAGTTAGGTCTAGCTAGCGTAATGAAATCATAGGATCTCCTCTCTTTCTTTCTTTCTTTCTTTGGTATTTTCTGTTCCCAGCAGAGATCTTTGGTTATTGATCGGGTCTAGTAGAATTGAAAATCGAGTTGTTTAAATGGATGCTAATACTTGGCGTATGTAGTGTTGATCTTGTTTCTTTTTTTGGTGTGTTAGAAACAACACCCCTCCGGTAAAAGGATAGCGCTCTATGCATAGAAGAAGAAACAAGATCCATGGTTTCTAACTTAATTTTCTTTATCCGATCCGCAGGAGAAATAAGCAAAAATGTCGTCAATCATGAAACCCAAAGTAAGTGGATGCCAAAGACTATAGAATGCACATGTACAAAACTGAGAAAACTCCTTAATGATTGTAGTCGAAACTTGGTTCCTTGTTTGAAACAGGAACTGTTATCCGTAACTCGAGCAAATGTGAAGGTTCTTGCTCACATTTTAGAGATCATACCAGTTGGCACATTCTCGCAAATCATGGCAACAACTCCTAATTCTGGCATCAAGGTTGAGGAGGTGCTCGAAGCAGTATATGCACGTTGGCGTGTATCACGGGTAATGGCATGTACCATTCATTTGTTATCAAGTATTTATGTATAGAGTTATGTAGACTTAAAAGGAACAGCTTTCACTATTTCAGCATGTCCAAGATAGCCTGAAAGGTACGGATTGGGAGAAAAATATGTGTCACATGAGAGATCAAGGATGCTGCCGTAAAAACTCTTTCCAAGTTTTTTACACACACATATCTGCTTGACGATAAACTTCATAATAATCACTTTTTTTTTTCCTCGCAGAGACATGCTGGGCAGTAGTGGTGTCGGAGCTTATTAGTGCGTTGCTCTTTATTGAGGGCATAGACAACGAATATACGGAGTACTCAATCCAAGAACTAGTTGATTTTGCTGATCCGTCGAAGGCAGGAACACATAAAGACCGAAAACACTATTGTTACACTCTAAGTATAGGGAAAGGTTTGGACTATGTACTCAAACATGGGCTTCAAAAGGCAATTCATAGGAAGTATGTGGGGTGTAGACCAAAATCCGAGATTCCAGCACGTTCTACAGTAGATCTGGCACATATAACTCGCGTGGATAGATTATCTTTCCCTGAAGCACTTATCAGACTTAAGAGACAACCCATTGGAGCTTCCCTCTACATATTCACGCCTGATTACGTGAATACTAAAGGGGTATGTATCTGTATTTCTTGAATTTGATCTAAAACTGTTAAACTCATCCAACCATATGTGATTCTGGAAACATACTGAAACAGGGCGTTTATCGTGGCCCCATGGAAAAAGAGTCTAAACTAGAAGGAGTTCATGCTGTTTCAATTCTTGGTGTGACAGAGGAAAAAGGAGAAATGTTGTTCAAGGTCAAATCCACCCACGGTGATAGGGTAGGAGTGAATGGGTACCTCAAAGTTTCAATGGAGGTTATGTTGGTTCAAATTCCTAAAAAGGGCACGCTTCCTGATGGTAAGTTTGAGAAACCGACGCCATTGATCCATCGGTTCTGCTGTCCAACTATTATTCCTAAAGCTAAAGGAGAGTCTAGCGCAATGCAATGCGACTAAGGTTGGTAAGTTTCTTTTAACTTTCTGTTTCTTTTTTTCCAAGTTTAGATGAATGATGTTCGTGTTGTTTAAAGTTTAACGCATTTTCATCCTTCAGTTTCAGGGGAATTCTGACGCCAAGTAGATATGGTGAGAGACTAACATCTATGGCTGTATAAAGGAAACAGTGGATTCTCTTCTCTTCTATGATAATTAAGAAAACAAAATATTGTCTTTTGTAGTTTGAACTAGACCTAGGTATCCGGTTCAACCAAACAAACAGTTTTATTGGTTAAAAGAATTTTTTGTAGCTGTTTTGTTGACGCTTAATGACAACAAAGAAGAAAGAAATAATAGAAACGATATTGTGGAAAGACCAGACGAATGAGAATGAGATCTAGACTAGCTACTAAGAGCAACTGGAAATTTTTACAGGAAAACCTGATTTTTCCTTTACTCTCACGGCTAATGTAAGTAGGACACATCTTCAATGTATTATAATGATATACCAAAGTGACCAACCAAAATGAACTTTCCTTTCACTGTTTTAAGAAAATTTTGTGCCCACAATGTTCACAACACTTGTATAAGCGATTTTCTGTGACTGCAACATGGCGGATACTGCAGGAACACTGTACAGCTTTTGGTTCTGTTCCTGCAATAATTAAGTATCAAATACAAAATGTAAAAATGTTTCTGCGATAGATTCACAGGGTAAAAGACAGTGAGAATTGAGTAATAACAAGCACCATCTTCGTTAAGTAGCTCTTCAAGACTTAAAGGGACTGTTTCAGTAGACATGAATATCTTACGACAGACTGCTCTTCATCTACCAATGCCAAGAAACACTCCAAATAGACTGAATCTAAAGATGGGGAAGATCAAATGCTTGGCTAAAAAGGGAAATGAATGATATGTATAGATTCAGTCTTAAAGGCTCTTCATCGTGAACTTGGCGATAATACTCTTGTTCGAGAACCGGATCAACATCCTCGTCTGAATCAGATGCTGGTGGTGGGACGTAACGTAATCGGATCCTTTTTTACAGGAACACACCTTCCTTCTTCCAATATATACAAGGTCCGGCTGGTTTCTTCGACCGACTTACCTTCGGCCGTTGGGGTGACTTTTTCGACCTTTCTCTTTCGCTGTGGAGGTGGTTCATTCGTCGCCATGACTCCTACTTGGTTGAGTACACGTGAAATTAAAGGGGGAGAGAGTCTTAGATCCGTATCCTCTCTAAAAAACGTGTGACTCGTTTTGAAATTAAGGTATACAAGTTACAACATATAAATTTGCCGATCCATGGTAGGTTACTTCTCATCCACGGTAGGCAGTGTTACTGTTATGTTTTTCTTTTCTTTTTTTTCGTTTCTCTAGTGGTGAAAGTGGTGGGTCTCACGAAGGTATGAGATTATTGGATCTCTCTGTTTCTATCTCTCTGTCTCTCTATTTTTTTCTTTGGTACTTGAGCATTTCGAAAATTTGTTTTGTGCAGATACTCTGCTGCCTCAGGCTTTCAAGTCCATCTCCATCTGTGAGTGATTTTAAGGATGTTGTGTGCCCACAAAATGTTGACAACACTTACTTACAAGCTATATATCAAACTGTATTACAAATCCAGTGATAGAAATTGTGTGGAACAATAGTAAGGTATATAGAGCAGAAGAATTTAGTTAATAGAGCAGCTCGACAAGTCCGCAACCGGACACTTAACTTCAAGAAAAAGGTGTTCCGGATGCCCATCTGTGGTTCTTCTTACCACGGCTCGGTGCTCTTCGGTCAGACCACAGTCCCTGAAACTGATGTAGAAGATTGCATTCCCGGCCTTGAGCTTTTCCTTTGGCTTCATGGTTTCACGAGTTTGTACAACGGCCTTCTTGATCTCCAGAGGCGTAGCAAACTTGAGCTTTGTCTAGGAGACAAAAGACATATTAGGCATCAATTTTTACACATTGTATAACCAAAAGTCTGAGGCATGTGAAACAGCAAAACAAAGAAAAGGCATACCAAGCCGTTTTCCCACAGCGTAAAAAACGCATAGTCAGCATACAAATTAAGCCAATCATTTTCTCGAATGTCTGAGTCTTGAACCTGTGAAACACAAAATCAAATATTTGAGTGAGAAAAAGCAAAACAGTCTAGCTACATACATATTGAGAATCAACATAACAAATGATACTAGAAGATATTATGCTCTCACCTCGTAAAACTCCGGTTGCTTATAGCTAGATTGCGCTAAAGCATCATCCGGAATCCACTCAGGTAGATCAGCTTGGTAGAAATCATCAATTGCTTCATAATCACCATGACAATTCTCGTCCTTGACTTCAGAACCTTGAAAACATGCAAGAGTAAACAATGTACGTGATCAAACCACAAGGAAAGTTATAACCATTATCTTTCGGTTTGATTCCACACATCACACACAAACTAACCTTGAGTAGTTTCGGGTTTTATCCTACAAGTTTGAGTCTCTATTCTAAAATCTTCGTTGTAGTAACACGAAGCTTGCGTAACACACGTTTGGAAAACAAAGGGTGAATTGGTGGCTGGATCTGTAACGTGGGCAGTTATAAAGTAAGTCACTAATCCGGTGAGCATAGAATTATATTTCTCTAGCCGCAACAACTGAAAGTTTGAGCCCTGCAATATAATTGATCAAAGATAACTTAATGCGTAGACAAATCTAGTACTAAAGCCTACTTAATGATATATAATCAAGCAAAGACCAGAAGCAGAAACAAAACTAAGAGTTCATCAAAACAAAGGGAATTTCTGACTTGATGAGAAGATGTAGAATACACTTAAAGATGTTCACTTCACACGCCAATAACATATTTGTTTGTACCGAGGTTGTAACAACAAATAACTATAGGATTTTTGGGGAGAACGAGGTGACTTCTTTACTAACGACGAAAGAGATTGGTTAGTTACAGGAAGCAAATGACAAAAGTATAGACTATGAGCTACGAACAACCAACGAACGTATACGCAAAGAACTACGAACGAAAGTATACGCTGTGAATAATTCTCTGATTCTTTGGATATTAACTTGTGTGTCTTCTTGTTACAAATAGTGTCTTATTTATAGGACAAGCATTATGACCTAAGGTCTCTTCTGTTCCCTCAGCAAATTACCATTTTACCCTCCAAGCTTGGTGGGCTGAATTGGAGAGACAACATGCCCGATAAATAGTTGGGTCTCTGTTTGGGCCAAATGGCATTTTGTGGGTGAAGCCCATATCCAACAATATGTTACCTTTTGAAAATTGTAGCAATGAAGTCCCACCTTAGCACATATGCCAATCACATCCTGATGATGATCAGCACATTTATACGGCAACACTGAACCATTTGGTATATATAAGTCACAGTCAAATCCCTGCACATCATCATATTACGAGAATATCAATCCTTGTCATAAAGGAGTATGTTCCCAATTCAAGGATAAAAAAGCTAGCCTAAATAACAAATCGGAGATCCTTAAAGATAATTTACCAAGCAATCGATACGCTGATGATAAAAAAAAAAAAAAAATCTTACATCGGATTCGCGAAGTTGGCGATGATACTCTTCTTCGAGAACCTGATCAACATCCTCATCTGAATCACATGCTGATGGTGAGACGTAACCTCCTTCGGATCCTTTTTTTACAGGAACATACCTTCCTTCTTCCAATATATACAAGGTCCGGTTGGCTTCCTCGACCGATTTACCTTGGTCCGTCGGGGTGATTTTTTCGACCTTTCGCCTCGGCTGTGGAGGTGGTTCATTCGTCGCCATGACTCCTACTAGGTTAACTACTCCTACAAGTAGTTAAAACATATTAATGGACCAATCCGCCATGCCTAGGTTCCTTCTTTTCCACGGTAGGATATGTGTTAAGTATATTTTTTTTTTCGTTTCTCTAGACTCTCTAGTGGTGAAAGTGGGTCTCACGAAGGCATGTGATTATTGGATCTCTCTGTTCTTCTATTTCGTCGGTTTCTATACAACATCACCAATCATGAGTTTATTGGGATCTCACTGTCTCTCTATTTGTTCTTTGGCATTTGAGCATTTCGGAATTTTTTTTGTTCTGTGCAGGTAATCTGCTGCCTCAGGCTTTCAAGCCCATCTCCATCTGTGAGTGATTTTAAGGATGTTATGTGCCCAGAAAATGTTGACAACACTTGGTTAAAGCTATATATCAAACTATTACAGATCCAGTGAAAGAAATGGTGCTGAGCAATAAGGTATAAGCCATTGCTGATCAATGGATGCCTAAGCTAAGTCTCTAAGCTGTGGAATCCAGCCATTGTCTGAACTTGCATATCCCACGGCGACTTTCTGTGAAAGAATCTCGGATTGATTGCAACATTGCCGATACTGCAGGAACACTGTACAACTCTTGGTTCTGTTCCTGAATTAAGCATCAGTTACAATGTCAAGTTGTTTCTGCACTATATTCACAGTGAAGAAACTTTTAATTGATACCACATACCATCTTCATGAGACGCTCTTCAAGACTCAAGGGGACTGTTTCAGTAGACATGAATATCTTACGATAGGCTGCTCTTAGGCTCTTTAGCTACCAATGCCAAGAAACAAGACATGATTTTTTGGGTAACACTCCAAAGTGATATTTCAGTTTCTTACTTCAAAAGACTCAACATTGGGACAGAGTACAGACCTCTGACATGGTAAATCCATTTCGTCTAAGTCCCTCCAGATTCAAACCGCGAAGTTCGGCTCTTTCTCCAGTCACCATCATGTACTTTGGAACATCTTGTGAAACCTATATATAACCGTACCAGTGAGTACCCGTTGGAAATGTTGGGCATTTGAGAGGTGTTTAAGGAAAATATACCACAGAACCACCGCCAATGAAAGCAAAAGAGCCAATATGACAGAACTGGTGGACCACCGTGGCTCCTGCTGTGTGTGTATTGTCCTGCATTCACCACATAAACCAAATGAAACCACGCTGCTAAATCCAGGTTTAGAGTAGAGAGACACAAGGAAAATCTTACTTCTACAACCACATGGCCCGCAAGAAGCGTATTGTTGGCAAATATGTTGCGGTCACCAATCTTACAATCATGGGCGATATGACAAGAACCCATGATTAGATTGTTGTCACCAATAACCTGTTCGAGTAATAATCATAACTCAAAAACATGCTACAACCTCTTGGAACTTCAATGATATTAGACAATGGCCAGCTACATACCGTTTTATCACTGGGTTTTGATGACCTGTGAATCGAGCAGAACTCCCTAATTTCATTGTTTTTACCAATGCAAAGAAAGCATTCATCTCCATGCTAAAAAAAAAAACAGCATTAGTTCTTGACAGATATCAGTTTCTAGTGATTAGGACGATTACAGAAGATAAGATAACATCTCTCACACACCTTGTACTTCAAGTCTTGACATTTAACACCAACCACGGCGTGGTGACCGATAATGTTATTGCCTCCTATGAATGTATAGCCAGGAAGCTCATCGCCAACAACAGCACCACTGGCTGACAAAAATTTAAGACAGACACATAGCAAAGATCAATCAATCATGAATCAACAAATTACGGAAAATGATATAAGAGAGGAAAGGGTTCTTTACGTCATCAGTACACAAGATTCCCCCATCTCGGTGTTTCCAAAGATATGGCTAGAAGGATAGAGTTTGCAGCCATTGCCTAGCTTCACTGAAGAGCCAACTGTACAGTATGGACCAACTGAAACTCCCTGTTCGAAACAGAGGAAAAAACATTTGACTAATAAGCTCAAATCTCAAAGAAAGCATCACCACACTTTGACCAGCTTTCATCAAAATTCACCATCTTGTTCTACTAATTTGAACATCTGGTTTTCTATAGCTAAAGAACATTACTTTGCGACTGTTAAAGATGTTTTTAGTCTTCCAAATGAGCAGAGAACTGTTTAATACCAAACTAATTGTAGAGCAAAATCCAAATTCACCAAATTTAAACGACTCAGAGACCAAAGCTATGTCAGTAAACGAATCAAACCTTGCCAATCACAGCGTTTGGGTGGACGACAGCACTCGGGTGTATAAAGACTTCAGAATCTCTCGAATCTTCACGAGAATCTGCTCCAAACCACACAATTATTCACAGCTTAACAGTAGAGATACAAATTCTGCTAATCATGCCCACACAAATCAGAAGCGGGAAAGCAGAGAGAGAGTGAGAGGGACTTACAAGAGAGACTAGAGGAGAGTCTTTGGATAGAGGAACTAAAGAGAGGAGAGAGAAGCTTCTCGCGAGCTTTAAGGAGAGAAATCATTGGCGGGCTACGTAGACCAAAACCAAACCCCTTTCAATTGCATACATGGTGTTCGACGAAATGCCGCAAAGAAAGATAAACGAGAAATTTCACACGTGCCCACGGATTGATCACGTGACTTGGCTTTTTTTTTTTTCTTTTAATTCGAGCTCAGCTGCTTATGAAGAATTTGGTTGACTCTTAAAAAAACTAACTGTTGGCATAATTTTCTTTTAAAGTGATAGTAGTAAACTATTAACTTAGTTTTTGGATTTTCAGTTTCAATCAATATTTGATACATTTTTTCTTTTAATATACTAAATATATAAAGTCGAATAAGCCTTAACTAGAATCCTTCATTATTCAAGTAGCTTTGAGTTTAAACGATGGTAGCATTTAATTTCCATCACCATGAGACAATGCAGACACCAATCAAGTGAAGAGGAACAAACACATGTTCTTTCATCACCTTTGCATCAATCAGAAACACTTTTTTGACTCTAAAGAGTAAAGAGTAGTGTTATGAATCTTATTCTTTTGTTATTGTGCTGACAAGTTGCAGAAGGATTCTCTGTAGTTCCTCTGCACTGCTCCATTCCTTGACTTCTGCTTTGATCAGTAAGGCATTGTCTGAAATCTTCTTCCATAGCGGATAATTCGTTCTCGGCATCACAAAATCACACTCTCTCAGCTTCAATGTCGGGCAGAAGTCACCTCCTCCATCTCCAAGGTAGATAAACCTTCTTGGAATTTGATCATTGGAAGAAGAAGCACGTATATGATCCATCACTAGACCCTGAAAGAACCAACGAAGATTCACAAGTCAAAATCCTAAAAACTGAATCGCATAGACAGTGTTATATTTCCAGGTTTTCTGATTACGAGCAAAGTACAAGTCTTTCTGTTGATATTATATACCGGGACAACCTAAGTAGAATTGAAGATTCCAGCTTATGGACTCGAACTAAACCCAAATTCTAACGAAAAAAACTTGCAAGTCTAACTAGGCAAACATGGAGGGCTTCTTATATAGTTTACAAAGATAGATAAGAAGAGTACCTTGCATAGATTTGAAGGGCAGAGATTGCAGCTATGTGGAGGCAATGCATCACTATGATAAGGCAAGATCCGCAAGTTGCCATTTTCATCAAGAGAGGTTGGATTAGTGTAAATCTCAGAAAAGCAATCCAACAAATCATGCTGCTCTAGTATCTTCTCAATGTAAAACTGATTTGCATCACTCACAATCTTTAAATCACATCTGCAAATTGAACCAAACATAACAACACTCAAAACCAAAGTAGCTTAAAAAGAAGAAGCTGAGACCATCTAAGTGAACTAATCAATAACTTCATACCCTAAAGATTTGGTAGATTTGATAGCTTCAATAATATGAGAATCAATAGGCATTTTCTTCAAGCAAGATTCAATGTCATCAATCGATCTACCTTGTGACTGTATCTCCATCATCATCCTATCCTTTCCACAATCCAATTCAAAACAAATTTCAAGAAACATCTCAATATTTCTTAAGTAATGCGTAAATCATAAGTAATGGCTGAGAATTTGGATGCTTTAATAATATATGAAATAATACCATAAGACGATTCCATGGTAAAGTGAAACGGAGCTGATGGAAGATCTCAGTGAGTCCCATTTCAGTAACCACCCATCTATCACTATCTCCGTCGATCAAAGTCCGATCGAAATCAAATATAATCACGATCCTTTCCATTTCGGTTGTGTAAACACAATCGCCGGAGCTGCTGCTTCTCGCCGTCGATATATTATGACTCCGTTCGCTTCTCCTCTTCCCTGATTGGTCAACGGGAAATGCCAACTATTGTCCGCCACTTTTCCTCTTACAAAGACAAAATACTCTTTATCCCATTAATTACATTTGAGCCATAGAACTATGTTTAACAATGGGCCTAGTGCCTTACATCAGGCCCATTTCGTGTTTCAAATTCTATACACTGTAAGAAAAAAAAAAAACAGTAATTATCTTACATGCGATTGGTCAAGCAAGTGGACCCAAGTTCGTGTCAGCACTCCAACAGCCAATAAGATTGCAGGAAACACGTTAACAAGCGTAAGTAATATCGATTCCACTTCATGAACACGGCACAGTATCAAACCCCAGAGAAATCTTTAAACCCATGATCTTCTAGATAGAACCCGTGAAAGAATTTGATTAAAGTCCCAAACTTTCCAGCTTCTGACTTCAATGGTTGTGATGAATCGAGTTTTGATAGCTCTTACATTAGCTCTGCTAGCTTCGTCGGCGTTATTACCAGTTTCCGATGGTGCGAAGAAACCGTCTTCGGCGCCGAGAAAGGAGGATGTTCCGTATATAAAGTGTCAGGTTTGCGAGAAACTAGCCTCGCGTTTACACCAGCTAGTGAAGGAGAAGCAACAACAGATCTCTCCCAAAAAGGTTGATTTTTTGTATGTAAATCAGTGATCTTTCTTTTTGATTTGATGTGTTTCTGTTTACTGGAATTTGCTGGTGGGAAACAAATTGTAGATCTCGGAGTATGAGATCATTGAGATTGCTGAAAATGTCTGCAATTTGAAGAAAGAGGAAGCTGATTGGATGCTTAAGATTGACATTGTTGAGAAAGGCGATAAGCTTGTGGTAATTGGATTTCTCTACCTCTCTGTCACTTATTTGATCCAAAATGATTCCATTGTAGCTTTTGAGATTGAATTAAGTGGAAAAATGTACGTACATTTGTTGTTGAATCTCAATGCTGGTGACTCTGTTAACAATTTGATTGTTTTGACTTTGGGTTCGTAGCTGGTTGAGCAAGCAGAAGAAGGGATGTGTAATTCCAAGTGTAAGACGATCGAAAATGCTTGTCAAAAGGTGAGCATACTTTGGTCTTTCAGCTATTAATACAATTGGATTTGCATTTCTTGGAGTATTGAGAGTTAGGGAAATGTGATTTTCATTTGTTGGTGTATGTTCCAGGTCATTGGTTACTCAGACACTGATGTTGCAGAGTTTATATACAAGTCTAAGCCTGATCTTGTTTCACTGGTGAATCATCTATGCAATGACCTGACCGATGCTTGTAGCAAAAAACCGCCTCCTGTTCCTAAGGTACCTTTTATTGAAATTGAAACGTGGATCTTTAGTGATTTGCATCCGTGAATGTTCTTATGTTGTTGCTGTGGAGATGACATTTTTGGTGGAAAGAGAAACTTTGTGTGATAAGTGTCTCTTTATCATTGCCAGGATCGGGTTCCTGGAGAACCATTTGTGGCAAAACCATCAAAAGATGCTGAGATGGACAAGATTTTGAGATCTATGCAGGTAATCTTTGATGACTTCAATCAATTTTGTCTCCATACAATCAAAGCAAGACATGAATATCCATGGAATGATCTTAAGCTAACTCTGATTTACCGCTATTTTGTTCAGGGTATGCCTGGAGCACCTGGCATGAAGGTATACTCTAGAGAAGATATAGAGAAGGGGAATATCGGTAATGAAGATGAAGATGGCGACGATGATGAAGATGAGGAAGAAGATGAAAAGTTTCCCAAGAACTTGGTACATAAAGTTTCTGTTTTCAAAGGAACCAAGATCTTTCACTCTTTTCTCTAAATCACTTATATGGTTTTGTTGGTTTTTAGGGAAAAGTTTTGAAAGAGAAAGAGAGTAAAACAGAAGAACTGAAGAAGACAATCGCTAAGGAGTTCAAGAAGAAAGGTGAGGTTCTAAAGATACATGCACAGAAAGTGTCGAACCGGGTCCGGAGATGGTGGAAAGGACTTAGAACGTCTTCTTCTTCAAAGAAACCTAAGTCCGGGAAGTCTGAGCTATAGAAACAGTTTCAAACTGGTTTTGTCTTAATGTACTACTCTTCTTCACACTGGCTTTTTGTAGAGTTCGTTTAGTTTCTATAATCTTTGGAGAGAATATTGAAAGTATTTTTGAGACTTGAGAGACATCAGTTCTGTGATACAAGAAGGAACATATACGAGATGGTTTAGAGCAAAATCATTAATTTAGCTTGAGAAGAAAAACAAAAACAAATGTTGCAATGTGAAGCAAATGGAAATTTGGAAATCTGGAAAAAAAAGAAATACAAAATCTAAATCACAGTTTGAGAATTGTATCTTCTCCGTTTCAGCATTTGAAGTTCTGCTTCTTATGAGAGAACTTTAACGCATTTTGTAGTGTTGGGTCCTTGAGATCTTGCAATGCTGGCCATTCAAAGAATAGCTTAGCTTTATGTCAATGTCTCGAGGATTCTTCTTGTTAGGAGAAACGGACATGGTTCCAGTGATTGTCTCACCCTCGCATATGGTTAACACATCTTCTAGGTACAGAACTGTTTGTTTCCAGTGTGTAGCTCGGGATTTCGGTCCTGTATTTCACACACGTGGTTGTTCAGTGTAAGTTTCAGACCATAATGAAACAATGTGTCTATGTTTAAACTTCAAACCAAGTTATTCAATAACATGCCAGTTCCTTTGCACCAAAAAATAAATAGAATACTCAGAGCTAGCAAAAGATTGTAGAGATCTGAACCTGTTGAGAAACCCAGTAGCTTGTGGCACATGGTAAACGATACATCAAAGTAGGCTACAAGGGCGTGGATGTAGTCATTGCGTTGAGCAACAAGCTTAAAGGGAGCTGTGAAGGAAGCATCACCAGAAGACATCTTTGAGATATCCATGGTCTGTTACAAATCCATAAGGAAATGAAATGAACATTAGCCACACAGAGAAAGAGAGACTGCTAATCATCATCATATGTATATCTTATACCTTTAAAAGCCTACTATCGGTGACGATTTGATTTTGGTCGACTGTGTCAACAAGTGGTTCCATCATAGCTTTTTTCTTGATACATGACATGTCAAAACCATACACACTGTTCCAAACTGTAGTAGACCAATACAAAAGCAAATGAAAATGCAATTTCAACAGACGGGAAGAGGAATGATGGAAGGAAAAAAAGACTAGAAAAGATGTCAAATCGATGCACTCACATTCTATTTTGTCTTCTTTGTACTCCGAATCCTCTATGGCTGTAAGATGCAGGGAGGCTTTGTCTGGTAGCACAACTCCACCATCAACCTATCCGTAAAAACAGAGGACCAAGAAGATTTCATGGTTATATCAGTAACAACATGAACTTGCAACAATTAATTGTTGACAATTCCTTTCGGTAACTAAGAATCTCATGTAACAAGGTAGAGCTGTAACTTACAAGCCATTTATCACGAGCATATAAGACACTGTCCAACATATTTTCAAACAACAAGAAGTAACCCATCCATTCAGATATAATCACATCCACTTTAGGAGTAGGAAGCTCTATCTCCTCAATCTTCCCTTTCAAAACCGTAATAACTGCATCGATAAAACAAAAATCGTCAAGCGGTTACAGAACAGTTGTTTTCTATTTGAATACAACTCAACATGAAAGAAAAAAACATTAAACCAACCATCAGAAAATCCATTTGCTTTAACAATCTCCTTTGCCATGTCAGCCATTTGAGAACATTCAACCTAATAAGGAACATGGTCAATCAAATCATTCAGATTGAAAAAGATTCTCACTTATGATAAAAAAAAAAGAGACTGAAAGATTTGAAAACATACAGCGTAGACATGAGCTGCTCCTGCCTTGGCACAGAACAGAGACAAGATTCCAGTTCCAGCTCCAACATCAAGAACAATTTTGTCCTTGATAAGAAACTTGTTTTGGTAAATAACATTCTGATAAGTCTTTGTTCTCACTACATCCTTTAACATCTCCTGAAAGATACCATCCTCGAATCAGTCAGCAGATAGATACAGAAGAAACACATTGAATTACATTAAACTTCCAGAACAGAAACTATCACAATAACAGCTGAGCTTTGTTTCGATACTTACTTCATGGATTCCTGCAAAACAAATGGAACCAAAATCAAATATTTGCAAAGATTCATAACCAAAGAGCACAAAATTGAACTTGAAAAAAGGGAATTTACCGAAGTGAGAGTAAGAATCGAAGTAGTAGTCGGCGCTAGTGGTATCATCAGTAACATCAGCGGTGTCGGCGCTCTCTCCGGCGTCGAACATGGATTCATCTTGGGCAACTTCCTCGCCGGCAACACCAGACCCTTCAGCAACTTCGTCTTCATCAGCATCTTCAAAGCGTATCTTCGTGTTCTGATTTGGTTCAAAGCTGATGAACTCATGCTCGTTGTCGTTACTGTTCTTAGTCATCTTTTTTTTCTCGGTCTCAAACAAGAGGGAGACGAAAGAGAAGGGTTTTGGGGATAGAGACGAAGTCGCAAGATTAGGGTTTTAGGAAGACGCGAAGCTTTTTATTTTGAAGTCTTTTGCTTTTGTTTTTTTTCTCTCTCCGGTTAGTGAATTTTATATTAGAATTAAAATCGTGCTCAAGATATTTTCTGTACCGGTTCGGTTTTCGTCGACAAGCACCAATCAATCGGTTAATATCCGACCACACAAACAAGACACTGAAACAAAACAACATGTACAGTAGTACTAGATTAGTAAAACACAGGCAAAAGTTATTATTCCCATTAACACAAAGGTTGTATTATTATTGAGTTTCTCTTATCAAGTTTTTAATTTCCATAGGCTAAGAGTAGTTATGATCACTTGGTCGGTGGCCAAGGCCCTCCAGCCATCACAGCTTCGATCTCCCATGTCTTTCGCGGAACATTCGTCATGTTCTCGCAGCCATTCGCAGTAACGACCTACCAAACAAATCACACAGATACAACAACAAAAATGAGATTATTGTATATGACATTACGCTTGAGAAGGTTTTAACTTTTAGACGTTGTAGTGAATAAGAATTTGTCATTACCAAATCACTTTCGATTCTGACACCTCCGAAATTTCTGAATCTCTCTATTGTTTCACGGTTGAAGAACTTAGAGGTTGTTGCGTTTTCCATGGCTGGGAACAGCAATGCCTTGATGAAATAGCATCCTGGTTCCACCGTTATTACCTGACATAAATACAATTAGGACAATAATGAGAAGAACCAAAAGCATTTTTACTTGCAACAATCAGCCCTTACCATTCCTTCAAGAAGGTCTCTTGCAGTGCGTAATGACTTCAATCCAGGTTCCTTTGGTCTCTCCACTCCCTAAAAGAAAGAAAAATCAAAGCAACGGGTAAGAAATAAGGACTGTAGTTTTATTTACGTGATAATACTATTGGGTGAAAAAGTGATTTGATGTACCTTAGGGTAACCACCGGTATCATGTGTGTCAATGCCCATGAAGTGACCTAGTCCATGAGGCATGAAAACAGCACCTAAGCGTTGTACCATCATGTCGTCCACATCACTAGGAACAAAGACGAAACCGTAACAGAGAAAGAGAAGAGCAAACAAAGTTGCAAATATACAAATGTCTAAAAGAGTGAGTTACCCAGTGAGGATGGACCCCTTCTTCAGTGACTCAAGGATGATTTTTTCGGCTAACCTGTGCATTAACTTGTTTCAGTTGGAAAATAAAGCTAAATAACCATATGGAAATGTAGTTCAAATTAGACCAAAGCAAACTGCGAATACAAGCTTAAGTTCATAGTCAATCCCAATTACTGCATCTGCATGCATACAAAGCTATGTAGCATCTCAGTCAATCTTACTTGTGCATATCCACCCAGTTTACTCCTGGCTTCATCGCAGAGATTACAGAATTATGAGCATCCAGAACAGCCTGAAAGGAAGGCAAATCAAAGAAACCTAAATAGATATAATGCTTCAAGAGGCTCAACAAACTCTGGATTGTGTGAAAATTTGACAAAATAAAGCACACATTTCTACTACATCCACATTGGACCATTCTTGTAAGGTACTTACATTGTAGATTAGACTCTGGTCGCTAGTAAATTTACCATTGACCTGCGCATATTTGATGATATTTGTCATCACTTGCTCTAAATGACTAGATTTAACACATTACGATGTTCATGTAAACATGATTAAAACAATTCGATGTGGTGCAAATATAATTCTATAACACTTTAAGGATTCTGAGTAACAAAACCTAAAAGGAAAATTAATAATAGGACTGACTAGAAACAGAACTCACGGGGAATGAGCATGTTATGTCAGACCCATAAAAATGGTATTCAGCACCCATATCAAGTAATGCCAAATCTCCGTCTTCGAAAGTCTGCAAGAAGTAATAGAACATTTTCAAACAGGGAATACTACGAGAATTTGAAAAACGCGAAGAATGGTTGCTCTTTTACCCTATCATTTGGAGCCGCAGCATGCCCATAATGAAGAACAGCACTGCAAACAAACAATTTAACTATTTTGTTAGTAAACATAGAAAGGCATGAAAACCGAGAATTCTTATTTCTGCATTTTCAGCAATAACAAGATTTAATCCACCAAAATCTACCTGTTATCCCCTGTTGCACAAATACATGTGTATGAGCAATGCCTACAGCCACCATACATGTAGCTGTGATGCAGAAACATACTTTCCATCTGATATTCCTTCATGCCAGGTGTGACTCTCCTCATAACCTGATGTGGATACATAACATGGTTAAAAGTAGGAAACATGCAAGATGATTGCAAGAAGGGAAAAGAAAACGTCTACAAAGAGTGGATAAGAAGAGTTAAGGTCGGAAACCTAAGTAGTGAAACGATATTAAAAAGACAAATTTTGAACAAGCAAACAGAGATGAACATCATTACATCAATTTATCTAATTCAGTGGTCAACACGTTACCACTTGAAAAGGAAAGAATAAATTCAAGAGAAAAAATGTTAGGAAATAATTTCACACCTCTATATGAGCTTCAGAACTTATATCATTTGCAAACTGTATTAGTTGAAGCTCCAAACTTGATTTAATAACTCGACATTCCGCCAATATAGGATGTAAAGTAGTCAAATCAGTCTCAAACTTTTCTATCCCCTGAAATAAGACACGAAACAGTAATACGAATGAGATTCAAACATCGGGAAAACACAATGAGCATCAGAATCCCAAAATTCTTCATCACAAGACATGCCAGAAGATATTCATTTTCAGGATCAAGACAAGAAAAGGCAAGACCAAATCTGCAGAGAAGTGAAGGACAAAGGAAGAAATGTAGAAACCTCAAAGCTGGCAGGTTTTGAGAAGTTACTGCTATCGGTGTTAAGACCATGCAAGAGATACAACAGAGGCTTTCCAGATCCCTTAAATTGTTCATTAAAGACTTGAAAAATCTCATCCACATAGAAAACCATGTCAACCATATATGTTTCCTGCAACAAGAAGCACAAAATGCCACCACATTCATACATTAAACAAATTAACAAGACTTAAAAAATAACTCAAATAATTACCTTAAAATGCGACAACGGCTTTATCTCCCCCAACCAGACAGCATAATCATCAGGCAACCTTGGAATAAAAAGGATAGATTTCCCACTTCCAACGTCCTTCCAATATCAAAAGGAAATCAATTTCATTGGTTAAGCAACATATTTAGAATGAAAATGGTGAACGGGGTCATATGCTCTTAGAAGAAAATAGCTGCAAGACTCACAATAGCTCCATAAAAATCTGGCTCTCTGACAGCAAACAAGTAAGCAAAATAACTCTCCTGCCTACAATTCAATTCAATTCAACAAATCAATATCATCTTATTTTCCACTCAACACATTGAACAGCTTGAAATAGAAGAAACCTCGAGATAAAATTTCAAATCAATACCTGAAGAGCTCGGTGTGATCAGTGCAGTATCGATTTTTCTCCTCACCACCCTATCGTCCATAAACGAAAGACAATGAACGATACGTGTTTGAAATTATGTAAATACGAGCTAATCAAGAGTACCTGTAGAAAAACGAATCCATCTAGAGAACAATTGGAATTAGATAAGTGACGGCGTATTGAATCAAGGAGCTTTTGCCGGTTACCGGCGTGGAGCTCCATAGGAATCGGTGGAGGAGACAGAGACGACATGACGATGATTGGGGTGTTTTTTTTTTCCGGCGAGGCCTAATAATAAAGCTAAATATCAAAAGACGTTGTCGTTTCATAACTTGAGGAAAACGTAAATAAACGACGTCGGTTTTAAGATTGTTAAAGAAAACGACATCGTTTACAATCGAAACGCAAAATACGCCGTCGTTTAACATAAAGAAGAGAAGTGACATATTTACGCAGTTGTTGAATCAGTGGCCCGAAATCTCGAATCGACTCATCTCTCAGCTCACCGGCGCTGCATTATCAATTGCAGGAGGTACGGCGAGGTTCTGGTCTCTGACTGATGTTTCTCAATTGGGTTTTAGAAATCTAGGGTTTTGCTCTTGCTTCTCTTGTATATTGTATGCTTTGTGGTTTGACTTTTAGATCTATATCTGTGATCTCTTCTTGCTTCGACAACGATTTTTTCGTTCTAGGAGTCACGGATTGGAATTTTGATGTTCTTGGTTGATTCACACTGGGTTTCGTTCGATCTATCGTTATAGAATTTAGGATTTGGGGTTTTAGGCTTTTTTAGTCTTTTAGCTTGATTTGTGTGAATTCACTGAAAAGTCTCTTGTTTGCTGTAGTAGAGAAATTTAGAGATTTTCAATGTCAATTTTGGATTTTTATGAATCAAAGATGCCTGCTTGAGAATCGCTGCTGTATTTTGGAGCTGTTTCTTCTCTTGTTTCTGACACTGAATTGGTAATGCTGATGTTACATTCTCTTTTGTATTTGAAGGATTTGGTTGTGAAGATGGCATCGAAGTTGATACAAGTTCAATCAAAGGCATGTGAGGCTTCAAAGTTTGTGGCTAAGCATGGAACTTCCTACTACAGACAGTTGTTGGAGAAGAACAAGCAATATATCCAGGAACCTGCCACTGTTGAGAAGTGCCAAGAGTTGTCTAAGCAATTGCTCTACACCCGTCTTGCTAGGTTGATATCTCTCTTCCCCCTCTATCTCTGAACATTTCCCTGTTCATAGACTCGTGTTTACCTTATCTAGATTCTGGTTAGAAAGAGACTTTGTCAACAAACCATCTTTTTTATTTTCTTCTTTGAGGTATAAAATAGCCAGGGAATGCTGAGCTCATACGAAACTTGGATTTGCATTGTAGTAAAATAGTGATCCTTGTTGTTATATATTGCTGTTCATGGAACTGAGAATAGCCTCATGATCAAAATTGAAATTAAACGTTTACTATGTTCTTTATGCTATCTTTGTGTTGAGCTATTTGTCTTGTTTAATCCGTTGTCATAAGTTGCAGAATTCTGTATTAAAGCTGGCAATCTTGATTTTTGCCCATAGTGTATTGCTTGCCTCGAGTATCTAACACTCTTCCACTCTTTATTACAGCATTCCCGGACGCTATGAAACCTTCTGGAAGGAAGTAGACTACGCAAAGAACTTATGGAAGAACAGATCCGCTCTGAAGGTAGAAGATGCAGGAATTGCTGCATTGTTTGGTCTCGAATGCTTTGCGTGGTATTGCGCAGGTGAAATCGCCGGGAGAGGATTCACCTTCACAGGCTATTACCCTTGAAGGAGAGAAACAATAACTTGAAGATTGTGTAATCCCCTCCGTTTTAGTTTTCATGATTCTCTCTTGAATCGATTTTTTCCCAGTTTATTCCTGAAACAGAGGCTTTGGAGCTGAGAAAATCCATTTTGCTATAACTCTTTGACAAAGATTGCTATCAATAAGAACAAAATTTCCCAGGAAATTGCTTTCACTATAATGTTTTTGGCCTTGTTTAATATCAATATCAGTAATGATACAAAATTCGAACCATATGATTTGCAGTCTATGTGATAAATATCCTCTGATACTCTGTTCTTAACGACCAAATTTTTATTATTTTGATAAAGAACGTCCATATAATCTGTAGATTTGATTGGTGATCATGAAACTTCTTCTTTTTTTATATTGTATATAAGAAAGATGAGGGACGAGAAAGCAGGAGGACCAAGAATGGGACCTTCCATTCCAAAAAGACTCAATTATACTTTTTGGTCAGAATTTGAAAGAACAAAACAAGAAACTTCCACTAGAGAAGGTGAGATACAAAGATGATTTGCGGTGGTGCTTTGACACATGTTGCTTTAGGTTTAACCGCCTTCCTCCTCTTCGCCGTTGTTCACAGCCAGGTTAATATATATACTTATTGTTCTCTGTTCATGTTTGTGCGTTGTGGTGTATTCCAAACGATGACTTTTGTTAGCTGTTTCTGATGGGTTGAGACAAAATGTCAGGAGAAGTGCAGCAGAACCTGCATTGCACAGAAATGCAATGGTGAGATTGTCATTTTTCTTATGCATTCCTTTGAACTTGGAGAAAGTTTCTTAAGCAAAACCTATCTCTGTTTCAGTTCTCAGCGTTCGATATGGGAAGTATTGTGGGATAGGTTACTTTGGATGTCCGGGAGAGCCACCTTGTGATGATCTTGATACTTGTTGTATGAACCATGACAATTGTGTTGGTGTAAAAGGTAAACCAATCAAGATCTGATTGCACTTTGCATCTTGGATCTGAGAATGATGCATTTGGTGCTTTTTTTACAGGTATGACTTATGTTAACTGCCACAAGCAGTTCCAGCGTTGCGTAAACGAGCTAAAAAAATCAATCCAACAATCTAACAACCAAAAGGTTGGATTTTCCAAGCAATGCCCTTATTCAACAGTGATACCAACCGTGTACAGAGGAATGAATTACGGCATTTTCTTCAGTGGGATAGGTAACTAATTAAGCTCTGGTTTATTAATAACACTAATCACTTATAGACTTTGGAAACCATAAGCTAGTGATGAAACCATATGACTTATGTTACATTGTTTTGTGACATTTCTGAATATAGCACTTACTATACTGTCTTATAATGTTAAAACTGCAAATAGCTCAATTTCAGCTAGTGTTAAAATCCGATAAGATGCGAATAATCTTGTGCAGGTAATATCATTAAACCTAAGAAGCCAGCAAGCGCCGCGCCCGTAGTGGAGGTGGATCTAGCTCGGAGTAAAGCAGACACAAAAGATGGCCTTGGAAAAAATCAAGGACCTCAAACAAAAGATGGCTCCAAAGTCTCTGTTTTGATGAACCCTTCTCCTTCTTGATCATTAGGTGACTCATAACTCTCAAGTTTTGTAGATTCTTTAACTTTGTTTTTTTCATGAAAAATGATCAAGATCTTGAATTCTGTCAGGTTCATGGCTTCCAGGTCAAAGCCAAGTAGCAGTGACTAGTGAGTGGATTAGTCGCCCATGTATTATATACATTACTTTAGTTTCTATTGTACTCTAGATGTAAGGAAATCAAATGTAGATAAAGAAAAGTGTATATGGAATTTTTATAAGAAAACAACATAAATTTGTTGTTTCATTATGTTTGATGAGTATCATTTCGTACCATATTTATTTTCGATCTATTTGTAACTTCTGTTAGATTGCATTAAAAAGAACCATTAGCCGTTGCGAATACTCTGATTGATTAAACGTGTTCTGTTCCAAGAGTAAACAAAAATGCTACTCTGTTTTGAACGTCCATAATAATAGTTTTCCTGGAAAAGGAACGTCCATAATATATGATGATTTGATTAGCAATCATGAAACTTCTTCATTTTTTTAAGTCTTGTGTACGTAAAAGAAAGAGAGGAGGGACGAGAAAGTAGGAGGACCAACCACTAATGGGATCTTCCATTCCAAAGAGAGCCAAAAATAGTTTGGATAGAATTTGAAAGAACACAAACCAAAACCCAAAAACTTCAACCAGAGAGCCAGAGATAGAAAGATGATCCCCGGCGTTGCTTTGACACGTGTTGCTTTCGGGTTAACCGCCTTCCTCCTCCTCGCCGCCGTGAGCAGCCAGGAGAAGTGCAGCAACACCTGCATTGCACAAAACTGCAACAGTAAGATTGTTTTTTCTTATGCATTCCTTTGAATTTGGAGAACAACTTGTGCATTATCTTGTTTTGATCCATCTTTGTTTTCAGGTCTTGGCATTCACTATGGGAAGTACTGTGGGATAGGTTACTTTGGATGTCGAGGAGAACCACCTTGTGATGATCTTGATGCTTGTTGTATGACTCATGACAATTGTGTTGATTTAAAAGGTAAAACCAATCAAGAACATCTATGAATAACCATTCTTGAGTGTAAAAAAACTTTGTTAATTTTTGGTTTTGATTAGGTATGACTTACGTTAACTGCCACAAGCAGTTCAAACGTTGCGTAAACAAGCTAAGAAAATCGATTAAACGATCTAACGGTCAAAAGATTGGATTCTCCACTCAATGCCCTTATTCGATAGTGATACCAACCGTGTTCAATGGAATGGATTACGGCATTTTCTTCAGTGGGATAGGTAAGTATTGAGCTGTTTTATATCCTCATACTCCCATTCAGACCCTATGAGGATATAAGCTAGTCCTAGTGATGAAACCATACGACTCTCTTTTCTGTTGCCTTGTGACATTTCTGATCAGAGTACTTAATGTGTTCTTATGATAAGATGTGAATTAATAATCTCTGCGTAGGTAATATATTCAAACCTCCGGTGCTGGGAAGTGTGCCCGTCGTGGAGGTGGATCTCTCTCGGAGTAAAGTGGACACAAAGGATGGCCTTGGAACAAAGCTAGGCCTTGGAACAAAAGAAGGCTCCAAAGTCTCTGCTTCTTTAAATATATGAGCCCTTATTTCTCTCTCTCTCTCATCTTTGCAAATTCTCTAACATATGTTTTTAACTCTATCACGGATCAAAATCAATGGGTAATCAATGAATTAGCCTACTTTTTATATATTTTATATTAGTTCCCTTATTTTGGATGTTAGTCACATCACCAAAAACTTCACCAAGTCAAAAATAGATCATGAATGATAGATTTCTCTCTTCTTCTGTTTTTTTTTTGCTTTTCAAGACGCTGACTTTGTCCTCCTGTTTATTATTTTAGAACATTAATCACCATTTTATCTATAAATTATAGATGTATTTTTATTATTTTGGATGTAACTCCATCTCTGTTGCCGTCTTAAAAAGTCCAGGTTGTCTTACTCTTCTTAGTGGGATGTATATGGTCACTAGGCCAATGATGAACGAAAAGTCTACCAAAATCTGGCTAAATAAGTAAATAAACACACAAAGAGTAGACTTTTTTACTTTTTGGTGTTTCCGTTATCTTAATCGCACGTTGTCTCTTTTTGTTTTACTCTTGACGATGAAAAGCTGAAGAACAAACAACTTGAGAAAACCAAAGAAAGAGAAGAAGATGAAGGCTAATCAATTTCTCTTTTTCAGCATTTTTTGTGCCCTTGCCATTGTAGTTCACGGCCAAGGCCAATCAGGTTTCTTCTTCTCCTCTCTCTTATTTGAAATTGAGGCGATCTTCAGACTGAGGAAAGCTTGAGTACAATATAAAGGATCTCTTATACCTGTCTTGGAATTTTAGTCAAAGCGTAATGTCTTGTGTTGCAAGGAATCATACATTTCTCTCTGTTTTAAAATTTGTAATTGACAGATTTTCTTAAAGGTGCTTGAAAGTTTTGATATATAATTTTTCAATGTTGAAGAAATGAAGTTAAGCAGATTTTTAAACATGTCATATACAATTTTGGCTTTAAAAGTTGTCAAACGTCATATAAAATTTTGCTTGTGTTGGAAGTAATCTTCCTTTTTCTCCTCTGATCCAGGTTACATCAGCATCGATTGTGGCATACCTCCTTACGAGACCCCTGAAGACACTATGGCTAAAATCAATTACGTCTCCGATGAAGCTTTCATAACTACTGGCGTAAACTTCAACGTCTCTGAAGATTACGGCGCTCTAAATAACCCGGTTTTACCGTCAACTCTTGCTGAAGTAAGAGCTTTCCCTCGAGGAAACAGAAACTGTTACACCATCAAAATTTCACAAGGAAAAGGGAATCTTTATCTCATCAGAGCTTGGTTTATGTATGGAAACTACGATGGTAAAAAAGCTTTGCCTGAGTTTGATCTCTATGTAAACGTGAATTTCTGGACCTCAGTGAAATTCAAGAATGCTTCTGATCAAGTCACCAAAGAGATTTTAAGCTTTGCAGAGTCAGATACAATATATGTTTGCCTTGTGAATAAAGGTAAAGGAACTCCTTTTATTTCAGGCTTGGAGCTCCGGCCAGTCAACAGTTCAATCTACGGTACAGGATTTGGAAGAAATGTCTCTTTGGTTCTCTATCAAAGATGGGACATTGGATATTTAAACGGAACAGGACGGTACCAAGACGATAGATTCGATCGTATTTGGTCTCAATACTCCTCAAATATCTCTTGGAACTCGATTATAACAACTGCCTATATCGATGTTTTTCAGAACGGTTATTGTCCACCTGATGAAGTTATTAAGACAGCTGCTTCTCCTACAAATGATGATGATCCGTTGGAGTTGTTCTGGACATCATACGATCCAAATGCTCGGTTCTACGCATATCTTTACTTTGCGGAACTCGAAACGATAGAACAGAATGAGACTAGAAAGATCAAGATTTTGTGGAACGGTTCCCCTGTTTCCGAAACTTCTTTCGAACCTTCTTCAAAATATTCAGTGACGTTTTCTAATCCAAGAGCTTTCACTGGTAAAGATCACTGGATTTCTATACAGAAGACCGCAGATTCAACGCTTCCACCAATTCTCAATGCTATCGAGATTTTTACCGCACAATCTCTAGATGAATTTTACACCATAACTGATGATGGTGTGTTTCCATCTCTACTTAGATTAATTCTGTAAGATATCTCTACTTAAACTCACAGTTTTACATTTTCTCGTGGTAATGCAGTTAAAGCCATAGAAAGCATAAAAGCAACATATAAAGTGAATAAGATTTGGAGTGGTGATCCTTGCTCCCCAAGATTATTCCCTTGGGAAGGTATTGGATGCAGCTACACCAATTATAATCATCAAATCAAGTCCCTGAATCTTAGCTCAAGCGGATTACAAGGACCAATAGTCTTGGCATTTAGAAATCTCTCTCTTCTTGAGTCATTGTAAGTATATATATACAACTGAAACTTTTCACCACTTTTATTCACATTATCTATTAGAGAGTTTTGCATTGTTTTTTCCCCAGGGATTTATCGAACAATGACCTACAACAAAATATTCCAGAGTTTTTGGCTGATCTAAAACATTTGAAACTCCTGTAAGTCAGCATATATAGTCTTGGTCTATATTAACAATGAATTTGCCTCTTGACACATTTACTTCTGTTGCAAGGAATTTGAAAGGAAATAATTTTACTGGGTTTATCCCAAAATCTCTTATGAATAAAATAAAAGCCGGTCTACTTGCACTCAGGTAACATTTTCTACCATTTTACAGAAAACATTTTCAACCTCAAGCATGATCTCTCTCTCTCTCTCTCTCTCAATCTTGTTATTTCTGTCTGTTTTCAGTGTGGATGACCAAAATCTTTGTAACTCACGTTCATGTCAAGACAAGAAGAAGAACAACATGGTCGTGCCTATAGCTATAGGGACGTCAGTGATCATTCTCATTGTCGTCCTAGTTGTTATATTGATCATACTAAGGCAAAGAAAAAAAAGTTAGACGGTTGGAACTTTTCATGTTAATTATTAATTTGAAGTCAGATTTTTGCTGAGAAAAACATGTTTTTCAGGAGCCTATTCAGGACCACTCTTGCCTTCAGGGAAGAGAAGGTTCACATATAATGAGGTCTCTAGCATTACAAACAACTTCAATAAAGTTATTGGTAAAGGAGGTTTTGGTATTGTGTACCTCGGTTCCCTTGAAGATGGGGCTAAAATTGCTGTAAAGATGATCAACGATCCTTCATTGGGAAAACCTAAAGGATCTTCAACTTCATCATCATCCCGGGCTTCTAGCCAATTCCAAGTCGAGGTAAACACCAAAAACATGAACCATATATTTTGGACAATATATGTTGCTTTGTGGTTGATAACTTGATGAAGTGTAAAATGTTTACAGGCAGAGCTTCTTTTGACAGTGCATCACCGGAACTTAGCTTCCTTTGTTGGATACTGCGATGATGATCGCAGTATGGCTCTCATCTACGAGTACATGGCCAACGGCAATTTGCAGGCTTATCTTTCAAGTAATCTTCATTTCTCTTGAGCTCTCTATTGCCAATTATCGCTGCCTTTGAGCTCACGGATGTTTTGTTTACGGATATGCAGGTGAGAATGCAGAGGATCTTAGCTGGGAAAAGAGACTCCATATAGCCATAGACTCTGCACAAGGTTGGTCCCGTTTTGGACATCCTTGATTTCTCAGGGCTTAAAGCAAGAAACCAAACCTGGTTTTATTCCCTCTTGGCAGGTTTGGAGTATTTGCACGATGGATGCAGACCAGCAATAGTACATAGAGACGTTAAAACAGCAAACATTCTATTAAACGATAACTTGGAAGCCAAGATTGCTGATTTCGGCCTTTCTAAGGTCTTCCCTGAGGACGATCTCAGCCACGTCGTGACTACCGTCATGGGAACTCCCGGCTACGTTGATCCTGAGTAAGTTCCTTTAAACAATCAATACAGATCACATCTTCTTGCTGGTAGCTTCACCAACCAGCGATTTAATGAGACTAGGGTTAGGGTTGGCCAATTCAGTTCGGACCCTTATTTTCAGTTTATCAAGAATAGTAACCCATTTGGGACTCATTGGATACATAATAAACTAAACAAATGCAACGTATGGTGACAGATACTACAGAACATTTGTGCTAAACGAGAAGAGCGACGTGTACAGTTTTGGGGTCGTCCTTCTTGAACTCATCACTGGCCAGCGAGCCATCATCAAAACAGAAGAAGGAGACAATATCAGCGTGATTCACTACGTTTGGCCGTTCTTTGAGGCTAGAGAACTAGACGGCGTCGTGGACCCGCTGCTTCGGGGAGACTTCTCGGAGGACTCAGCTTGGAAGTTTGTGGATGTGGCAATGTCTTGCGTCAGAGATAAAGGATCCAATAGACCAACAATGAACCAGATCGTGGCGGAGCTGAAACAGTGCTTAGCCGCTGAGCTGGCTCGTGAGCCACAGAGCCAGTGAAAGTGATTAGGGAGAATTAGTAGGATGAAGCAAAATTGATTAAAAGAGGTTTGAATTTATGCTCTATATACGTTACGTTATTTGTATTGTATGGTCAGATGCATACATGATTGATTGATTGACTATAATTTATAAAAGTGTTCTGCTCAAATTTTTGTTTATAAATTCGTGTTGTTGTCGTTTCCATTAAAATCATAGTACTTGTTAATTTTGTGATGAAATTGAATTATGTTTCTCCTAATTGCTTGAGCACTACGTGTTTCCAATATGTCAACTTTTTTTTCGAAATTTTAGGCAATATTCTAGGAAATTAACGTACTAATAAGCTTTGAATTAAGTGATGAATTATAGAGTTTTATCAGGTTATTTTTGTTGAAAATAAATCAATTAATTTCTTGTCAATTTTTTTAACGCTTCTTGTAAAATAATTTTTTTTTTTTTTTTTGTTTTCTAAAAGACAATTTACTTCAAAAGATGATATTTTTTCGAAATTTAATTTCATGGTATTTCAGATATCTTTTGTCGGTGTCTCTACACTAATTATAAGACAATTCAAAACATGTGACCAACTAACTCTAAGATCTTTTATATAGTACAAATTTCGAATACAATTCTTTTTTTTATCTAACACATTATACATAATTACATATCTAGTTATTTTGTAACGTTTTTGACTTTATTAGCTTCATTATTAATTTTTTAAGATACTGGATACTTTAATGAAAATCTGATAAACTATCAAATCTGAAAAGTAAGACAAAATTAATATAAATTTGAAAATTGTGGAAGATTTGTTAATTTTTTCCAAACATTAATATACATTCCAAATGAAAAACAATAAAACATTACATGATTTCTTTGTCGACATGATACATGTCCTTTTAGTTTTTAACTTGTTTTTCCGAGTTTTCTTACATTGATTGTTCTTTTGACGCGTAATCAAATCTTCAACACTATTAAACTCGTTTTCCCCACAAGTCAATTTTTTTTTCCCCTCTTTCTAATTCACCTTCTCCGTCTTAGGACTGGGCATAATACCCGAACCCGAAGAACCGAACTGAACCCGACCCGAAATACCCGAACCCGTTCTACTTCGGTTCCGGCTAATTACCCGATCGGGTTCTGTTTTTAAATAACTGTGGGTATCGGGTATTATCCGAACCGAATCCGATACCCGTGAGTACTTTTTATTACCCGAACATATATACACATATGAGGACATATATACACTAATAACTTGAATATGTGACTTGTTTAATGATTTAAGTTATGGAACAAACTCAAAACAAAGTTTACTTCTTGTTTTATATTATTGTCTTAAGGAACAACTTGTTATAATTTCAGATCTTTCGGATTTTATGGGTACTTTTATGTATGTTTGGGTATATTTGGACAAAGTTTGGGTAAGTAGTACTCAAACCCGAAATAGTTTTGGTTATTTATGGGGGAGACTAATCTCTGGAGCTCCTCACTCTTGACAAAGTAATCTAAACACTCTCCAAAATTCTCATCTACTCTTCTACTCTTAATGAAACTTCAAAACCCCTTTTTGCCCTTGTAAAAGATTTAATGGTTATTTTATTTAATCCATTAAATAGAACAATTTTGACCAATCACAAGTGAGTGAGATTCGACCAATCACGTTCTCTTATTTGTGAAAATCCAACATTGTCGTCTTCATCCTCGTCTAGCCATTTTTCGACACAAAAACTGAAGCTTTCCGTCATGTCAATTCTTCTTATATTATTGTGTTTACCTTTAAAATCCATCGAATCTTTAGTCGGTTTCGATGTACAAATCATTTCGTTGTTGTAATTGCAATTTAGGGATTTCAATTAAATTTGAAATCGGTGTTGGTAACTAATGGAGATTGTGTTAGTAATCATGTTTTCTGGGTCGATTAAGTCAGATTAATGGACTATAGTGGCTGATTCGTAGTGAATCGTGTGTTACTTAGTGTTTTTGCTCCGAATTTCAATTGACATATAGAGTATAACTAGAAAACTGAGTATAACTACATCCTTTGATCCAATTCGTTTTGTACAACTTAGTAAAACTGATAATCGTAATGGTACATCTATATCAAATTTAACAAATTTTCATATGTATAATAAATTGAAATTAGTTAGACATTTTCTAAAATTTTAATTTGCACTTAGTAAATTTCGACCAGTGAAAACTGACTGCACTGACCAGTCATAACGTTCAACGTCAAACTGACTGCACTTAGTACTCTATATTTTGTACAATTTTGTAAAACTTGGTTTCTTAATGGTACAACTACGACCAATGTAACAAATCTTCATATGTAATTTAATAAATTAGTTAGATAATTTATAAAATCTTCATATGCACTTTAGAAATTTAACCAATAATTTAACAAATCTTCTTAAATAACATTAGTTAAACAAAATTTACAGGATAGTTCATATTAAACTCATTTTGTACAAGAAAGACTTTTTACTTTTAAGATGACTTTCTTACTTTTATCCCCATTACATTGCAAAACACACAAAAATAATGTTTTGACATATATTTTTGCATGAAAACATAGGAAATGTACCTCAAATAACTAAATTCATGGGTTTAACTAAAAAAAATTAGTTTCAATTCAAGTATAACTAATTATTCAAAAAATCACAAAAAATACAACTATATATATGCGAGTACAACTTGAAAACTAGGAATAACTGTGTTCATTTTTGCGGTGCCACCTGGCATATGTACTTACAGTTTATGACGGCGCAGTTTGACTTCGTGCAGCTTGACTCACGTGCAGTTTGACCACGTTTTTTTAAGGTTTTAAAATTTTAAAAAATTTCAATTTTTTTATTCTTTACTAGAGAAAGATAATTAAAGAGAACGAGAGAGAACAAATCTGGGTAGTACAACTACGTACCAAGTTGTGCCTAGTTATACAAAAACTTCAAATAACCATACTAGCCAAATTGTACTAAGTTTAGCAAACTAAGTTACAAAAGTAATATAGTTATACCAAGTTCTATTAGTTGTCTAAAGTGTATAGATTATATTGTGGAATCCCAGCGAGAGATTGAATTTGTTGCTTCATAATCCACTTATGGTGTATTATTCTTCAATGATTTTGTTTGGATCTGTAGGATTCGTTATAGTTGGGTACAACCAAAAATATTTTGTTTAAAGCAAAATATAACTAATTACAAGGAAAAATCACAAAAATACAACTGTTTGATGCGAGTACAACTTGAAAAATAGGTACAACTATGCCCATTTTGGCGGCACCACATGTCCATTTTGACGGCGCCGCGTGTCCATCTTGGCGGCCCCAAATGCAAATTTCGACTACGCAATGTGAGTCACGTTTTTTTTTCTTCACTTCGATTTTGATTGAGAATTTAAATTGGAGATTTGCGATTGAGAATTTGAATTATTCAGATCCAGTTGTACCAAGTATTACATAGTTGTAGTTTTTGTTTTCAAGAATTTCTAAATTACAAAGAGTAGTTATACCAAGTTGTGCATAATTTAGAGACATACAATTGAATGCTGAGAGATTTATCGGGTTCTTTAGAATCAATTAGACGCGTCGATACGAAATTTACAAAATCGACATAAATTCTACAAAATTGACACGAGTTTTACAAAACAACTTCCAAAATTCAATGGAATTCTACACATAATCGAAAATGGAAAACTGATTTCAACATACAAAAATTCAGAATTGTACATACAAGTTGTACTAAGTTGTACCCAAATTGGGAGATAAAAATTGTGTTATTTCGGTTCTTTGTGCGTGCCATCTTGGATTTGGACCTCTTTCGGACCTAAAAACAAAACCCAGCAGTCGGACATAAGTAATCACGAACAACATCTCAGATTCTAGATTGTAAAAAAACAAAATTGTAGAGAAGAAATTGGGTTTCTTGGATTAATGGATTCTAATCCAAAATTCCTAGACTAATTTCACTTACAGAGGATGATGAAAATGTCGGAATGGAAGGAGGAAGAAGAATCCCAGATGTTTGTCGGGATCTTTGGTTTCGCGGTGGAGAAGATGAAAGAGGATAAATGAGTTTTGTTTTGTCTGTCGATCTCGAATCTAAGTGTTTTTATCCGTTTAAATTGGAATCGACCCAATAAGAAAGGGTTTGGGTATTTTTTAACCCAAGTAGCTTGGTTGGGTCGTAAATATGTGATATTTTGAAGGTTTAAGAAGTCTTTGTCTACTTTTTCGAATTTTAAAAAATCAAAACTAAATTATATTTTATAAGAGGAGCAATTGAGAAAAGTTTGGGAACTGGAGGAGCCATTGAGAATTTGTTCCATTTATGGGTTCTTTAACCAATACCCGAATTACCCGGACCCGAAGTGAACCCGAACCGAACCCGACCCAAAATTGTACATATAACCCAACGGATCTAAAATTTCTAAACCCGAAAAACCCGAACCCGAAAGACCCGACCCGAACCCGACCCGAATACCCAAATGCCCAGGCCTACTCCGTCTTCTCCAAAATCGATACTTTTCTTCGTGTCACGTGAAGGTCCATTTCCAGATCACAAAATTTCCATCTGATTTTCTTCAACAAAAACCCTAAAAGCCTTGATTTTTCGTTTCAATTTTGTACTCGGAGACTCCCAGACCTCAAAAGGCTTGATCTTTCGTTTCTCTTATCAAGTTTTCGCCCTCATGAAGAAGGTGCTTCATCGAAGTTTTAAGCCTGCGAAATGGTAAATTCAGTTTCTCATTTTCCTCTTGCTCTGTTCTTGCGAGTTTCTTCACATTACCGGAAGATTGATACAATTGGGTGATTGCAAAGTTTTGTTTTTTTTTTCAATTTCCTGATTATTATTGTTTTCAATAATGAAGCAAAATTGCTTTGCAAATGGCGGCTTCACGCCTGAAAATCCTGAAGAACAAAAAGGATACACATATTAAGCAATTGAGGAGAGAATTAGCTCAATTGCTTGAGTCTGGCCAAACCCAGACAGCTAAAATTCGGGTAAGTAAGCAATCAAATTCTCATTTGTTTCTATGAAATCTATGATTTTGAATCATGGATTGTGAAATGCTTAGGTGGAGCATGTGGTGAGAGAAGAGAAGACAGTGGCTGCTTATGAACTCGTTGGTATATATTGTGAACTTCTTGTTGCTCGTTTGGGTGTGATTGACTCTCAAAAGTAAGTTTCTTTGTACACACTTGTTTGTTTTTGCTTTATTGTGTTATGTGTTGATCATTGTTTGTGATCTTACTTTAGGACCTGTCCTAATGATCTTAAGGAAGCTGTCGCGAGTGTCTTATACGCTTCTCAAAGGTTAACAGATGTTGCGGAGCTCTCAGATATTGTTAAGCATTTCTCTGCAAAGTATGGTAAAGATTTTGTTTCAGCTGCTATTGGTTTGCAACCGGATTCTGGTGTGAGTCGTTTGGTAAGTTGTTGTTGTACGTGTTCTCTTACTTACTCCGCTGTTTGTAGAAGAGAGCTATGATTGCTTATGACACTCTCTCTCTCTCTTTATGCTTAGTTGGTGGAGAAATTGTCTGTTAAAGCTCCTGATGGTCCAACGAAGATCAAAATTTTGACAGAGATTGCTACGCAGCATAATGTAACTTGGGAAGCAGAATCTTTGGTTGAATCAGATCCCAAGGAAACCGTATTGGCGGTTAGTAATACATTTTTCAGTTCAATATTGCCCATGTTACTTTCTCTAGTATCTGTTTCCTCGTTAGCATTTTCAATTTCTTTAAGCAGAGTGGAGCAAGTTCCTGTCACTCTCAGTCAGCAACTGGAATAAAGCCGGAGTCGTCAAGAATCCGAAACAATCAACCTCCAGAATTTCAAGCTCCAGCTACTGTCAATGTGTCGCAAAATTCATATTCAAGTGATGGAAGATCTTCAAGCCGCATGACATCTACTGATTTCAACGTTGGGAAGACAGCTGATCACTATCATCAAGACCCAAAACCTTCTGGTTAGTTTTCATGAAAAGTGTTTTCTCATTTCTGTTTGATGTCCCTTCTATTTTTTCTGTCGTTTTTTGTTTGTGCTCAGCGTTAGATAAAAACAAATCGTCTTTTCTAATACAGGAGATAGAACTGACGGTAGAGAACACAGACATCACAATCCAGGTCATGGGGATTCATCTCCATTCGAAACAGAATTTGTTGATGCAACGAGTGCTGCACGTGCAGCTGCTGAATCTGCGGAAAGAGCGAGTTTTGCTGCACGTGCAGCTGCTGAGCTTTCAAGTAAAGAAAGAATGATGGCGATGCAGAATTCAAAAGAGTCGCGGAACTCATCCTCATATGATAATTTAAGAAACAATGCCCCACATAGTCGTACTAGTAGCTCAAATGTGCAAAGCGGAGGTTTTGCTAAAGAAGAATTGTTAAGAAGCAGTAACAAGCAAGAAGATCAATCTACTACTAGAGCAGAGTCTTCTAAGAAGACTGTTGATGAGCTATCAGAAAATGCTTCATGGAGGAGAGATCATTCTCGGGAGAACTCATTGGAGATGAGGCCGAATGATTCCTTTGCTAAAATAGGTAGAGAGAAGCAGCAGCCAAGTATGGATGAGATAAACCAAAGCAGTTCAGAAGATGTTCTAAATAAGAAACAATCAAGCCGAGCTTCATCGCATTCACCGTCAAGCAATTTTTCCGATGACAATGATGTCACTGCATTGGACCATATCGATTCACCAAGCATCTTGGAGGAAAACCGATTTCAGAGTACTGTTGGAGATAGAGAGAGCTACAATGACGGTCCTGATGTTGTTGTTGCTCCGGCTTTTGATGACTATAGCTCGTTTTTTGACAAACCTCAATTTGACACAGAAGATGCTTGTCACGATGAACCAGAACAAGGATTAGGATTTTCATTGCTTGGCAGTAGCAGCAAAACATCTGATCATATGCCTACAGAAATAAGTTCATGGAGCTTCGAAGGACACATTGCTCTGAGACAACCCAGCTCAGCCTCAACCTCACAGGTTCTTGAAAAGGAGAAGCCAAGTTCTCCAATATTTGATGATGGTCCTACAAGTCCTCCAGCCTCTCTGCATGAGCCTGAGCCTGAGCCGTCTGCAAAGTTTGATGATTATGACCGAGATTCTGAAAGTGAAGAAGACAATTTAAAAAACAAAGGAAATATTTCTGGACATGTAGAAGAAAAGCCGAAGCTGAAATCTCAGAAGCCCCAAATGTCTGAAGCTCCTGATGATTTAGGACGCTACTTTTTCCCATCAGATACAGAAGACCAAGGAGATGATTCCAAGATACAGGAAGAATCCGACACAGATAATGAAACGACTCTCCCATCTTATGGAATGAGTCCCCCAAAAGAGAAGACATGGTCCAAATCTGTTAAAGAGCATGTCCCAACAGAGGTTGATCCGTCGAGGTCTTCTTCTTTTCTGACAGACAGGACAGAACTTTACACTCAAAAAGCAAGCAACATGGACAAAAGACCAAGCTCTATACCTCCAGATTCATCTTCTAGTGATGATGAATCAGAGGTTAAACTTCGGGAGAGAGTTTCTGCTAGATATCAAGATAAAAGAGCTGAGTCAAGAACCCGGTCCACACATCTACATTCGCGTGTCAGCCACGAGGACTTGAAGGAAAAAATCCCGACTCGAGCTTCTACCAGAAGTCAAGAGAGGAGGACCCACAAGACCACCCCTGCCTCTGCTTCCGCTTCATATTTCCATGTAATATCCAGTGACGATGAAGATGAGAAAGAAGTCTATAGAGATGCTGCACGCACCCAAACCAAGCCTTCTATTTCCATCTCACGAAGAACAAAGGGCCAAGAGAGAAGATCATCTCTGGTTACTGCGAAAACTGAGACAGTCTCTCATGATCAAGAGTCTCCTCCAAAGCCAAGTCCTGAGGCCAAGCCACTAGCTAAGCAACAGGTATCAGCCTCTTCTTCAAGCTATCTTCCAAAAACTGACAAAGCTTCTCACGATCATGAATCTCCTCCAAAGCTAAGTACTGAGGCCAAGCCACTGGCTAAGCAACAAGGATCAGCTTCTTCTTTAAGCTTTCTTCCAAAAACCGACAAAGCTTCTCACGATCAAGAATCTACTCCAAAGCTAGGTCTAAAGGCCAAGCCAGCGGCTAAGCAACAAGGATCAGCTACTTCTTCAAGTTCTCTTCCAAAAACTGAAAAAGTCTCTCACTATAGAGAATCTCCTCCAAAGTCAAGTTCAGAGGCTAAGTCACTGGCTAAGCAAGAAGGGTTAGCTTCTTCTTCAAGCTCGCTTCCCAAAACTGTGACATCACCTGACCCAGAAACTCCAGCAAAGGAGAAAGCTAGCCATGTTCATCCCAAACTCCCAGATTACGACGACATATTTGCAAAGCTCGGGGCTCTTCGTCGCTGAGTTTCTGCTCATTCTTCCCGCTCTGTTGATATATACATATTCATTGTTTTATTAGCCCTCAATTCTTTTCTTTGATTGGTTTGCTTGTAGATTGAACTTGAATTTCGCATCCCGAGGATAACTTTTTGGCCGTGAGGTATCTCATCTGTTTTCTGTTACATGTTTGGCTTCCTTGTCATATACAATCAGATTATTGTCTTTTTAGTGTATTATAATGATTGAGTATATGATTGACAAAATCGAGAAAAAAAACCTTGATTGATGTATTATCTTATCTATTTTGGTGGACGAACAGGAATGTTATGTTACCATGATAATAAGACAACTGTTGACCCTGTCTGTGTATAGATTATTCAGATAGCTATGGAAGAACAAATTTCTCGTCCAAAATATATAAACTAAAGAAAATGTTGTCATAACAACAAGATCTTTGAATTTAGCAACAAAATGTGTTATCTAATAATTGCCAATCTGTTCAAAGACAATGTAAGTTACAAAAAGAGAAAAGCAAAAGGAAGAAGGATCGAAACTTCAAACTTTCGTTGAATCCTTATGACACTATAAGGTTCTTGCCAAGTGCTAGCTTAAGCTATTCAGTAAAAGAAACCAAGAACCTGACCACCCACATTCCGTTTGATTGCTTCTTCATGGTCCAAAATTCCATCCGGGGTTGTGATTACAACATAACCCCACTACATGAAACAAATCAACAAGCTGTTAAAACTTAAAAGTAATGCTATTTAGCTGCATTTCTGGATAGGGAGAGAGAGAGAAAATGAACAAACCTGACGTGTTGGAAGAGTGCGTTCAGTGTATTTCTCAATCTCTTTTGCCCTAACGTCTTGCCTATAGGTAAGAGCTTTGCAGTCATTAACCCTCCCTTGCAGATCAACTGTTATTCTACCAACTCTATGTGGATCATAGACTTGAAAGTTCTTGATATAACCTACATTTAGCATTACCATTTTGTAAAGTAAAACACACTTAAAGGAAAAGCCGATTCCATCAAACACACTCTGTAACATGTAAAGCTACTTACAACTATAACCACATTGAAATCGCTATCTACCAACATTAACCAAAAAAAATCATCTAACAAAAGAATTATGTAACCAACGGGAATATATACATAAGCAAATCAAAGCAACTCAGACCATTGATAGCATCATAGAAGCAAAAACCATTGAGCTTTGTTTCAAGTTCAATATGTTGTAGCTTCAGCATTAACCAAGAGCACAAGTAAGTAAGCCCCAACAGTCCCACGAATTAATTTGCTTCTTAATCACAGAACTAGATCCTTCACACCAAAATGAAATACGCAAAATCTCGATGGGACATGGGTAATCATCAAGAACCAATTAGAAAACAATAAGGAGAAACATTTCACCTTTCTCCTTCATGATTCTCAAGAACGAAGACATAACGGTGGAGATTGGTTTGAGCTCCACCGACGCTTTTCCTCGTCTCTCCGCATTCACAATCGTCCTCAACGCATCATTCAAAATCCTCCTCCCCATTTCTCTCTCTCTCCCGTCGAAAATCCCGACGCTACACAAATCGGAGAAATCTAAAAACCCCAATTTCAATAAGGGTTTGAGTGACACATTTGTTTCAGAATTCGTAAGGGTAGTTTAGTCTTTCTAAGCTAACACGTGCGGGCTTTAACCACACGTGCGTACCTTGAAATTTCAATAACTCTCTCTCGTCCTCTCTCTTTCGTCTTCCTTCAATTTCCCAAATCAACAACGCCATGGATGAGTTACCTCCAGAGCTCTTGGTCAAAATTCTGAGTCGACTCAACGATTCCGAATCCCTAGCTCGATGTCGAGTCGCTTCCAAGACATTGAACTCGCTTTCTCGAGAGGTTCGCGCCGTGAATCTCATTTGCACCTTGTCCCGGTTCTTAAAATCGCGGTCCATCGTCGTCGTCACACCTTTCAAGACGATCTTTAGGAGCCTCATCGAGAATTCCTGTAACATTCGCTCAATCTCAATCGGAGTCGATAAGGCACTTATCGGAATGTCGTTTGACGACTTGAACGAAGAAGATTCCAAGGATTTGTACCTGACCGATGTCGAATTCGCGAAGGAGTGGTTGCCTAGGGTTCGTGAAGACCTTGAGATGTTGTCAATTTCGGATTTCTGGATTCAGTCTTGCTGGAGAAAGTCGGATATTTTGGCGCTCATTTCTTCAAACTGTAAGTTTTTGATTCTTCATCATCATTTCCTCTAGTTTCGCATTCGTTTGCAATAGATTCTTTGCATATATGATCTCATTCTCAGAAAATTAGTTAAGGTAATGTAAAATGATCAATAGTAATTAGATTTAAGTCTGTTTGTATCTTGCAGGTAGTAAGTTAGTGAAACTAGAGGTGAAGAATTCTTGGCTCTCAGTTGTTGGCCTGAGGGAGATGTCTAATCTTAGACATTTGACCCTTGAGTTCATTCGACTTGATGATGAGAATCTAGAGAAGGTCAATGATTGTTTCCCTTTCCTTCAAGTGCTGAATTTGATTGGTGTTGGAGGACTTAAGGAACCGAGAATCCATTTTCTTCACCTAAAGAGTTGCCATTGGACTGTGTCGAATGCTCCACTTTCCTTGGCTATAGTGGCGCCAAACCTTCTTGAGCTCAAGCTAAAATGTAACAAGCCTAAATCTCTTATACTCGAAACACCCAAGTTGGTGAAATTCCATTTTTCTGTAGAGGATGCCGAAGGTGTTGGTTTCGGGGAGTTTCGAGATCTGAATTCTTTGGAGCTCATATCTCCTGACATGTACAGACTAATCAGCAACATCCGTTATGGCAACAAGATCAGAAAGCTTGCAGTGGATTCAGTAAAGTCTATAGAACAATCTGAGAGGTTAGAACTTGGACTGGGAACACTCCTCAAAGCATTCCCTGGCATCAGTTCGCTTAGTTTGAGTCCCAGGACTTGGTCAGATATAGAAACACATTTCCAAAGCCAAGGCCTAGGAAATATGAAGGGAACAGCCAGCCTGAAGCAAATAACAGCACGTGTTCAGATGTCAGATCATACCAATGTTCATCAAACAGTTTCTTTCATCAGGTCTATTCTTAATAAATACAGAGGTTTGACAGACATGAGACTGATGATTCACCAGGACAAAGATCCTAGAGTAAGAAGCAATCTGATATCGGCGTGTATAATGAGTAACCCGGGAGTGAGCTGGAAATGGGGAATGTGGGCTGAAGGAGGTGAAGATATGTGGGTCTAAGACCTAACATTCAAGTCTGAAACTTGAATTCTCTTGTATATACTTGTGATGATGATGATGATGGTAATGAAGAATGCGTCAAGAGTGTTTCCATATATTGTGTAACTTGTGTTGTGCTGAAACTTGTCATGGATTTATAAAGCTTTTCATGAAGAGTTTGTATACAAATATAGAGATTTAGTCACCATGTAAGGTCTATAGCTTCACCGTATAAAACAGGATTTGGATTTGGATTTGCTCCACTGAAGAGAATTATGTTTGTTTGATAATTTTCATTTATCCAGTTAAGTGTTCAATTTCAGTCTAACTGATGCAGTGTTATTTGGAAAATTTAGCATGGGTGAAGAAAACAAAGTATTGGCAGGAAAAAAAAATGTTCTAAAAAGGGGCGTTCCGAGAATCGAACTCGGGACCTCTCGCACCCAAAGCGAGAATCATACCACTAGACCAAACGCCCATTTGCTGAAAGTTCTCGTTTACTTTCACTTAAGTTATAATTCTTAACTCCCAGAACTAAAATTAGGGTTTTGCAAAGAGTATATATTAACTCATCGACATAAATCATAACTTAACTTCCGGTACGAGTCTCGTTCTCTTCTCTATTCCGCCGTCATCTAGGTCTGCGAATATCACAAGGTGAGCTTTGTTGAATCATCGCTTTGCTCGTTTTATGTTCTTCAATCTGTTTTAGCCATTGATTGATCGTTTCATATATGTTTTTGTTAATAAATGCTTTCTTCTTAAAAAATTAGTGAAGGAGCTTGAAATGGCAACAGTTCCAGGACAGCTTATCTGGGAGATCGTGAAGAGAAACAATTGTTTCTTGGTGAAGCAATTCGGTAGAGGTAACGCTAAGGTTCAATTCAGCAAAGAGACCAACAACCTCGTCAACATCAACTCTTACAAGCACTCTGGTAATATACAACTGTTGCTCATATCTTGATTTGGTGATTGAATGTGTTGCTTAAATGAAATTGGGAAACTTATCAAGTTCTTGAATTGGATGAGTATCGTTTTGTTGGTTACTTGCTGTTTGTATTAGTATTTGAAAATGTGAATAAAGTTTGAGTCGTTCTTATATGATTTGCAGGTTTGGCTAACAAAAAGACGGTGACTATTCAGGCAGCTGACAAGGACCAAGGTGTGGTACTCGGAACCACCAAGACCAAGAGACAAAACAAGCCTAAGCTCTCTGTTAACAAGTCTGTCCTCAAGAAGGAGTTCCCCAGGATGACTAAAGCTGTTGCCAATCAGGTATTACATTACTCATTTTTTTAAGATCAATGTTTGTTATGTTTTTGTTGCAAATTGGTTAAAATTCCAATTAGTTTGGTTACTGTTTACTGTGATTTGTGCTCATTAGCTTTTATACATATGTCGGGTTATTTGGAAAATCTTACGGTTAAGTGCTTTAGTGAATTGATACTTTAGGATTGATTATAGTTTGGTTTTAGAGCTGTGATGAGAAAGCTAACACGTAAGAAGAGGTATTCCTTTGTGGTGTATTTCTTCTATGAAATATTTTTGTTACGCTTGGCTTCTGAGCTAGAAACTCTTAGTTATTGCTTTTGGACAATTTAGTGATTTTTTTTTTGGTGACAAATTTCATCTATTAGGTTTGATAATAGTTTGGTTTTTGAGCTGTGATGAGAAAGCTAACACGTAAGAAGAGGCACTCCTTTGTGGGGTGTTTCTTCAATGAAATACATTTGTTACGCTTGGCTTCTGAGCTAAATGCTTAGCTATTTGTTTCGATTTATTGATTTAGTCTATTTTAGCTGTGATGAGAAAGCTAACACGTAAGAAGAAGTACTCCTTTGTGGTGTATTTCTTCAATGAAATACATTTGTTACGCTTGGCTTCTGAGTTAATAATAGTATGAATCATAATCATACCTAGAATTTGAGATTACTTTATTTAGTTTGCAATTCCTATCAGTGATGAGAAAGCTAACACGTAAGATGAGGTACTCCTTTGTGGGGTATTTCTTCAATGAAATATATTTGTTACGCTTGGCTTCTGAGATAAATCTTTCTACTGTGTATAATTTCATATTACTTATGTTTTTCCTTATTCTATCAGTATTAACCGATTGATTGTCTTAAACTTTTCAGGTGGTGGACAACTACTACAGGCCTGATTTGAAGAAAGCAGCACTTGCTAGACTCAGTGCTATCAGCAAAGGTCTTAGAGTCGCAAAGTCTGGTCCCAAGAGGAGAAACAGACAGGCTTGAAGAATCCACTGATTTTTTTTTTTTTTTTTTTACTTATTTAATCTTGTTGTGAGCCATTAAGAGTTTCAGAAGCAGCTTGTATGTTAAGATTTTCCCTGAACAGTTGAGAGTTTTGTTTGAACCAGCCCTTGTCATCCTTTTATCACTACATGATATTAAAACTACCATCATTGGCTTTTATCAAAAATGAACTACTACTGTTCTTGGCTGCCTGCTCCGACTTCTCAATACTTGTAAATTACAAGTTTTACATTATCATGTTTCTGTTTGGGACATGTGTTAATAATCATGACGATGTGAGATAGACCAGTGTATCATGTAATCTAAACAAACACATATATGTGAACTCTTGTGGCCTCTGAAACAGATGTAATCTAAGGGGTTTATCTATAAGAGGATGTTAAATCTTGTGGACACTGAAACCAGATTCCTCGGATGTCATATTCTCCTTCCAGCTCTCGAACTCAGATCCACCAAACACAACTTTCTTTATCCCGACATAACTGGAGACAAACCAAAAACCAATGTCCACACTTTTAAAACATGTCCATCTCAAAAGCTTTTTTGAGTTAATAGACAGACAGAGAGAAAGTGAGAACTGCACTCACTCTGAGCTGATTTGTGTCAATGCGTTTATCAGAACATCAAGAATTAAAGGCTCCGAGGTCCCAATATCGAGCCTGTCAAAACCATCATTCACGTTAGAGAAACAAATCTGAAATAAATCACAAAAGTTTGCTAAATCTAAAGCCACAAGACTTGAAGAAACATGGTTTAGGATAATAAGAGTTATCACCAAATGCGAGCGATGTTGTCTTGGACCTCAAGATCCCCGATGTTATAAAACGTGGTGGGCTCGACATTAGCTCCAAGGATAGCATCATAGTTTGGCCTCTTATCCAGTGGCGCTTGTGATAACTGCACCATATGGGGCAATAGAGAAAACAGCTTAATGCTTAAGTTGTGATAAAACAAATGGAAACCGAATAGATAAATGGTTTCACTTTCTCAATCAGAGACATACTTGCATATTCATGGAGTTGTATCCACCAAGTCGTCCAAGGATATGCCATGAACGGATAGTCTGCAAGATATTAGCCATCAAAACAAAGCAGTAAGTGAATTGTTCCTATTTTCTCAGAATAGTAAAAGAATGCTAAGATTTGGTTTGAAAGACTCACATCAGAGATCAAGGCTATGTCTTTATCCAGAGGAGCATTGTAAAACTCCAACCACATGTATGAATTCGAATACTCAAATCTTACAAAAAAAACAAAACCGAGAGAGTCAATAGACATTGATAGAACATAAAACACAATGATAAGAACAAACCTAGACTAAGCCAGCAAGAAGAATGTGCAAGCAAATTCAATCAAGAGATTCACATATAACTCCTTTAAACTTCAAAGCAACAAGATGAAATGATCTGAGGCCACTCACTTGTTAAATGTCACTTGCATCGAAGTTGCAGAACCAGTCTTAGTGTGTAGGATTTTGTTCCTCTTCTTCCTCAACCTCTCTTCCATCTATAGAGAGTTCATTAATAACCACACCCATTTCAAAACAACAATCAAAATCGACCCAAAAATCAAAGTCTACTCTAAATTTCAGCTCAAAAACGTTACTTTACCAATTCATCAGCTCAACAAGCGAAATGGTAAGATCCACAGATCAAAGTATAAAACTTTACCTTCTTTTGAGCTTTCTCTGGGTTATCTAAACAATCTCCAAGAATATCCGCGAATTCTGGGTCTTTGTCGTAATCTATCTTCTCTTTTTTCGCTCCGTAAATGCCTCTCTTCCTCGAAGACAACTCATCTTCTACCTCTTCATCATCTCCATCTTCTTCTTCAAATTCTTCTCCACCTTCTTTCATTTCTCGACCTATACCATTTACTCGCAACTTTCCACTCTTCCTCGGCCAAATCGTACGTATCTCCTGGATCTTCGTGCCGGTGACCCGAAACGGCGCCAAATTGTAGGAACAAATATTCGAGTGGTTGTGGTTCTTCTTAGCAATAGAAGGCTGAAGAAGGTGAAGTGAACATTGAAACCTTAGCATTATCTTATCTTCTTCTTCTTATTCACTTAACCTCTGAGTCTCTGACTCTGTGCTTGCCTCTGGGTTTTTTGGAAGAGATGATAGTGATGGGTTTATCGTAGCTTACAGTGAGCTTGAGAGTACACGAATATTATTGCTTACGTGGCAAAATAAGCTCACGCTTTCTGTTTCTGGATAATATAAGCCCATGGGCCTAAAATCGGTCCATACGGAGGCTTTATAGAGAAATTCTCAGTTGCATATATATATATATATATTTTTGGTCAAGCATTCTCAGTTCCATATAAGTTAGACTATCTGAAGAATCATTGGATTATTGGTTGCTTGCAGAATTCTAAGCTTGTTGATAAATACATTATAATGTTTTGGTAAAGGAATCCGAGGTCCCCGAGGAGAATCAGAGTCCTTGTTGCACGCAAGAGGAACATGATGAAGATGCGAAGGAAGAGAATCAGAGTCCGTGTTACTCACTTGTAACTGTGGCTGAGATCCCAGTTGAAGGTTTGGCTGATTTGGGAACCAAAGTCATTGAAGAAGACGAGTGAGAATTGCTTATCTTACAAGTTACAATCACAGCTTCTTGTTTCATCCCTTTACATCATTTTATCAGTCAATTCATATATATATAGTCACTTTCTATTTATATTTATGGCTTGACCATTTATACCTTGAATGGTTTTAAACGATTTATCAAATTTATGGTCATAAATTAATCAGTTAGGTTATGTATATGGTTTATTTTGTTGCACAGGCTTCTATAATGATAACAATTTAGGCCCATTAAGAAATCACTAATGGGCCGTATCAGTCTTCATCACTTAAATATCAGGTCAGAGAAAACCCTAATCCACAAGAAGACCTTCAAGCGTCGTAGCCGGAGAGAGCCGCCAATTCCGTCGTAAGAAGAATCCTCGTAATCAATCATGGGTATTCAATTCTCGAATTTGTTCCATCTGATTCTTCGTTGCTCTGTTGTTGTCGTTAATGTGATTTGGGATCATCAGGTAAGGTACACGGTTCATTGGCTCGTGCCGGTAAGGTGAGAGGTCAGACACCGAAAGTGGCAAAGCAGGATAAGAAGAAGAAGCCACGTGGTCGTGCCCACAAAAGGTTGCAACACAATCGCCGTTTCGTCACCGCCGGTAAAATATTCCGTTTCATTTGTTAACTTGAGATTTTTATTTAACATCTCTGATCTGGGTTGTTGTTAGTTGAGCTAGTTTTGTTAGACTTCTTGGTAATTGAATGAAATCAGCTAGTTCCTGCCATTTTTGTACAAGATACGCTTAGTTACTATGTATCTTGCCTTGTGATTATTATGTGACTTTTGGCTGAATCTGTAATTGTCTACTACACTCATTGCTTATTTTCTTTTTGTGAGGTCTCACATGTTGATTCCTTGAGTTTTGTTATTAACATCATCTCTTTGCAAACTGGTTCTCAAGTAATTACCTTTTTTATTTGTTCTTTTTCAGTTGTTGGATTTGGCAAGAAGAGAGGACCCAACTCGTCTGAGAAGTAGATGATCACACTCCTGAAGCTTGAAGTTTTGCCCTGCTGATGGGTCATTAGTTTGTACCAGTTCTTCAATATCTGCTTTGTTATCGATATTTACCGATTTGGTTTATCTATAGACTATGTAATTTTCTCATTCATTTCTCAATCCTATCGACTTTTGACTATATATATATATATTTTCGACTTGCAACCTGATAGCATTCTATGATAACTGATACATATTCAACCGATTGCGAATTTAGAGTTAAGAGCTGTACTGCAGTGCGCTTATATTGATACAAAAAGTATGTAATATGATGTTGCAACACGCTTGAAGTAAGTATACGCTTTTTAACGATCAGAAAAAATGATTCACTACAAAGGAGAAATCTGTACAAGAAAGTTTATCGAGTAAAAGGATACAAGGCTAAAAAATTTCTTTTAGCATTTGATGATACAATGAAAAGGTAAACTAAAAAATAAACACTATAACACTGTACACAAAGACCACCATCACGGTTGCTTACTTCCAGATCTTGATGGCTCCATCTCTGCTGCTTGATATCAACAGTCTCTGGTTCAGCTTCACTGATGCCAGAGACTGAACTGAGTCACGGTGACAACCCGCTGTGTCTGTCGCAGCAGCCGCAAGTACTGCCTTTGCCGTCAGTTTGGTCGCCAGAGGCCGTCTCTTTGTCTCCTGCCAAAGATACACAATTTCAATAAGACTGCACGATATTGTTATGCGAATATCAAAGATATACTTTGATCAACAGACCTGAACAAATTGCACGCCGGTGTTGGTTTTTAGTTCATAGAAATCATCATTTCCGACTCCTTTCAAACTCGGACCGCATATACAATAACTTCTCTCAGGGCTGTGTTTGTTCCAAAACAAAAAAAAAAAAAAAAAACATGAATTGCGTCAGTTTTTTCAAGAAAAAAATTTCCACAAGAGGTGTGACGAAACGTTTGATTGTAAATACACAAGTTAAAGTTTTAGAATTAGGACCTGGAGTAATCCCAACGCCGAATCTTCAAGTCAGTACCACCTGTTACCAGGTCGCCTCCAGGTAAAGGAAGCAAAGAGCGGATACCAGGAAGACGAGGAGGAGGCTCGTTCAACTCTTCGATTCTGTACTTGGAGCTCATGTTCTGGCGAAGATTCGGCTTGGAATTTACCTTATTGCTTGGTAACTTCCATTGAAACTCGGAAACATCCGTCTCATTTTCATAGTTGGCTACTCTCAATACCTACAGAATCAGCTCAATTACAAGCAACTCAAAGATATGGTCTAATCAATCGAAACAGTTTTTTTCATGGACTAATTCAACAGTGAGCCTCCCATCACTATGAAACTACCAACATCCATATTCAAACTTGCGACCCCAACAGAAAAACCATAAGCCAGAACTCGAGAAGGTTCAATATCCGAAGTCAAGGTGCATTACAATGGTAGAACAACATTACCTGGTGACAGTTACCTCCCTCTGCATTCCAGAGTGAAACTTCGTTGCAACCTGCAGCAACATAAATAAAAGGTTTCATAGTGGTGGACACTGAGACGCTTGGAGGAAGAAAGCAGAGGCACATCTTCTCTATGGGGCATATGATAGGGTATCGCCACGAATTTACACGAACACGAAATCTCAAATCCCAAAGAGTAAGCACTCCCCTTGAAGACCCAGAGACAAACCAATTCCCGCAAGGGCTTGTAACCAATGAAGACACATATCCTTCTTCGGGGTTTGCTTTCAGTGTCCATGCATCTAAATCTGATCTTGTATCCCAAAGGTGGATTCCGCAGTTTTGGGTACTATACATTACCATCGGACCAGAAAGGCTATCAGCAGTATAATTCAAGAGAGAAACTAGAGCGCCTTCTTTAACATCCTTTTTTTTAATATCAACAATGCCTGAATACTTCTCCACTACGTTCCCCAAGCCTCTGGAGATATGGTCGATTGAAAACATATGTATCACACCATCAGAGGCTCCAACTACAACTTGTGTTGAATTCCGAAGCATTGTTGTGCACATCCCTCTGCTTCCCTCGAGATGATATGTTAGCCTTGACCTAAAAGAGATGTCTTTTTCCAGTTTTCTAGAGTCCCACACCTTCACTGTGGAATCATCTGATGCACTAACAAAAAAGCTATGGTCGCTTGAAGTGGCGATGTCGTTGACTGCAGAGCGATGCTCCTGAAGATGAGCAACTAATACTCCACGAGGCTTCCACCCTGAATCCGGAACCGATGTCCTTGACAGAGATGGTTCTCCTACAAGATCCGCTGGAGAAGAAGCATCTTCTGAAGTTACAGAAGCACTTTTTGAGGAACTTGATACTCCGAGGTCTTGAAATTTACTGATAGCTGAGGAGATTTGGTCATTTTCTCTGCTTTCTGGCTCATGTACCACTCTGTAAAATTGTTTAGGATTGGTACCGACATGGAATGACCCAGAAATCAGCTTAGGCACAGGGACCGAACTAGCCAAGTTAAATGATTTACTCATGGAATCCATCCATGGCACAGACAATGAACCCATTCCCAGAGAGTTCATCTGCAATGAAGACTCAGAGGCCACAGGAGGATTTGTAGCTGCTCGTTTGTCCATGCTAAACGAATAGAGAGGTATGTTCTCTGGTTCAATAAAGCTATTCATACCAGATACATATGGTGCCATAAACCCAGAGAACTGTAACTTCTCTGGATACACGGGATCACGTAGCTCAACAGTGTTAGAAGCATTGGGTCTTGGGTTTCTCGGGATTCTTAATTTAGCATCCTTTTCTGCATACTTTCCTTGAACTTCTTGTTGCTTCGATGCACTCTTAATCTGTTTTTGTGCTTCCACACTTCGCTTCTGTTCGGCCCCGCATTCTATTGAATTCAACTCCCCAGTATCTTTGTCAAACAAATCAACAGTTTCCCAATCTTTGGATTGAGGTGAAGAACTATACCACATCTTTCGCTGTTTCGCCATGATTTCTGGGTTCCTGGCTTTTTCAAAGATACGGTAAACTACCTCCCTTGTGACTGGGGGATTCAAACATGAAAGTAGACCTTCCTCAGAAGCAATTGACGCAGGCAGTCTACTAAGATAAGGGCGTATTACTGGGGCAATAAAAGCATAAGAGTCGACTGCACCTAAGCATTCACTACTTGCGGCAATGAAAGTTACAACTGCCCTCCTTACCCATTGAGATGGATAGCACAGCAAAGGATAAACACACTCTATCATTTGGAGGAGAGCTCTCTTCCGCAAGAAACTACTCTTGCATAATGTGGATAAGCACTCCAATGCATTGACAATGACAGCCTCTGTCTGATCACTCAAAGCTTGATCGATATAAGGCAATAGATACTCCTCCACACTTCTCTGACCAACAAAAAAGCATACATAAACAATCTTCTCAAAGAATACAGATCTTAGCTGTTCATCTCTGTCGTTTAGAAAGGCAGGGAGGATCGGTAGTAGAAAGTCATTACTCTGCCTCTGACCAAAGAAAAAGCAGAGCTCCCCTATGTCCTGAAGGAGTGCTCTTCTAACATTTGGAGTTTGTTTTGGACCCATAACAAGTTCTTGAACAACTTCAGCTATAGTTTTTCTAAGCTGTGCAAGCTGCGCATTGCCATTTGCCTTTTGCAAATGACTAGGGGTCTCACTAGCAGGTGTAGGTGATATCTGCTGAGAATTCAATTCATTAAGAACCCCTACATCGCTCAACTGGAAAGAATGTATCAAGAATCCATAAGCAGTAAGAGCGAGTTTTGCAATATTGCTGGCATAGCATATCCTCACACTCTCTTCTGTATCTTCAGGAAGCATGGAGAGCATCGGAAATATGTACTCTGGGAAAATCTTCGCATCGCTAGGAGGAAAATCTCGGACAAGCGGCAGAATGTCACACAAAGTTTCCATGGCAGCGCACCGCACGATTGCTGTTGGATCAGAAAGCAAGGCAACGACGTATGGAAGTACACGCTGTAAGCGATCATCATCATCAATATACAAAGAGCAAGATCTCAATAGAAGTATAGCTTCCCTCCTCAAATGAGGCAACTTGATATTGCGGATACAAGAACAGAGCATAGATGCAATCAAAACCATTCCCTCACATCTCATGTTACCCTCTACCGGTAGAAAAGGCGTACCATAAGTGTCAGAACGGCTATCATAGAGAGACATTAGTGTACCCAAATCGTCCATTGTTATCTTTTTCAAGAAAGGATGGCGATTTTTCTTGAGTGCATCAGAAATAGAGTAAAGGATCTCATCCTTAGAGTTTACAGTATTCCTTATCAAGTCCTTCGATGAGTTCAATTTGTGATTTGCAAAAGTTTCCTGTACCTTGCTTGCGTTCACTGGATCTGAAGTTACAGGAGGATCAACGCCAATCTCATCACCTGGCTTATTTTCCATCATCTTCTTAAGTATTTCTTGAAATATCCCCTGGCAAGTTGCTACCTAAACGAAATGAAGCAAAAATATATCAAGCAAGTTGATGCGGAATGTAGAGAGAGTTTACAGAAAATTGGGATGGTTACCCTCATGTCTGAAGGAAGTGGATTCCAACAACAATATAAAGTGTGCAGAAATGGTGAGAAGTAGTTTGGGAAAACAACTCCGACATAATTTTGCAGGTAGTCTTCAGCAGATAGGCGTGCTTCAGGTTCTAACTGAATCATATGAAGAATCATCTTGCGTATTCCCGGATCAGGAATCTGAATCCAATAAAAAGAAAAACAACAACAAAGATGAGTAGAAAAAAAGGTATATCAGTCAGCCAAAAAAATCCAACTCAGAACCACAGAAGCCACAAGTCCCATGTACCACTCAGATGGAAGCTGAAAAGATCATAAGAAAGAAATATATGCGGATGGGAAGAGATTGATACCCATACCCAGAAAGAGAAAATGAAATAGAAAGATGCAATAGGAAATACCTTTTCAAGGTGTTGGCTAGGATCATGTTGCCCTCTACGATATGCGAGAAGCTGCGCCAGTTCAAATAGTGGCTGACCCTCAAGAAAAAGTTCTGCTATCACACACCTGAAGCATTAAGATGAAACTATTACAATATGTTATTAACTCTAATACTCAAGGTAAGAAAATGTTCCATTTTGAAAATGTACGTGTGCTTGAACCATTAGGAGCATTGAACAGATAGAGTGATACAAAAACAGAAGGTATATGAGCTCACCCCACAGCAAATATATCCATGGAGGGCTTTAATGGAGCATCTTGTGCTACTTGTGTCTCACCTCCATGCTCATAAAATCTCTGTAATTAAGCAACAATCTTTTTCAACATGAAAAGAAAAAAAAATAGACACACGACCAGCACGAAAGGGTGCTTTGTTGTTGATGGTTCTTTGCCATCACATCTTTTTTAGTAGTGATATGGAAAGAATTCAACCGTGGTGCACCACAAACAAAGGGACAATATCCTCTGCAGAAGTGCAATAGAACAATTTGACAGATCTAGGACGATCAAATAAAATAAATAAGTTTTTTGATAATGGTTCTATAGTACCTCTGGAGCCAGATAACAAAGTCTTTGTCCCCTTGTGTCAAAGAAAAAGGAGAAGTCTGAAGGATCATCATAAGGAATGTATGTGGGTTTGAAGGATGCAAAATCAGCAAGGTACAGCCAGTTCCAGGAAGTAAGCAATACGTTCTCGCACTTGATATCACCTGAAAGGATGCAAATTCACACGCATCAATTTAATGCACCATCATCATGATCATACACTCTCAGACTATTAAAGCTTACCATGACATATATCCTTCTCATGGCATTGCTTCACAGCAAGAAGCAACTGCAGAACAAACACAGTCAAAAAACAAAACTTTGTGCCTCAGATAGAATGGTGCAAGACAAAAGAAAACAACCTGAAACGCCAACCACTTCTTCTCTACAAGACTGAGGAAAGGCCGAGTACTCAACCGATCATGCAGATTACTGTAAAAGTATTGCCTCACTAGATATGCTGCTTTATCAGTCTCTTGCCAAAACTACCAAAAATCAAGCAAAACAACGATCAACCACCAACTAACTCCCTTCAAGATAACAGACATGAACAGAACCAGAGAGTTTCAACGACATTAATCTAGCAGCAGAAGCTGCAAAATCATTCCTTTTTCGTCGCAGCAAGATAAAATCCAAACCAAAGATAGAGAAATCGAATCAAAACCTGGAAAGGCCAAACGTGAGGATGTTCTAGAGACAAAAACACATCCTTGATCTTCACGAGACGACGCTCGTGCTCTCTGAGATCGATCGAGTCACCACGCTTGAAGTAAACCTTAACAACCACCAATCCTTCGTCGTGCTTACATTGGATCGACTTGAGGAATCTTCCTCGACCTAAAACCTCTTTTAAGACCAGATTGTAAGAAGACGGCAAGTCGTGGAGATAGTACTCCGTCGCCGAGACTTGTGTCGTACGAGCGATTTTGTTTCCCATCGAAGACTTTTAAAATTAAAATTCTTTCTCCTTCGATTGGGGTTAAGTACTCAGCTGAATTCGAACATGGAATCTGATTATTATTCCGGTGATAAAGAGAATCGTCTCCGGCGACGGAGGAAGAAGAGGCGTGTTTTGGATGAGTTTAACCCCAATTCGACACGTTTCTAATTTTTTTTCTTGATTAGTTTAGTTTTAACATTACATTACAAAACTTATATATTTATAACAACTATAAAAATATTAATTTTGGAAATTGGTTAGATTTGCACTTTTTGTATTTATTTTAAAAATGGGGAAAAATTCAATTATTATATAACATGAAAAATTTGTTTAGTAATTAGTAATTACTAAACAAAAATCTTTATTTCATTACTAAATAAAATATTATTTTCACTTTTTTATTTATTTCAAAAAAAATGGGAACTTTACTAGAAAAAATTTCAGTTATTTCCAAATGAAATCTTACTTAGTAGTTTAAAAACTGTTTATATAACCAAATTAAGTAAATTTTGTAAAGAAGGTGTGTAGTTTAAGGTTATAATTGTAATTATACACCTCCTTTACAAATTTAACTAACATGGAAACTTTAATTTTCCAAAGTTTCAATACATATTTTCCACTCACTCTCAAAACTTCTACTTTCACAATTTTGATCAAAAATAAAACTAAAATAAGATCTCTAACGCACTATTAAATTAATCATATGATCACTTACGCTTAGATGATCACTAGTCACATTTTATTAAAAAGAACACATAAAACGTAAAAGCTTACGAATTTACTCATTTTGTCTCACATAAAACACATACCCTTTTGGCGAATTACATAGTGACAAAGTGTATAACAGACGAATGAGCTCTACAAATTTCCACTCTCCACAAAAAGGTGAGAAATTAAATTCACAAAATGATTAACTAAATCTGATTTGGTTGATGACATGTGTTCCACAAATAATCAATCGATCATATCGACGACGTTAAGATTGTTTGAGTTGAGAGATCCATGCTTCGTGGGTTAGTATTTTCGACAAACCAATAATCAATACAATGACCACTAAAAGAACAAAGAAAATGAAACACGTACGAATCAGTGATGTCACAAACTTTTACACGACCAATCAAACCGAAATAGATAGACAACGCAAAACCTTATAAGAGTTGGGGAGTGTATGCACAATATCACACCACTCAATCTTCCCACCAATTTTACCTCCATCAAGTTTTTCAAACGCAACCATCGCACACCAAATTTTCTTGTTTGGACAGCGACCAAATAGCGTACACATTTCCCACATAAATAAGATTTTTCCACCAAAGTTAACTATTTCTATCATACAGCAAGATATATTATAATTCATGTACCTAACCAGTTTATCCAAACCTTGGACATATCTCCATCGTTCACCAACTGAGTCATACCACATGAAATACCCCGAGCCAGATCGACAGTACATTACATTGTCTATCACCCACCACCATTGACACCAAACAATTCTCCTCATATCCATAACATTCCACGTACCTTCTTTTGGTTCCTTTGCCTCAGCGTCATGATTAGCTATTAGTCGCCAAGTTTGAGTCTTTGTGTCGAATACCTCCGACCAATTTTCTGATTCATGACATCCTCCCATTACGTATATTTTGTCACCGAGGACATATGCCATCGCGTTACTCCGAGCAACCGTCATGTTAGGTGCGTCACGCCACGTGTGCCTCCGACAATCAAATATCCTAACCACGGAAGACGGCGCAATGGTTCCGCCGATTGCATAGATGTCCGAACCAATCGCTACGGTGGACTTTGATGCCGGAAGAGAATCGGAACAAGATGAAATCGGAACCAAGAAATTTCCACTTGAGTTGGTTGGTGTTTTAGGTTTAATCCAGAGACTAAACCAGCGAGGACATGTACGTTTAGGTAAGCGTAAACAAATATAGAGGCAGATCTCGGTGGTTTCAGATCGGCCGGCGTAGATTTCCGGTGAAGAGAGAAGAGAGTGAAAGGTTTTGGAGACGCGTGAGAGTGAACGATAATACGATTTAGAGATACGTGCGAAGCACTCTACAATGAGTTCGTATGGAAGTGACGAAAACGATGACGACTCATCACATGGCGGAGGAGTCTTCTTTTTATGCGGCGGTTCGACTTCGCCTCCGGAGATCATCGTTGGCAGATATTGTAGCCGTGGATCCAAAATGATGATGATTAGGGTTAAACTTAAATATTATACAATTAGCATATAAAAGACATTTTTGGCCTTCTCTTTGTACCACAAAGAGTATTGTTAGAAAATCAAAGTTTTTCCAAGAAATTAATCCTAGATCATCATAAATTTGTTGATTTTATTGTTTGTTAAGAATAAATCATAGATCGTCATAACATATTCGTTTTTTTTGTGATGATAATGGTTGTACTTTCTTTGAGCGAATATGAAAAAAATAGCATTTGTGAAACAGTTAAGCAAAAGAAACAAAAACAGCTTTTTTATTTAAAGAAAAAAAAAAAAGCAAATGTCAATAGAGTTTGGCAAAGCGAATCATCTACTGACAAGTGTTTAAGATTTTCAAACCACACACGGCTCTGTGTCACGTTAAAACATACTATTCCTCAATGTTTTTCTTTAGTTGTGAGGTTTGTTTCTACTGTTTCTCGTATTTGACATATGATTATGTAAATTGCGTAACAGAGCTGGAGTTTTGTGAGTCTCATTAGAGTCAATTTGTGTGTTGATCATAGTTGATTTCAATTATTTACTGAAAACAAATTATTAATATTTTTTTAATTGAGTTCGTAGAAAACTTGTATGAAATTGGTAAGATATTTTTGGTAGAAATATGTCCTTATTTGAGTTTTTTCTATTTACGTGTATGTAGTTTACGGTATACACAGTATTGATTATAAAATGGATATGTACTTCAGTTATATCATGTACTATTGTGGAGACGGTGTACATAATATTTATAGAGTTTGTATTTTAGTTTTTCGACTTCAAAATACGCTAATATAAACTAGATTTACAAAATCAATAAATAAATTAAATGTAAAAAAACAAAAGATTATAAGAAAATTGTGAACAGTCAATCGCATAACTGAACCGTGTACAGTGTACGTAACTGAACCGTATAGTGAACAGTACATCGCATAACTGAACTGCATAACTAAACCGGAACAGTGTACATAACTGAACCGCATAACTGAACCGTACAGTGAACAGTACATCGGTACGCTGACAGGGGTAAAATGGTCAGATTTTGGCTAAATTGTCAAAACTTGAAAGTCAATTCTCACTTTGCCAAAACATGAAATTAAAACTTGGTCTTATGCCAAAACATGCAATTTACTTAAAACTAAATCAAGAGCCTACTGGAAAGTCCGGGATTGGTTGGCCGGAAAACTAAATACTTTCTGAGGCGGTAACAAGTAACAACCATTCTCTACATATCGAAACAACACAAATCATTATCAAATTTATCTAACCATACATATAATTTAGCAAATGTTCCTAGCCAAAATCAAGGGTTTTGAACTCATTGTTTATGAGATGACTTTTTTTTTCTCAGAAGTCTACGGGATTGAATTCTATTTAGAAATAAAATCAAACTTGATATGGTTTTTGAGATATGGAAGTGAAATGTAAAAATGATGAACAAAATCACATAATCAAAATTGCACAGCAGCAGGCTAACTCAATTGTGTTTTCGAGTTACATTTTTAGTATCCCGAGTTCTGAATTATGTGATACTGCTTAGAAGAAAAAATTATGTAGCTTCATAACTACTATTTCAAAGACAGTAAAATCAACAACATATTAATATGTAAAAGCAAAAAGTTAAAAACAGAGGAAGAGAGGAAAAACAAAGTAGAACAATGAAACTGTTAAACCAAGCATCATACCATCTAGAGACACAATCTTGCATGTAAATCTAGTTTTAAATCTCACCAATGCATATATAAAATTATATGTTAAGTTTATGAGAATCTCTAATCTCACTTCACTTCAAAGTGAAAACAAAAGGTACTCAAATTCTTCTACTCGCATTATTTAGATGGGAGACCTAGAAAGAACAACAAATAGAATTGCCTCACAAGGACTTAGTTTATACTACTGTAACCAGAATTAAATCAACAAAACGCTTAGAGATGGTCATAATCTATCTATGTTTCTCCAACTGATGCAAAATGCAAATTGAAACAATACAATGTCTAGCAATCAGGTAAATTCATTTAGGACTTATAGACGCACAGCCAACACAAAACAAAGCATATAAGTTTGTTCAAAGCAAAAAGATGACTCTACAAGTTACTAAGAGTCATCAAACCGAAAGGGCTATACAACGCAAGAAATTATATGACTTGGGGACCGTAAGCACAACATTAACCCACTCAATCTTCCCCCAAATTGAACCTCCAAAGCCTCTGTTGAGTGCAACCATTGCACACCAAATATTCTTGTTCTGACTACGACCAGGCCGCTCAAACCTATCCCAAAGAATAGCTAGTTTCCCACCATAGTTAACTAATTCAACCATACAATTACGAAAATCAGTACTGGCACTACGGTATCTATTCAATCTTTCCAAACCTTTCACATCTCTCCACATTCTACCATCTAAATCATACCACTTGTATCTAGAACAAGAGTAACAATAAATCACATTATCTATCACACACCAAGAATTCGACCATAGTAAACTCAAATACTCTTCTGCAACACTCCACTTACCTTCCTTCACATCATAAATCCAATCCTTAACCTCAGCCCCAGTCTTTACGTAAATATTTCCTTGCACCACATCGATTTTTTGAACGTTATCTCCCATTCTCACCTTAACGTCAGGATTCTCCGGTAGGGTTCTCCAAGTCTGAGTCTTTATGTCGAACATTTCGAACCAATTTATGCCCCCAGAGTCACACCCTCCCATTACATAAATCTTGTCATCAAGGACACACGCGGACCTCTTCATCTTCATGTTAGGCACATCGCCCCACGTGCGAGTCCGACAGTCATATATCCAAATGGCTGAAGACGGACCAAAATAATCACTCATATGTTCACCATATATTTTCGAACCAATCGATACGGCTGAATTTGAATATGGAAGAAAATTATCAAAAGGAACGAAAACATTTCCACGACAACTCCTACCATCGGTTAGGTTTCGATTAGGTTGGGCACTGAGAGTGAACCAGCGTCGAGTTGGTTCCTTGAATGGCACGGTGGAGAACCGTAGACAGAGATAGAGGCCGCAGATCTCGGTGGTTCCAAGTTGAGATCGCGCGGCATAGAGGTCTGGAGAAGAGATGAGAGAACGAAAGGTTTTGCAGACGAGGGAGAGTGAACGGTAAGACGATTTAGAGATACGTGCAAAGCAGTTCACAATGATTTCGTTGGGAAGTGACAAAAACGACGACTGACATGGTAGCGGCGGAAGCTTCGTTTTTTTCTGCGGCGGCTCAACTTCTTCTTCCGGGATCATCGTCGGCGATGGAGACAAAAATCATGAAATGGGTTAAAATATATAGAAATGATTAGGTCAGTCAGATTCAGCAAGCCAAGCCCTGATGTAATGTAGTCAAAAGAAAAGCTAAGGCAAATTTTATCATGTTTCAATTGGAAAAAAGATATTTTACTATAAGATTTTATTTCTGAATATTTCTAAAAAAAATTAAGATATTTTTTAAATATTTACTAAAAGGTGGGAATTGAATTAAAAACTTTTGGTCTGTACTGGGAAATTGAAGCTTTTGGTCTGTTCCAGCTGCCTCTATTTTTAATATTAAATTTTATTATTACCAAAAAATAATGTATATATCAAAAACGTACAATAACACTATGACTAGTGGAGATTGAACCAATGGTAAAAACAAAACTAACCTTTGATTTTCATGTAAACAATGCTTTCCAGATAAAAGCATGGTCAAAATTTACTCTAATCATATTTTTGTATGATATCTTTGTAAACTATATTTCAAAATAATAAATAAAAGATGTTAAAAAAGAAAAAAAAAAGGACCTTTACATCTCCAAGAGACTAAGAGTCATCAAACCGAAAGACTTACACAATGCTTGAATATATACGACTCGTGAGAGACTGTAAGCATAGCATCAACCCACTCAACCTTACCCCAAACCTCACTTCCATTGCATCTTGTTTCTAAGGAAATCTCGGCATACCGAATTTTGTTTTCCCAACTGGGATTCCACATAACTAAAAGGTTTTCACCATATTTTACTATTCCAACCACTCTCCTGAGTTTTAAAACCTTAACACGGGGCTCACCCAATTCTCCAGCCAAACCCTTGACCACTTTCCACTTTCTACCCTTGGAGTAATAATACCAAATGTAATATCCCATGTGAGTGCAACCATAAATTACATTCTCTATCACACACCAAACCTCTATATATGCACTTGCTTTCTCTTTAACAACTTCCCATGTACCTTCTTTCGGCTCGTAAGTGTAGTCCTTTGTATCTCCCCTTACATAAAGCTTTCCTTGGAAAGCATTGAGTATTTTATATCTTTGTAACTCATTGCGTAGCTCATCATCATGAATCCGCAAGGCTCTCCAAGACTGAGTCTTTATGTCAAATACTTCAAACCAATTGGCGGATTTTTCTTTCCCGCAACCTCCCCTTACATATATTTTCTCATCAAGGTAAACCGCACATGCATCCTCTCGGGCCACGGTCATGTTAGGGGCGTCACGCCACGTGTGAGTACGACAATCAAGGATCCGAACAGAAGAAGACGGCTTCGCCAACGGTCCACCGATTATGTAGATTTCCGTACCAACCGCTACAGTGGAATGACCTGGTATGGGAGGAGAATGAGAAGAAGAGGAAGGTATCGGAACCAATACGTTTCCACTTGAATTCTCCTTAAAAATAAGCAGCTCCCCTCTCTGTTTGGTTAGGGTTTGATTAGGTTTCGCCCGAAGAATAAACCAGCTAGGACAAGGGTGATTGGGCAACTGTAAACAGACATAGACACATGTTTCGTTGGTTCCGATTTGAGATCGCGTCTTGTAGAGTTGTGTAGAAGATAGAAGAGAGCAGAAGCTCTTGGAGACGAGAGAGAGTGAAGGGTAATTCCATCTCGAGATACGGGCAAGAATGTTCTCTGTGATTTCGTCTGGTAATGACGAAATCGATACTGGCTGATGAATCTTCTTTCTCTTTTCAGCTACTTCGGGGGCCATTGTCGACCCGAATTGTAGTAGACGCGATGGAGAGGGAAGATGATATAATTAGGGTTAACTCTATATGATTAGGTCTTTATAAAATCACTTTAGTAAAAAGAAAGAGAGGTAAAATTAAGTCAATTATTTTTCATTAACATGACTAATTTTTTAAATTAATAATTTATAAATGATACTAAGAAATAACAAACCCATTAAAAAACGTAACATATCTTAAGTTTGGTTAATTAGCCATATTTCATTGCTTATGCTCTTAGTTGAAATGTTATCTTTTAAAACCTTAAGCGTGGAAAAAAACCCAACCGAAATCACTCTTTTAATCGACGTGCCTAGACCCAAATCAGCAAATCAATTTCTCAAACACAGCCAAAAACTGACAACTTGTTGCCTCTACAAGACTACAAGTTCCATGAACTGCTTTTAAATCCTGGCTCTGTTTCAAGCACACACCAAATCCGAACCCTTGACCTCGCTCTCCACTCTCTACTCTTTGAGGCATATACCACATGTAATAACCGGAGCTTGTATAACAATACATTACTTTTTATATGAGACACCACTCATTGGCGGATCCAGAAATTAATTTTATCCGGGGACAATAATATTAAATAAAAAAAACTATAATTTTATTAACATAAATGAATCTTCTAATTAAGTAAGTTAAAACATTTGATTAATTTTTTCAAGTTAACAAAAATGATTTAAAGTTATTTTATCATTGAAATATGAGCTTATTTACAAAGAAAACAAAAATAAAATTAGGATTTGTATTGTGTTTGAATTATATAGACTTTAAATTATAATATTATACAACACAAAACCTTTGTATAAGAAGAAAACATAATAATTGGGGGCATTAAACAAGTATTCAACAGGGGCATAATTAAAAATTCCTGTAAATTACACCAACTTTGAAAAATTTACCCGTGGCAAGTGCCCCCTTAATCGTAACTTACGTCCGCCCATGTCTATCCATGTACATTGATTGTAAACAGCAGATTGCTACGTAACTCGTCGGTTGCAGTATGTATGTAATCTACGTGAAACTAAAAAAGGTGTAAAATTAGCTCATTTGAGTGTAGTTTTTGGCTCTAGTTGATTTGAAGAAATGTCTCCAACAAATGATAAATTTTTTGTCTAATTTTAATTGCCACAAACTCGAATGTAAAAACCAGAGAAAGATTTTGATAAAGTAACAAAAAACAGTGACTCGACTAAGAAATTATTCAAATAAACTATCTTTTAGGACTCATCAAATCGAAACCACTACACAACTCAAGATGTCATCAACCGACTTGGGAACCGTAAGAAGAGTATTATCCCATTCCATCTTAACCCAAACCTCACCTCCATGGCGCTTCTCCAACGCCATCTTTGTGCACTTGATTATCCTTTTCTGTTTTGTCTCGTCTCCGTGAACTCTGGCCATCCACACAACTAAAAGTTTCCCACCACAGTTAAATAAATCAACCACACACCCCCGTGATAAGCAACATGTGCGGCGCTCAAGCAATACTTTCAAATTCGAACCCTTGACCACTCTCCACTTTCTACTCTTCGAGTCATACCACATGCAAGAATTTGAGGCTGTATAACAATACATTACATTCTCTATCACACACCAAGCATATATCAATGTGCTTCTTGAGAGCGTTTCTACAACTTCCCATGTATCTTTTTTGGGATCATAAGCATACAACTTCCCATGTATCTTTTGATGATCCAATGCATAAATCTTTCCTTGGAGGACACTCATTGAAAGACACCGATCGTCGCAACTTAACTCGTCGGCTCCATTGCTCGCCAAGAAACTCCAAGTCTGAGTCTTTATGTCCAATACTTCCATCCAAGCCATGGACTCGTCGTCTTCGTCGTAACCTCCCATTACATATATTTTCCCATCGAGATAAACCGCAGTCGCCTCCTCCCGAGCCACCTTCATGCTGGGGCCATCACGCCACGTGTGACTCCGACAATCAAGGATACGAACAGCTGAAGACGATGTTGATTCAAAGGGTGCACCGATTACGTAGATCTCCGAACCAACCGCTACGGTGGAAGCATATGGTACAGGTGGAGAATTTGAAGAAGAGTGTAGCGGAAGCAACGTATAGTCATTTAAAATCTCGCCGTTGTCAGTTAGGGTTTCGTCAGGTTTCATCCAGAGAGTGAACCATTGGGGAGATTGGTGCTTAGGCAACTCTAAGCAGAAATAAAAGCATGGTTCTATGGTTCCAATTTGAGATCGTGTAGTGTAGATATGGGGAGAAGAGAGGAGTGAGAGGAACCTTTTAGACACGAGAGAGAGATTAGGGTAATTCCATTTAGAGATACGTGCGAGACAATTCTCTAAGATTTCGTCTGGGAGTGATGAAATCGACGGTGACTGAGAATCAATCCTTTTTCCCTCCGGTGGTTCAACTTCTCCTGAAATCATGGTCGGCTGGAAATTGGGGAAGTAGCAAAAGCTTTGGAGAAGGGTTTTAATTAGTTTATTAAAAAACGAGCTTGCACTTATCTTATAATTGCAAAAACAAATATCTTTTGAATCTAATATTAAAACGAGCTTGCACTTGTCTTATAATTGCAAAAACAAATATCTTTTGAATCTAATTCATTGTTGGTTATTCAATCGCAATTATTTACTATTCAAATTCACGGTTGAGTACTTTGTAATATAATTTCACAAAGTGTGCAAGTTTTCTTGAAAGTTTATGGGCTTTTTTTTTTTTTGGGTATCAAGCACAATGGTATTTTGTGAAAAGGTCCACCAAAAAACAAAATTATATTTTTTCACGTTGCATATTGTTTGAGGATTTGAAAGGAAGAATAGATGCTTAGACAAGTTACTAAATTAAGAATATACTAATTAACTCAATAGTCTTTCTTTTGAGTATTATTTGTAGAGTTTGAGAGTGCAACTAATAGACCGAATTCCCAAATTTACATATAGAAAACAATGGCATCAAAGTTCTTATTATAAGTACTTGTAGAGTTTCTATTGTTAGTTGACATTGTCGATTAGTCTAATATTCGTCATGTTCATCGCTAAGTAAGTTGGTTGAAAAAAAAAAAAAGTTGGTTGCAAATATGTACTTCTATTTCGTTCTATAAATGACTGTTTGATTTTCATTTTTGTCACTTAAACAGAAATAGATATTACTTATTCTAGCTTTTGTTAAGTCAAAATTAAAAGAATCAAAGAGAAATCCACCATTGTTTCTACCAAAAAGATTCACTGCAGTTTTTTTTTTTGTTTGGTTAAACAGATTCACTGTAGTTAATGCCAAAGAAAAATAAGAGAAGAAACCCAGTTGGCCTCCGAAATGGCCCACTCAAATCTAGGAACTTTTTTTGTAGACATCATCATCCTTAATAAATTTTTGAATAATTTATTTGTCATGATGATCTCTTAGATCAATCCATGAAATACATCTTCATAATATTTTTGGCTCAAAATCTTATCATCGTTCCAACTTCCAGTGAATACAAGGAATATAGACGATCTTGATATAGCCGTAATGCTCCACATGTTCTCATCAACCATTTACCACACCGCTTAAAAATCTGATCAAAACTAGTCAGACCCAAAATAACCACTGCTTCCTTCCAATCTAAAATTCCAAAACAACATATTGGATCTACATTTTCAAATGGTTCTTTCTGCCTTTATCTTCAAATGGTAAAATTCCCTAAATAAATTGTAAGAATTGGAAATTACTTTGGTAAATACAGAACTTGCATTGAGTGGAGATTGAACCGTTAAATAAAAACAAAAAATGCAGACCACTGTGGTCTGTCTTGTAGTTAGGGGTGTCAAAATGAGCTCGCAACTCATGAGCTGGCTCAGCTCAGCTCGATTTTTCATGAGCACGAGTTCTGTTTTTTAGGCTCATTTAATAAATGAGTTATGTGATCGAGATTTTTTTAGATCGCGAGTTATATGACCGAGCTTTAATGAACATGAGCTAGCTCATGAGCTCGACTTTTTTTTAGAAATATATATATTTATATATATCTTTTCCATTTAAATTAAACAAAAATAGAATTATTCTTTTAGAAAATTTGTGTGTTTTAACATATTAATTTTAGAAGATAATATAAGTAATATAGAAATAATCCTTTTAAAAATTTATCTAAAACGTTTCCTAAAAAAAAAAAAAGGAATCATCTTATTTAGATATTATCTAAAACGTTTATTTGTAGATGAAGACAATGAAGATGTTGATGTAGGATCATCTTAAGAGCAAGAGTAACACGGAATAGATTCTTGATCATTCCATATTTATATTATCTTTAATTAATTTAATTTAATTGTTAGGATTTATTATTTGAGATTTTTTTTGTTTGGTGTTTTGAGATTATTTTTTTTCTTGGATTTATTTTCATTATTTAACTTTAGAATTAATTATGTTATTGGATTTATTTTAATTTTTGAAAAAAAATTAAAATTATTTTTGTTATTATATTTATTTGTTATGAGCTCGCGAGCTAGCTCATATAACTCGTGACCAAGATGATCTGAGTACGAGTTTATATATTGAAGTTCATCTAATAAATGAGCTGAGCTGAGTTAGCTCATGAAATGCCCGAACTCATCATAAGCTGAGCCGAGTTGAGCTAGCTAGCTCATTTTGACACCCGTCCTTGTAGTACTCTTTTCACTGGAACCCATTTATGCTTTTTAATTTTAATTTTTATTTCATCATAAATCAAGAAAGAGTTTTTTTTTTCTTCCTCGAAGCAGTAAAATCTACTACAACAGTCAAAGAGAGAGAGATAGAGAGCAAACATGCTTGCTTAATTCACGGAATCGAGACGTTTCTATAAACCCAATTTTATATATTCAGCTGGAATCCGAACTCTGATATAGAAAGCACACAACGTTCACCTCCACTGACTTGTCTCTATCTCTAAATCTCTCTTGCGTCACTAAAAAGTCGGTGCTTCCTACTTAAGTGTTCTTGAGAGTGAGACGTTTCATTTCTGGGTTTAAGTCAGTAGAAGAAACACTTGAGTGAAGTTTAAAGCTTTGAGAAAGACAGATTATGAAAATGGGTACAAGACTGAATCTAATCTTCTGCATTTGTGTCTCCATTGTTGCCTTCTTGGGTATGTCTTTACTCTCAAATCCTCTTTTGGGTATCTTCCATTTTTATCTTTGGGTCTGCAATTACTTAATTTTGTCTTCTTTATGTTAAAGTTCGCTGCTTTACTTTGTGTTCTGTGGGTTTAATCTATGTTTCAGTTCTTGTCTGAAAATCTCGAATCTGTTAGCTTTGAACTACTATAGGGTGTTTAGAATCGACATTTGAGAATCAAAAGCAGCAATTTTTGAGACTTGTTTTGTGGATTTGTAAGAAATCTCAATGTCTTTATGAAATTTGTTGCAGATTTTGGTAAGGCAAGCAAGATTGGGATATGTTATGGAAGAAATGCTGATAATCTTCCGAGTCCTAACAGAGTCTCTGAGCTAATCCAACATCTCAACATCAAATTTGTTCGAATCTATGACGCCAACATTGATGTTCTCAAAGCTTTTGCAAACACTGGAGTCGAGCTTATGATTGGTGTTCCTAACGCTGATCTACTTGCATTTGCTCAGTTTCAATCCAATGTAGATACTTGGCTTAGCAACAACATCCTCCCTTATTATCCAGCTACCAAAATCACTTCGATTTCTGTCGGTCTTGAAGTAACTGAAGCACCAGACAATGCCACTGGTCTAGTTTTACCTGCGATGCGAAACATTCACACTGCTCTTAAGAAGTCTGGTTTGGATAAAAAGATCAAGATCTCGAGCTCACATTCCCTTGCTATCTTGTCTCGCTCGTTCCCGCCTTCATCGGCTTCTTTCAGCAAGAAGCACTCAGCGTTCTTGAAACCAATGCTTGAGTTCTTGGTTGAGAATGAGTCTCCGTTTATGATCGACTTGTATCCGTATTATGCTTACAGAGATTCCACTGAAAAGGTTCCGTTGGAGTACGCTCTATTCGAGTCATCTTCGCAGGTTGTTGACCCTGCGACGGGTTTGCTTTACTCCAACATGTTTGATGCTCAGCTTGACGCTATCTATTTCGCCTTGACGGCTATGAACTTTAAGACCGTTAAGGTTATGGTCACTGAGTCGGGGTGGCCGAGTAAAGGCTCACCTAAAGAGACGGCTGCAACTCCTGATAACGCTCTGGCTTACAATACCAACCTCATCCGCCATGTCATCGGCGATCCAGGTAATCTTTTTATGATCCAAAGTTATGATCTTTAGTTACAAAGATAAATGGAAACATTTTATGAACTGATTTGTTTGCTTTTGGTTAGGTACTCCTGCAAAGCCTGGAGAAGAGATAGATGTGTACTTATTCTCGTTGTTCAATGAGAACCGGAAGCCCGGGATAGAATCTGAGAGAAACTGGGGAATGTTCTACGCGAACGGAACAAATGTTTACGCTTTAGACTTTACTGGGGAAAACACTACCCCAGTTTCTCCAACAAATTCAACCATGGGTACCAGTCCAAGTCCAAGTTCAAGTCCAATTAGCGGTAACTCGACCGTAATCATTGGAGGAGGAGGAGGAGGAGGGGGAGGAAGCAAGAAATGGTGTATTGCTTCTTCACAAGCTCCAGTGACGGAACTGCAGACCGCGTTGGACTGGGCTTGTGGTCCTGGAAATGTTGATTGTTCCGCTGTTCAACCAGACCAACCTTGCTTTGAACCAGACACTGTTCTCTCACACGCATCGTATGCGTTCAACACTTATTACCAACAGAGCGGAGCAAGCAGCATAGATTGCAGCTTTAATGGAGCCAGCGTTGAAGTCGACAAGGACCCAAGTAAGTATTTGCATACACACACTTTCCAAAACACATCTTTAGAGTAAATGTGTAACCAGAGTAGTCTCATTTGAGCTCTATAAATTGCAGGTTATGGTAACTGTTTGTACATGATTGCTCCGGCTACCGACGGGTGAGTTCTCTCTCGGTTTACTCAACTATGCAACTAAAAAACCAAATCGTTTTTGTTGATGGTTGTTGTTACTTTTGCAGATTCAACAGAACAATGGCGGGTAATATCACTGGAAATATAACTGCCATTGATTCTCCCTTGGCTTCGCCTTCGTCAACCAATGAAGCATTCAGACAAATGGTGATTTCCCTTGCAGTCTCTGTTTTGTTGCCGTGTTTTGTAATTTGTTTGAGTATTTGATGACATTCTTTTGTCTGAAGTTTTGAGTAGTGACTGAACTAAACTAGAATTTAGCCGAACTGTTAAACCGGTAATTTCATTCACCGCTTAAATGGTCATGTATTTGTGTGGTTCGAATCACAAACTAAAAGAACCTGAACCTGGTCGAAAACAAATGATCAAGACCACTTCACAAACTCAAATTTTTTTTATACCAAACCGTAATTATTTCATTACTCAAATCGAAAACCAGAGATACATTATGAAATACAGTAGTACAAGGAAGAGAAAAACATGAAAGCCATCATAGGAGGGAATCAAAACCATAACATCAAATATGATTGTTTCTTAGTTCTTTTTAAGAGTATAACTTTGTTTGATGCACAACAACAATCAAATCACAATACATGGCAGAAGAGTGCTTCTCTAGTGAAGAAGAACCTGAAAAATGAGATTGGTTTCAAGCACTTTATGTGAACTTAGAGACCAGACTCGATAAGGTAATCACCAAGCCTCTCGACGACCAAGTTGCATTGCCCTCCAGTCATGGGTTCATCATAGATGCCAAAGACTAGAGCTTGAGTAGTCTTCTTGATAGTGACTCCACCAGGCCCCTGCAAGAAGTAAGCATGAACTTAAAAAGACTGATCCTTTTTTGATTCTTGTCGAATTCGATTTCTGTTGAAAAATGTTACCTTTTTCCCTCGGATGACGGCTCCAGCCTCACCTTGGACAACCATGTACTTTTCACCGCCAAGAAAAAGCCCGGTTGGGGCAAGATGTCCGGCTTCTTCAAAGTCTTTGTTGATTCCTTCTATCTCTGCAGGCTTCAACTAAAACATGAACAAGAAACAACAACAAAGGCAATTAGCTTCAACAAATCCTTCACTGAGCAAAGTAAAATCATCCAACAATTCATATGCAATGACCCTAAGATGATCTCATATTCAAGTAAAAAATCCCAAATTTTGAAGAATTTGGTGAAAAGTTTTATCATCTGAAAGAAGATAAGATTCTGTGAAACCATGAAAATCTCAGAATCAAACTCGATTCAATCAGTGAGATTTCAGAGAGAACAAGTCAAAGGTTAGCAAATCAAAACCAGATCCAAGTTTCTTCAGATCGGATCACAAGGTAAAAACCCTAAAATCAAACGATCGAATCAGATCGATGAACTTAATTGAAACAGAGGATCGGAGAAAACGTGAGAAGAAGGAGGAAGAACCTGAGGGAAATGAGAGCTCTGAGCCCAGACACTGCCGTCTTGGCCTAAGATGGCGGCGTGTTTGAGGTGGTTACCTTCGACCTCGCACATGAGATGGTCATCGACGTACGATTGCCACGACATCTTTCTTCTTCTTCTCCGGCGAGATTGTTTCTTCTTCTTCTTCTTCTTCTCTCTATCTCTCGCTTCTGGATGCTTCTTCTTCTTCTCTCTATCTCTCGCTTCTGGATGCTTCTTCTTCTTCTCTTGCGTGCTTTGGTTTGTAGACTTGGAAAACCTTTGAGCTTTAAATTAATAACACGCTTTAGGCTTTTTCTAATTTAATTTCTATTGGAAGAAAATTCCATTACATACAATACATATTTATTTATTATTTTACAACTTGATATTTTTTTTTTTTTTTCCCTCAATTTTACAACTTGATAAAGACAACTAAAGAAATACCAAAATAACGATTCTTATGAAGTTAAATTATACTAACGAATAGTATATTTAAAAATTGCTAAATAAATGTGCGGTGACATTTTTACCTAGTGAAACGTTTCAGATTTTATTAGAACAAATCAAGTTTACATAAATAAACAATACTAGAGATTTTTTTTAGCAAAAGAAAACAATAGTAGAGATTTTAATTCCCAAAAATCAAAGTATAGAGATCGAAGTATGGCCATGATTTGTTTACAGGGTGGATATGCTCTTGCATTGTGTGCCATACACAAAAATATTCCAATTATTTAGGTCCACCCTTTACAATTTAATGTTCTCCTCTTCTAATATCATTTTCAATAAATGTTTCTTAATTATTACCCGAAAATTAGAAAGAAAGTTTTAAGTATAATCTTTTTATATTCCGAAAATATAAACATTTTGTGATATTGAAGAAAACAGAGAAACAGTCGCTTATTTTTAGTCGTACTCTTAAGAGATGTATGTGTGCATCGTATTGATTCAAAGTGAATAATCAGAGAGATAATAAAATTTTCGTTACATATAAATACGAGAAAAAAAAAGATTTGAGATTCGATTTCTCGATGAGCTGTTAGATTAGAACATAACAAAGACAGATGGGATGTGAATGATTTTCCGACATAATTGTACTATTATTATTTATTACTTTCCTATTAAAGATTAAAGTTGATGAATGAATTCTGCCTGTTACCACTTTTCTTTCTCATGTTTTTTTCTTTTTTTTCTTCGTATGAATGAAACCGCTAAAAAAGATTGCGTTGCGTATCAGTTTTTTCTGTTGACAATAATACTATGAGTGTTGTTGATAACATGTGTTAAGTGCTTGTGTAAATGTTGAAAGTGTTTTACACAAAAAAGGCAAAAGAGAAAACAACCAAAACAGGCATATAAATAAGAAACCAAGGCAAAGAGAGTAAGCCTTTAGGCTTCAGCTTTCTTAAAATTTTGCTAGGAGGAGAAACCAGGAAGGTCCATTAGCCCAAACTTATAATATTAAGTAGAAAAAGATGCAAATCACTCAAAGAAAAAAAAAAATTAAGAGAAACAATGGCCTTATATAAAAAAATGTAGAAGGTGGAACATTGTAAGAATTGATTCTAGAGACCCTGTTCGAGGAGGTAATCACCCAACCTTTCGACGACCATGTTGCACTGTCCTGGTGTCACTGGCTCTTCATAGATCCCAAACACACATGACTGGCCTGTTTTCTTTATCGTTATGCCTCCTGCTCCCTAATTGATACAAACATACAGTATATTGAATAAGAATCCTCTTCAACATGTTATATTTGCATCCAAAAACATGTCACATCTGATCATGAATTTACTGATTAGGTTACCTTCTTGCCACGGATTACAGCCCCGGGCTCGCCTTGGATAACCATGTACTTAGCTCCTGCTAGGAATAACCCTGTTGGTGCCAAGTGACCCGGTTCATCGAAATCTTTCATTATATCACTGAACTCCTGTCCCTTGAACTATCAAAGACCAAAGCACGATTATTGATTACCATGAGACAACATTCATCATTTGTTTGAAACGTATATATAAAACTATTAAAAGCTTTAGACAATTATGACTTTGGAAAATATGCTTGGTGACCTTGTAGCATTTCATATCAATAGGACAAAGAAGAAATGTTTAAAGATTGAATTCCCTATTATTGGTTCAATGTTTTTTTTTTCTGGTTTCTTGATAAAATTATTGGTTCATTGCTTTTACCTAAACTTCATTAGATCCACAGTACTTGAAGATTATCCTCAAATCTATCGATCGGCAAAACAAGATTCAAAGAAACACAAACACACACAATACACTACATATATATCCCATTACAAACATCGATAGAATATAATCAAAACATGATCCATGATACATGATCTAAATCACATTGTAATCAGACAAATATCATATTGGATACCAACAACAGTATCATGATCTAAATCACATTGAGATCAAACACAATGACAATGAAATCAAATACCTGAGGAAAGTTGGAGCTCTGAGCCCAAACGCTACCATCATGACCAACGATAGCAGCAGCGGTAAGGTGGTGTCCTTGACCATCGCCAACATCACACATCAAATGCTCATCAACGTAAGTTTGCCACGACATCTTCTCCTTCTCCTTCTTTTCTTATTCTTTTTCTTCTTCTTTGTTTATGATCTATGCGTTATGTGCAGCGTGGGGGACTTTGTCCTTCAGATAAATAGGAGAGGAATGAACAAGAATCATTTTAAACCGTTGGATCACATAGACAAATTCTCAACCCTACATCGTTTTTTTTTGTTTTCCAAAATAACAAGGATTGATTTTCAATTAGTGCTGCTCTTTCGCCTTTGTTATAGCTTCATCATTATTTCCCTAATTGCCACGTCTACTTTCTTCCTTTTCCTAATTTCCCCTATTTACGATCACCAACGGAATTTGAAAGGAAGGAAGGAATGATTGATTACTCGTAATCAATGGAGTAATAATTTTTTTTGCCAACCAATAATAAATTATGTCCTTAAATTGAAACTTGTTACGACCAATCTCTTTAGTCACGAATTTTATAATTTATCTTGTTACGACCAAAACTCTTCTGTCACTAATTTCAACTAGTGATTGATTACTTGTCACAGTTTTGCTGTCAGTTTAAGTGAAACGCTGCCGTTTAGTGTTATTCGTTTGTTAAACTGTCCTATGAGGAATGAAGAATGTAGAAGACCAACTTTCTTCAGGAGATTGATTATATACGTAAAACGGCAAAAAGGATTTGAAAACAACATTGTATTAAAACCTCAAAGATTCTTCCTACAAAGTCATATATTGAAAAACTGTACTGCTCGAAAACACAAAGCTACCTGGGACTTGTTAGTGGCATTGTTTGAAAAACATTTAGGATTATGAAAACAACGAAACGCAAGAAAATTTCTATTTCAGTCGGTGAGACGATATGATCGACCTCTGAATGCTGTGTTTGAACTCTCTGGTGGGGCACGAGCGCTTGAATAAGCTCCTCCTCCTCCTACTCCTCCTCCAGCACCGGGTCCTGCTGCTCCTACACCACCTGCTTGTCGAACACTTGCTACCGGAGCTCCAATTCGCCATCTTGCTACGATTTTATTACTGTTGAGAATGTCAAGGGATAACAGCAAAACAAAAACTGAGAAGCGACAGAAGCAATCATTTGGAAATAATCGAGAATCAAGGATACACCCATTTTGGGGTTTTCAGGTAGTTTTTTCCGGTAGCGAGAGGGTGGAGGACTGTTAGGAAGTAGTATAGATGTCCGGCTATGATTCCAAGAAGATCTGGCATGATCGGAGAACCGAAGATAACATCGAGTGCTAGCATTGCCCATGGGAGGTAGAAAGCCTGTGGAGTTTTTACAACTTGCACCATTAACATCACATACTAAAGAGTGAGTTTGATGCACGGATGAGCTTACATAAGAAACACATTCAGTACCTTGAGAGTGACAAGACCGTATAGGCTGATGTTGGCATTTGGAAATTCCCTGCTCCAGAGGTATAGAAGCATGAACACAAGCGAAACTCCAAGGAAAGGCGTCCAGAAAAATGGTATGACTGATAAAACCTGAAATTCGAACAAGGTAACTGTTTCACCACACAGATTCACTAGTATGAATACCTTCCAAAAGCTTGTTTATTCAAGCCTGATTCAATTCTTTGAGAGCTTCTGATTATCTCGGCTTTGGGATATCTCAAAAGTTATGTACCAGCTATTATCACATACTACACTGGGGTTCTGAAAGAACCAATAACTAGAATTATAGGGAGGGCTTTACATACCAATAGAGTGAAGGATCCAAAGATCATCATCCACAAAAAGTCTGCGGTCCGCCTTTCAAACGGCCCTTTCTCGAGTTGAACTCCATATCTTGCTCTGCACAACCATTTAAAAGAGTATGTTACGATAAAAATCGAAATTAACCTTCTTCATATAGGTGTGAAAGATAGTACTCACATCATCAAAAGACGTATTCCGAAATTGATAGAGAAACCACCGAGGAAAAAGAAGTTTGATATCAGCCTCCATATCTGATCAAATTGCACAATGAATCAGGAACTTGGGATGACACAGTTTTGTAAGAAAGGAAAATCAGAAAAAGAAGAATGATCTCTTTTACCTGGAACTGCTTAAGTACAAGTTGAGGAAATAAAGCAATGTGGACAGGAGCAACTAAGCCAAGCTGGTTGGCTATAGTAGTGAAAAGGCACAACGTACCATAAGCCTTGGTTATTGGTGGAAGTGAGTTATAGTATCTGCAATCAAAAATTTACCAAATAACAAACCATCTTAGAAACAATTTGACGGATATTGTTAAATCAAAGCATACTTATTCCATCCATCTACATCAAGATCAGCTAACCTAAGGACCAGTTAAATTCTGGGCACTAATTAGCTAAGAATCTCTCGATCAAAAATCAAATCGAAGCTAAGTTCGATACAAGGAAACGGAGAACTCACTCGCCAGGAGAAGACATGTTCGTCGATTTTCCAAGATCCGGAAGTTCTGAGTCCGATTCAAGATTCGATATCCGATATAGATTTGAGCTTAACGTTGTGAGAGAGAGAGAGAGAGAGCACCGCAAAATAGAGAAGCTAGAACGTTCCTGAGTTTTTTTTATTTATTTTTTTTTTTTTGCTTTCTAAATCATGTGAAAATCACTTGTTAGGCAGCTGCGTAACTTATCCAATGATATTTTGCCACGTCGTGTTTATTCACCAGATTGATAACGTGGCACGTTTTTATTGGTTTTGTTAGTTTATAATTATTCTTTCAGTTTGTGATGAATTGTAATCGTGTTTTGGTAATATTTGTGGCCGACTATTATCATTTGTTACGCATTATAATGCATAATTCTAATTAGATAAACCAATTCTATTACTATATGATATTTATTGACCTAATCTCGTATAGGATCCTCTTGTGTAGGCAAAAAAAGTATGATATAAGTATTACTTGTCTTAAGACTCAAACAATGAAGGCATAAACATCTTCTTCTGTCAGATTTATGCTGTCATTTTTTTTAACTTCAAGATAATTGGAAGCAAGATTGAAAGTGTATGAATTCTTGGCATTGAAGTTTTGACCAAATAAAGATTCAGAGCTTTGGTCACACTTGTGTGAGCTTTTCAAACTTGTGAAGGAGTCTTTGTTGTCATCTGATCCACATTCTGAAACTCCTCCCAGATGGCTTTATACATCATCTTCTGTCTGTTTAGTGAGGATTTCCCTTTGAACGCCGCTGATACACTACAAAGATCAGCTTCTATAAATTATGCTACTAGTCTATTGAATTGGGCCAAAGAGGCTTTCCTTAGACCCATTAATAGATAGGCTCGAATTAGAGATGTTGACTTCTTAATAAATGTTTTTTTCTATTGTTGTTACTCCTGTTTTTTCCTTTCTAAAAGTTTCTAACACACCATTAAGTTTTTTTATTTATTTACCAAAAAATAATGTGAGAAGTGGAACCCTAACTAATTAACAAGAAAAGACAATGCAGAGGGAATCTAATCTCAAGGAAAATCAAAATTGGAGAAACACAAGCGTTGTGTCGTGAGTATGGTCGGAACCAAAGATCCGAGATTAATTATTAATTTCAATAATCATAATAATGTGTTCAAGTTTTAAGGTAATTTAAACAGAGAATCAAGATTATTAACCTGGATTAGGTAAGGAGAGGGTCCATGTGCATGTGACGGGTCCCAACCAGATAATCTTGACCCGATTCGACCTCACTCCTTGTCTGCTGACTCATCCTCACGTCATTCCAGACGTTATTAATGTTTTGGTACTTTGATTGCGTGGAACTGGAAGGTAAATTATTTTCCTGATAAAAATTTGATAATATTTTTTTTTGTATTTCTCATTAACTGTAAACAATATTATGTATATTATTGTTTACAAAAGTACTTATTTTTATTGGATTTCTTATGTAAGATAAAATTAAAAATGTATTACTGATGAATTTCAGAAATAATTTGTTGTTGTCCTATGTAAGTTTTAAATGTCAAATGCAGGCAAGTTTTTCATAAATTTCTGCTTTTGCTATCAAAAAAATATTATTGTGTTTTTTTCATGTTGAGAAAAAGAGATCCTTAATGTTTATATTTTAAATAAACTCAATAAATTTGTTTGGTAAAAAACGGTTTTACTGCTATGTTCTTGTACCGTCTTATTTTATCGTATTACCTCACAATAAAAACGATGTATCTCTTATCTCAACGATATAAGGTTACAAATCTATCATCATCGTCCTGACATACAGTCCATCATCATCAAAATTAAATCGACATAATACATATTTGTTGAATACAGATATGAAAATAAGATAGGGAGACAATATCTGAACTATAATTAAGTTGATAAGCATTTTTTGGCACCACATTGCGTAGATATGCCAATATGCCACTTGGTTTCTTTTGGATTATATGCTGAAAATTAGTTTGATATCAAAGAGTAGAGTTAGAGCTTAGGTGGTTTAATATATGGTTGATAAAATATGTGATATGGTAGATCATGTGAGTTGTTAGATACGTTATAAGATTTTATTTCATGACCTTAATTATATAACTAATTAAATATTAGTTCGTTGTAATGTTCCTTAGTTAGAGCTTTTATTGGTCGTTGGAGGCTAGAGTGAAGTGGGTTTCATGCATAGTCACGCGAAAACAGCTCTTGGACGGCTAAATACCGCTTATAATTAGAAACGGTGTGGAAACGTTTTTTATGATTGATTTAAACACATGTAACCACAACACTTCATACTCGTTTGCGTAAAGAACCAACAAAGTGTCTACACAGTTAGATTTTACAGTTAGTACTTAGTAGCTATACTTTTTTTTTACATTATCGCTGAGAAAAATTAATAGATTAAAGGGTCCCTAGATTAAATGTGAGTGGAAAAGAAAAAAGGTCTTGGTTCTTTTGAATTGTTTGACCTATCGATGGAGACATTACAATGGAACTTGCCAATGGCGAGAGAGGAACATGCAATTTCATTACATTGTGATAAGTTAAATCCCGGAAAAGGAGGGAGGAGAGAAAACGACATTTTTGCAACCAAAAGAAAAAAGTGATAGAAAGATGCATTAAGAAAAGCGAACAAAATAAAATCATTTATGAACAAGGGAAAAGAGAGACCGGGCTTGTCAAATGGCAAAACTGCAAATATACAATGGTGGACCTATCCATGTTTCAGTAATTCGCATGTTTATTGTCGGAAAACTAGTTTTTTTTCCCCATTGTTTTGTAATAAAAATGAAAATTTTAAATAGTGTCTTCTGTCGCATTCTTCAACCTGAATATGTATTCAAGTATAGAGAAAACAATCCACATATTTAGCTAAAGTCACAATTGATAGACATGATTTTTACTATTTGAATTGAAAATGACTAAAAGAGAGTGGTAAGGTAAGATCATTACAGCCCAACCAAAAATATAAAACATAGAGAAGTAAAACATAGAGAAGTATTTTTTTTTTGAACTAAAGCTTGTTTTCATTCCATTAAGGTAGAACCCAAGTACAAAGATAAAAGGAATCTGAGATCCCAAAGTTTAAATTACAACAGAGATGGCCTTTCCCCAAAGCCAACATAAAGTAGATAAAAGGATAGATAAGATTAATCGATAATAACTTCTTGAGAGCTTTGAGCCAAAAGCTATGAAGCTTTTTGGTACATGTGAGATCAAAAATAATCGACGAGTCTTCCAAGAGCGAGTCAACGGAGGACAAATTAGCCACTGTCAAGAGACGAAGTGGCGTTGATGAATGGGCCAAAGTCGAGGTTCTCGCCGGCACGAGAAAAACTACACAAGGTAGCGCTTTGACAAGGTTTCGAGCAGGGATGAAGGTGCTATGATGTTTGAGGTTGATTGCTACAGTTTTCACGGAGTGAGAGTTGAGCTTAGACAAACCGTAGCATATGGGACTGGTGTGGAGAGCGTGTTGCTTGAAATTGTCATAAACGCATGAAGGAGAGTGATCATTGGACAAGTTCAAGAACCTCAAAGAAGCTTTATCAACCAGGATTCGTAATTGATGGATGCAAGACCGTAACAGAACAGGTGAGTCCTCTCTCACATGAAGTCCATGGCGGCCATGGAGATTAAGGAAATCCACACAAAGTTTGTAGCCAGTTTGCCACAAGAAGTAAAAAAATCCAGACCTGAGTATCAAGCTTTTAAATGGATGAAAGTCTTCCTTTAAGTAGCTAATCTGCACATAAATGGTTTCGGAAAACAAGGGGAGTGGATAAAAGGGGATGAAGAAGCTTCGGTAATCACCGCTCCTTAGATGCGGGATCATAATGCCGTTCTTCTTCAAACAATTCAAAACATGAGAAGTAATCCTAGATGAATCTAAAGGCAAGGTTCTCAAATAACTTGGAGTTGGGCACATAAAACCTTTCTCAGTGAAAAATAAATTATCATGGTCAACAATCCTAGGTGAAGCTAGAGGCAGGGAATTCTTGTACGACCATAGCAATAAGGATGCGTTACGTTCCAATTGACGTCCTCGATCAAAGGATTCCGTAAAACGATATCTAAACTGGCTAATGGTGGACAAAGAAAAGATTACAAACCTGGGCTTTAGTAAAACAGAGTTTGGCTCACCATTTAATGGATTGGACTTCAGAAAGCTTAACGGGCCGAACATGAATAGGCCCACAAGTTGGAAACCTAGTTTCCTTTTGGCTGGTGGGAAACGGCTTGACGAGCGGCGGCCGTCGTCCAGAGAAGGAGGAGAATTTATCGTTGAGGCAAGCATCTCCGGTGGAGGCAATGTCTGTGTTTGATGGTTCAGTCCGAGAATCGAGGCATAGAAGGAGAACCAGAGGTTAATCGAAGCCTCAGATCTAGAAGTTGGTGGTTCTATCATAGGTGATTTCGGCACAGATGGTGAATAAAGAGGGTGAAGGATGGAGATCGCCGGACACCATCTTCCTCCTTTATTGTTGATTGTTGAAGTTCTCATCAAGAGTCTTGGATTAGGTAGGGTTCGAAAGGGATTCAAAAGGGGAAATAAAAAGACTGACAAAAGAGAAAAATTAAGAAAGCTATAAAGATGAAGAATCGAGTGAGCAAAAGAAAGCTCCCGACGCCGGTGAGTCGGGGCTCCACCGGCGCCGGAGATCGTCGTCAGGATGAGGGCTTCGATAATAGTGCCTTGGAGCTTTCACGGAGCTTTTGAGTAACTTTTATATATTACATAGAGAAGTAAAACATAGAGAACTCTAGTTCAAAAGTGTAAATTTTGCGTATGCTATGCATGTTATGGGACCATGCTATAAATGTCAAACAATATGATTGTTTTCGTGATTTAAATAACTTTGGATGCAAATGACCGAACATGGTTTCTCAAAACCAAATTGTGGAATCCGTGGGTCGAACGAATCCGAAGAGTATCCATGTCGAAATTGATTCTGAATAAACTGGACCTAGTGCCTAGATAGTAGCTTGGCCCTAGCGCATAGCAAGTAAATTGATTGTTCGAGGTTTTGTTTTCATTTGTGGGAAGAGAATTATTGCTTACATACATTTTTTTTTCCAGCACAAATGCATTGAATATTCATCAGGGAAAAAAATTATTAGCAATTTGGGCAAATATCTTCTTAATATTATTAATGTTACCAAATGCGAAATAGAAGAGAAACTTGATACGTCCTTTCATAGACATTAAAAAATAGAGAGACATATCTATTTCAAGATCTTTACACGTGATCGAGATGTTTTTATTGTTTTTGGCTAACATATATCCAAGTTAGAGCAGAAGATATCAAAACAATATTTTGGATGGCAATGAATCATTTTCAATGAAGCAAATAGTACGTTCCTTAAATCAATTAGGGTACTAACTTTTTGCAATAATCCATTCAATAATAGTGTCTCTCTCTCTTTTCTCTACCAAAAGGCTTCTATTGTCCCTATAACTTATAAACATCAAGAGGAGTAAGTGCATTTTATCACCTACTCCCTCCGTTTCAGTTTAGTTGTCGTTTTAAGATATAAATTTTGTTTCAAAATAGTTGTCGTTTTAGGTTTTCAATGTAAATATTTGGTTAAAATTCCAGTTTTATCCCTACTGTTTTAATGTTTTGGCCAATAAATTTTTTTATAAAATATATTAATAAAAGGTAAAACATAAAATTTAATGGTTTTCTTAATTTGTGTGAAAAAATCTTAGACGACAACCAAAACGAAACGGATGGAGTACAAAACTAGTAGGTGATGGAACGTCACATGGTACATAAATCATAACAACTCTAACCAAACTACGGAATAAATGTAAAATTTTATACCAAATGCGAATTACCATAATTTTACTCGAGCATTCCTAATTTCTATAATGCTTGTCGTCAATTAATGTATAAAGGATTTCGTAGCATATTACATGCATGTGGCCGTAATACGGAAACAACCATATCACTAAATTTTAATAACCAAGTCTCCTTTTTAATAAGAGGATCTATTTTCGAACTCCATTTAGTAAAAGTTACATTGGTCATATACAAATTATCTTATACCACGGAATTTCTGGCGTTAATGAACAAAATAAGATACTACTAACTATCGAACTACCATTAGTTGAATGAATTACGCACTGTCAAATATATAGACTATAGTGTTCATGTTTAGTAACAATTCATTTCGACCATGACCAACATAGACAAGGCAAATAATTACAGTAAACACAAAATTAATATCGAGTTCTTTTTTTTCTTTTTTTGGGTTGATAAGTAATGATTTTTTTTCTTCTCCGCTAATCAATTCCTTCAACTCATCAAAAGAAGCTTCGTATACAAGTTCATTTATCCTTAAACAAAAAAAAGGGGAAAGGTTTCTATTATAAAATAAAAGTCAACTATGTGAATATGTACGTGAACTTGCTGTTTTAGCACTGATTTCAGTTAAAACATTTTTTTTGGTTTTCCAGTGAGCTATTGTACAAGAATCAATCATATGGTATGAATGAGTCTTGCCTGCTGGAATTATTATATATACTTCATCGTTTTAACAATATCCAATAGTTTATTTTTGGTTAGTGATATTGGTATTTAACCATCTAAACACAAATTAACAATAATTAGTTGAAAAGAATGAAATTGCACATACAGTAGTTATATTTTATAAGTTAATGTAATGATTAAACAAGGTTATTGCAGCGTGGAGAAATTCTACTTATTGAATCAAGAAAAAATATACTCTAGTTGGGAATGAGATGCAAATGCGTATAAATAAACTTGTAAAAGATATGATGAGTGTACACTCGATCGATTCATATGTGTCTTCATGTGCACTTTCCTTATTTATATAATCTATATGTTCTTAAGTTTCAATCTAAGTTTTTCTCTTTTGCTTCGAGAGTAAGCCAACACATTTCATGGTCGGTTTAATCTTCAAGCTGGACACGGGCTCCTTTGTTTTATTTTAGTTTTCCAAAAAGTTTTGCACCTAGTACTATAGTTTCGGACCTATGTCTATAATTCTTTCGGACCAGAGACTAAAAACTGAAAACTAGTGTGAACTATTGTTGATAATGAAGAAATTTTCTAGATACGAGATAAATTAGTAGTAAAAGTTTTCATTGATTCGAATAATTAATTAATTCACAATTTATAAAATATAACAGTCAAACGCCACTGCCAACTACCAGTCTACAAGCGCCGTCAACAAACAGAAGAATCTAGAGCGCCGAACAAATCGAACGGAAAACGACAAAAAAAACAGCCAGCGAAGTGCCACGTCGCTCCTCCTTCTCTCCCGCCGACGATCCTGACGGCGTTACGGTGACGGACTAATATAGTGGCCCAATAGTTAGCCCAAATTACCGTAACGCCACCAACGAACAACTCAACACAGCTGGAAATTGGGCCCACGTGAACCCCTCCATGCAAACTTATCTCTTCCTCTGTTTCGTTTCTTCCATCAATTTTTATTTAACATTTTTTGTGGGTGTCTTTTGTTAATATTTTCAATTAATAAGCTGCGAAAAGGTGGATATTTTCTTTCGTTTACATTACATTTATATAATCTTTCCTAAATATCATTTAATTAAAAATAGACTTTTAGTATCTTAACATTTTTATTTTTTGTTTAAAATAAATTCAAAAAGTAATATCTGTGACTGTCTTAATCACAATGATTATCTAAAATTTTAAGAAAGCTTCTTCTTATTAAATTCAAAAGCAAGTTCTAAAAATAATATTATGCTTTCACAAAAAAAAAAAAAATTTCAAGTTTGGTTTATAATCAAAAGTACGCAAGATTCATGAATCATGCTACATTTGTGCTTCAACAAGAAAAATTAAACAAAACCTATAATTAAAAGAGAAAAAAATAGACCAAATAATGAAAAATGATGAATTGTTTTATTGTGCCGCCGAATTTCCCGCGATTAATAAAATAAAAATAAAAAATACGACCAATCTAAAATTATAATATTAAAACTAAAACAAAATTAAGTATTATTTAGAGCACCACTGGGTCCCACTAACTTTCATGTTGCTACAAAAACGAGAACCATCAAGAAGACGACGAACAACGACCTCTGCTCTCTCATGAAAACAATTCAACTGATTCGTTCTTCTTCTTCTTCTAATTCTCTCTAATTCAAATCTCTCAAGTTCAAAGAAGAAGTAGAAACACTCGAAGGGTTTTGTGATGGATCCATGTCCATTTGTACGGCTAACAATAGATTCACTAGCGTTGAGACTACCGGAGACAGCGACGAACAAGCAAATCGGCGGCGAAGTACATCCTTCTTCAACGCCGTGTTACTGCAAACTCCGGATCAAACATTTCCCTTCACAGAAAGCACTTCTCCCTCTCTCTTCCTTCTCCGACGCTTCGTCTCCGCCGGAATCTTCCACTTCAGCTCCGGGATTTCACCTCGACGCTGAAGCGATCCGACGAGTTTCCGGTAAGAAGATCTCACTCCGAGTCTCTGTTTACGCCGGTCGTACTGGTCACACTTGCGGCGTCGCTTCCGGGAAGCTTTTAGGAAAAGTCGAAGTAGCGGTGGATCTCGCGGCGGCGTTGTCTAGAACCGTCGCGTTTCATAACGGATGGAAGAAACTCGGTGGTGAAGGAGATAAACCGTCGGCTCGGTTACATCTACTGGTTCGTGCTGAACCGGATCCTCGGTTTGTATTTCAATTCGGAGGTGAACCGGAATGTAGCCCTGTGGTTTACCAGATTCAAGATAATCTTAAACAGCCCGTCTTCAGCTGCAAATTCAGCTCCGATCGCAACGGAAGATCTCGGTAAATATATTAATTTGCATATACCAAAAAATCTCAAAATAGTTTTATGTGTTTTTTTTAATAACTAAGAAATTCTGGGTCTAGACTCGTATATGGTCTTAGATAATTTTGTTACAATGTTACAATAGGTGTTAAAAATTTTAGTGTGTAATGGTTCTGTTTTGTGTTAGGTCTCTACCATCAGGATTCACATATAGTAGTAGAGGATGGATTACAAGAACATTATCAGGTGACCAATGGGAAAAGAAACAAGCGAGAGAACGTAAAGGTTGGATGATAACAATCCATGATCTATCGGGATCACCAGTAGCAGCAGCATCAATGATCACTCCTTTCGTGGCATCTCCAGGGTCTGATCGTGTTTCTAGATCAAACCCTGGTGCGTGGCTAATCCTTAGGCCTCATGGGACTTGTGTCAGTAGCTGGAAACCATGGGGACGTCTTGAGGCTTGGCGTGAGAGAGGAGCTATTGATGGACTAGGTTACAAGTTCGAGCTCGTGAGGGATAATAGTACTAGCACCGGCATTCCTATTGCAGAAGGTAAATCTATATACTAGTATACTACTATAAGTTAAGATATATTTTATCATTAAATTGTATTATAATGTGGGTCAAATCCAAATTACCCGCTAAGTTATAACCGACCAAATCATTCATTATGGTAATACGAATAATTAAAGCTACCTAAAATACCAAAATCACCCTCAAGAGGTAGGTTAATGTTATAGGTAATCTAAAGTACTAGGAGAAACACAAATGATGAAAAAAAAAAAAAAAGGAGAAACACAAATTGAGATATAATTTAGGAAATGTCAGAGACAAAATATATGAACAATCCGAGTTACAGAAAACAAATTTAAAAAATGGTCAAAATTCGATTTAAGTTTAGATTTAATTTGAGTATTTGTTTTCAAATGCTAGTATATCAAATGTCCAATATACCCTTATGCTAATAAACTCCAAGTAATCATGAATATAAATGGACAGGGACAATGAGCACAAAACAAGGAGGAAAGTTCAGCATTGACAGGAGAGTCTCAGGCCAAGGTGAGTCGCCGGCTATATCATCGCCGGTGAAAGGGTTCGTGATGGGTTCGAGCGTCGAAGGAGAAGGTAAAGTGAGCAAGCCTGTGGTCCATGTGGGAGCACAGCACGTGACTTGCATGGCCGACGCAGCTCTCTTCGTCGCTCTATCCGCAGCCGTTGATCTTAGCGTGGACGCGTGTCAGCTCTTCTCGCGTAAGCTTCGTAAAGAGCTCTGTCACGACGACCAAAGCTCCCTCACGTGAAAATATGTATCTCGGTGAAGACACATACGTACATTTTGACTTAACAAAGGCCGATCCATGAACCAAGATTTCGGTTTTTCATTTTTTCTAGGGATCAATTTGATGGGAAAAATTCGACAAAGCTGTACAGACAACAATGATCTTTGTGTTGTTTTGCAACTTTGTATCATATTTATTTATTTTTTGATTTTTTAATAAGTTTCTCTCCATATGTGTGTGCTGATTATTTTCATTATTTCATATCTTCATTCTTTTTAATAAATTGGGTCCAAAATATACTCATTTTCTTTGTGAAAAGTTACGGATCTTAATACTGATTAATGATTATGATCACTCATTTATGTGTTTTGGGTCAGCCCAACCTATTAATTTTATTGATATGTTTAATTTATTTTTTCAGCCCAACTTAAGTTTTAGTCAGCCCAATCCATGAATTGTTGTTCTACATGTAACACTTTTATGAGTTGTGTGAAACTGTGAATACACATTTTTTATGTGTGTTTTATGTATTCATGCATTGTTTGTTGTTGATTTGTCTACACGTCAACAATAAAACACACAATTTTTATGTATGTATGTATGCATATATAATAACTGACATTAAAACATTCAAAGAAAAAAAACGTTTAATATTAATTTACACACAAAATAGTGAGAGCAAACGCAGTGGAGCATGTGTAATTGTGGATGTAAGTAATTGTTTATTGTTATAATTAAAAGAGAAAAAGAGAAAAGAGAGAGAGAGATAGAGAGAGATAGAGAGAAGAAATTTTTTTCTATTTTTATAATATCTCACACTTGAGTGTAAGTCTACACCCAATTTTTGTTGAAAAGGTAACTTTTGCAATATTTCTCAATTGTTTATAACTAACACCCGAGTAACAAGTGTGCCACTGCGTTTGCTCTGATGAAGTCTGCTACTTTGTTAATGGTTTCATGTGTTTTCTTGTCTTTCTTTACAACCAATCTTTATGGTATATATTAGTTTTCTTGTCTTTCTCGAGACCAAAAGGGGACGAGGATTCCTAACTTCCATAATCTATGACATACGTATCTACGTAATTCATTCTATGTATTATTATAATCTTATTGACCTTCTTTTTTTTTTTTCTTATTCAAGGATCTTATTGAAGGATCTCTATTGAAGGATCTTATTGAAGGATCTCTATTTATTATTATTTTTTTTGTGCAAAGATTTGTTTTCATTCATTCGAATCAAACCAAGTACAAGAAAGAGTGATTCAAAGATCACAAAGTTTAAAACATAATTAAAGGAGACATTCCCCAATGCCAAAACATGATAGATAAAGTGAAACGACATAAAATCCATAAGAGCTTTGAGACACAAGCTAAGAAGCATTATGGCACATGTGAGGTCACGGTTAGTCTAATGGTTTTCCACGAGCGAATCGATGGACGACAAAGTGGTCACTGTCGAGAGACGAGGTGACGTTGAAGAAGGTTCCAAGACCGAGGTTCTCGGCGGCATGAGAACGGCGAGCTGGAGGTGCTCATCGGCAAGGAGATGAGTGGTGACGGGTCTAAAGTCGGATGGATTTGGAGATAGAAAGCTGAGGAAGCTTTGGTAACCACCGCTCCTTGGAGACGGGATCATAATGCCATTCTTCCTCAAGCTTCCAATTTCATGAATACAAACTATAAAGTTGATAATATAAACTTGTTTGAAATCAATATTCAGAAGAAATGGGTAGAACGGATTGAAGAAGCAACGGTAACCACCGCTCCTTGGAGACGGGATCATAATGTCGTTCTTCTTCAATTTATTACCTTCATGGATAATACGCTTATGTGAATTTACGGGCAAGGTTCCCAAATAAATTTTGTACCAAGGTAGCAACAATGGTAAATTATGTTCCAAAAGACGTCCTTGATCAATTGTTTCTATAACTCGACACAAAGTTTGGCTAAGAAAGAACAAAAGAGAGCTTAGATCAGAACTGGTCATAAATAGAAGGTATGGAGGCAAGGCAGATACGAAGAGGAGTCGTGAACTTTGAAACTCTTGGCCAAAAAATAAGACAAATTGGCCTGAATTGAGCCTATAGAGGAGTTGGGCCGGAAATTGAATTGAGCCACATGAAAGCAATAGGGCCTGAAGGAGACAAGCCCAAAGACTGAAAACCTAATCTCTATTTATTATATATTTGCCATATTCTCTTATTTTTGGGTGTATTCAATCTGATTTGTGTTTAATGCACCCCTTCATATATCCATATGAATGTCGATTACTTTGATTCGGATACCAAGATTAAAACATTAATAAAATCGTTTATGAACAAATGGCATCTAATGACATTAAAAAGTTACTTTTGTTAAACCTAAAACATTAGGGATAAAAGCACTAAATAGTTGTTTTTAAAAACATTTATTTTTTTTTGAATATAATTTAACATTAGATTCAAAAAAAAAAAAAAAAAACTTGCCCACGGAGTTTTGACCTGTCACGACGACATATCTCTCTATTAAATAGACCGATTATTTAGGGATATTTTTAATATTTTCCTATTACTTTTTCCTTTTTTGACATCAATCTTATTACAGGTTAATGGACTTTGTCAATAGTCAAAAGCCTATTTTCGGGTTATCAATAAAGGAAAACCCCAAAATTTCGATTTTTGTTTTCCAAATTAGGTAATGTTTTTTTCAGTAATTTTTTCTTCCTTCTCTTTTTTTGGACGAAGGAATTTATTCAATAGTCAAATAATAAAGACAAAAGAACCCCTTGCCTGGCTACCAGTATATATACACACATAAACATTACTACACAATAAAACAAAGAAGATAGATTAACACTTATATACCTCTATTTTACAAACACTGGTAACTTTTGTTTTGTAATATTGATCATGGCAAAGCTATTATGTTCTTGTGTCCTTGTACTCATGCTTGTGTTTTCAGGTAATTTTATTTTTCCATTCTAAAGATCTAAAAATGTTATATATATATATATATATATATATGATTTTTATTTCTGACCATAACACCGTATTTAACTTTTTGTAGCCTTTTTAATGGTTGAAAGAGTTGAGGGAAAGCGATGTCGTTTGACGATTGACAAAGCAAATCCATGTTACCTTAGTGATTGCCGTTTAAGCTGCTACAGTTTGTATAATGGAGTAGGAAAATGTTTTGACGATCCTAAAGTTCCTGGACCTTCTAACTGTGATTGTCTCTATAATTGTTAGAGCTACTATTTTATAAATGTTGTGGTATTTTAAATATTCGATTTCCTTTATCTATATGAATAAAAATTAGATCTCCATCTTTACTTATAATTGAATGATTTAATTTTACGGAAATTTCAGAGGTTGTAATTACTTTATTGTTATTCTTTCTATTCTTCCATGATGAGATTCAGAATAATAATAGTTAACTAAACGATCTCTTAAGTTTAGTTGCATACAAAAAAAAAACAACAATATCTACGTATCTTGTTGACAACACACAAAAAAAAAAAACTATAACAAAATATCTACGTCTTTTCACTTTTATGTACTAGTTTTATTTTTCCTGTGTTTTGGTTTGATGAAATTTTCATATACTTTGAACATTTCAGCGTTTGCTAATCAAACTTGGATTAAAAATGATTAAATAGATGGTCTACAAAGATACTTTTATGGACTAAAAATGACTGAATAAATGATATACAAATATACTTTTATGGATTAAAAATGATTAAATATCTACGAAGATACTTTGATTTTAGTCCAATTTTTTATTAAAATTAATCTACCCCTTCCATGGTATATAACAAGGTCGAGGCGGGCTCAACAAATCGAATTTCACTATTTACGGACATTGATTTATTTTTTGCTATTACGTTATTTTTGACATCAACAATCCTATTACTAGTTAATGATTTTTCAATAGTCAAAAGCCTATTTTTTCGGTGGACAAATAAACAAAAACCCCAAAAATTTCGAAGTTTATTCAAATTAGTTAATGATTTTTCCTATAGGTAAAAGCTTATTTCCTTGATATGTAATAAATTAATAATAAAGCCAAAGAACCCCGTTCCTAGCTACCAGTATATATATACACACATAAACATCATTACACAACAAAAAACAATCAAACAAAGAAAATAGATTAACACCTACACCTCTATTTTACAAACACTGGTAAATTTTGTTTTGTGATATTGACTATGGCGAAGTTATCCTTTTCTTATTTCCTTGTACTTATGCTCGTGCTCTCAGATAATTTCATATTTTTTTTTTCCAAAGATCTTAAAATGTTGTCATATATACATATGATTTTTATTTGTGACCATAACACCGTACTTAACCTTTGTAGCTTTTTTAATGGTTGAGAGAGTTGAGGGAAAGCAATGTCGTTTGATTATTTACAAAGCAACTGCATGTTCTCTTAGCGATTGTCGTTTAAGCTGCTATACTGGATATAATGGAGTTGGAGAGTGTTTTGATGATCCAAATGTTCCTGGACCTGATAACTGTGGTTGTCTCTATAATTGTTAGAGCTACTATTTTATAATTGATATGATATTATAAGTATTTGATTTTCTTATCCGATATGAATAAATATTAAATCTCCATCATTCCTTATGATTGAATGATTTTGATTTCGAAAATTGCAGAGATTTTAATTACTTTATTGTTAATCTTTCATTATTCGTGATGAGATTCAAAATAAAAAATAATTAAGTAAACGATCCAAGTTTAGTTCCATATATACCTTATAATATCTACATTGTGTCTTGTTGACAAGTATTAAAAAAGGCATCTGCACTATGTCTTTTAACTTTTATGTGCTATAAAACTTTGTCAATGTTTGGTTAATGAAATTTTCATATATTTTGAAAATTTTAGCGACTTTGCTACAGTTAAACTTGGATTCAAAATGATTAAATAGATGATCTACAAAGATACTTTTAGGCTAATTATTTATTAAAATAAATTTCTATAACTGTTAAAATTAAATGGAAGGTTAGTTTTGATATCGTACGTAGATTATATATATACCAATTGGTTCAAAAATTTGGAAATAATTTGGTTTGAGATTTATCTTTTTACATTATCTAGTTTCTTTATTTTGGAAAATGAGTTGATTAGAAAGTGGATTTGGATTGGAGTGATTATAGGCACATTTATGAATAAACGTATCAAATAATTAGAGTAATTACCGCTAAAAATGGTCTTACGACATCAATCAGTACTATTATTAAGGATACTTTCTTTTTCTTACACAGTCATAACTCATAACACTATTACAGGCATTAAAAATATACACACATGCATACCGTACCTAGCAACCAGTATATACACACATAAACATCATTACAAAGTCAATAAAAATAAATCAAACAAAGGGATTTTCGTTTTGAACTCTAATTTTAGAAAACATCGGTGACTTTGTTTTGTTGTAATTTTGATCATGGCCAAGTTATCATGTTCTTATTTCCTTGTACTCATGCTTGTGTGCTCAGGTAATTTAATATATTCTATTTCTTAAAGTTCTGATTTACATTATGTATAAGATTTTGTTTGTGATCATAACACGATGTTTTACTCTTGTAGCTTTTTTAATGGTTGAATGTGATGAGGGGAAGCGATGTCATACGACGATTGACCAGGCAAATTTTTGTGATCTTGTCGATTGTCGTTTAAGCTGCTTTTCTGGATACAATGGAGTTGGAAAATGTTTTGACGATCCTAAAGTTCCTGGAAGCTCTAATTGTGGTTGTCTATATAATTGTTAGAGTGATTATTTTAAAATGGGGGTTATATTAAAATTAAGTTTACCACTTCCTTTATCGATATGAATACAAGAGATTAATAATTTAACTCTAGAAAATTCTCGAGATTTCAATCATTTTGTTTATTTATTTTATTTTTCTGGTTAACAATCTCTTTTACATACTCCACTAGATTGCCTATCAATTTATTGTCAAGGTAAAATTCTTAGCATGTTCTCGAGATGATAATTTGTCTAGTCCACTTCGAACCGAAACATTCTTTAAGATCAGCAAAGATTAACCAATTTAAATCAACGTAATCTCTAAAGACATTATCTGATTGCCCTTGTTAAAACGGTCAAGCAAATTGGAGACGGCAAAGAGAGTTTCAGTCCTCAACATCTATGACACGCCCCTCACGAATATCGTGTACTATATACTACGTACAAGGCTCATGGTTACGGAAATTATTGGTTTAGCTTTTGATGCGTTTTAAATCAAAATCTTGGATAGTGTTTAGACTTACTTCAGTGATTCTTATCAAATAAAAAAGTTTCAAGACTATGACTGATGCGGTCTCGGGCCTCCCCGTTTTGTTAGCACTGATTTTTGAAATCGTTAGTCTTAAATTTAGCATAATTACCAAATATATTCAGATTCGGTTCTTGGTTTACTGTTTTCTGGTTCAACTATAACTCCTTCATGTCTTCGAAATTCCGATGGTCGAAATCATTTCTTTCAAGAAAATAAAAAAAAAAGATATCAACCTTTGGGCCTGCCTGTTGATGCACGAATCACACAAGTACGAAATAGGGTTTCTCTAGGGAAGTAAAAAGAATCTCCCAAAACAATGCGAGCCGAGAATACAAATGGCTTTAGACGAACTAAAACGAAGGACTTCGGATGGATGGATTCAGGTCGTTTATGCGACGAACTGGAAACCGTGTTCCGAGCTGAAGGGGACTTGACTGTCCTGAGGTCGGGCTTGAGGCTCAAAGTCGTCTTTCTTTTGAGGTCGGGGTCGTTCTTCCTGCTTCCTTATCGAACTCTTCGTGTCCTTGCCGAGCTCTCCGTGTCCTTGCCGTATCAGCGTGTTTTTCAATGGATGTGACGGGACTGATCGTTCCGCCTTTATAGCCTGCCAAGTAGGGCACGTTTCGATGACAATTGCCGGTTTTACCCTTTGGATCGAATGACATGGCACTTATATGACGGTGGGTTCGTCTGGGCTTGGCTAACTTCGTCCTGGACCTTGGGTGTTTAAGGACCTTCTTTCGAAGTGGGCCTTTTCTTGGAATTGGGCTTCGCATTCGGGAGGTCCAACTCTTCCCCCAACACTGCCGATGACAAAATTTATTAAAATCTCAATGGTGAGAAAATGGTGTCTTAATTCCTCACCATTCGTACACAAAACAGATAAGTAGAGAAGGGCATGTCAATAAATTCTGGCCCGTTTGTCTATGTGGTAGGCAGGATCGGATCTAGAAACATATTTCGTATGTGGCACATAAAAAAAAGTTATATATAATTTTTACTTTAAATATTTAATATATATACATTTTTTCAATATTGTATATATTTTTTATTAGTTGAAGAAAAAAATAATGAAAATAAAACTTAAAATTGACATTTAAATTAAGATGGCCAGCCAAAAAAAAAAAAAATTAGAACAGTATTTTTTGGAAATTTAATAGAAAATAAAAGGAAATAATGGGACATTAAAGGACTAGAACCTTGGAATGGTGGCCACTATGCAGGACTACAATGGTGAGAAAATGGTGTCTTAATTCCTCACCATTCGTACACAAAAGAGATAAGTAGAAAAAGGCATGTCAATAAATTCTGGCCCGTTTGTTTATGTGGTAGCCGGTAGGCCGTATGTGCAAAATATCCAAGATTTTGTCACCAAAAAAATAGGATATCAAGAGTTTACGATAATAAAAAAAAACAGTAAGGATATTTTTAGTTTTGAATTTAGGACATCTCGATACTATTTAGATAACTTTTCTATGAGAAATTGAGAACTAATATTTTGATATATGATATAGCAAGTAGAATTAATATGTGGTATGTTTTTCATAATTTAGCAAAAAGTTTATAAAGTTTAGTTTAAGTTTATGCCAAACAAAATTATTTCAAAAATATATTAATATATTTAGTTGTGTCATATGGTTTCGCATTATAGTTCATTAGTTCTATTGTGCCATATATTGGGCAGCCCTCTATCGTCGGTTAAGTTTTAAAATCTTGGATTTGCATCGGTTTAAGAATGAACTCGTTGATCACTCACATGAATCCCGGTTTTAATTGAAAATCAAATAGAATATTTAATAGATCTTTATTCATATTATCATATTCTCCAAATACATGAAGTCAAGGATTATTAAGGCACCATAACATTAAATATTTTTGGTCAAGTTTAACAAACATATTAGCTTAACAGTTGTAAGCGCAAGTGCAAATTTGGTTTTTATTTCCGGTACAAACGCCATTCCCGTTGTACTTTTGAAAACAAAGTGGTATGCATTCTTGAAAAGTGCATGGCTTGCTAAGCTTCACGTCCACAACACATCTTTTTATATTCGCTCCCTCTGCATTTGGCAAAGCCAAAAAAACTAAAAACAAATAAAATGTATCAAAATATTTACAAATGACTATAAGTATATTAATTAAACGAACGAGCATATATATATATTTGAAAATGATTAGGTCAAAAGTATCTAAACATATAACTCTATATATATGTGATGGTAATTGGTATAGTATTTAGACGCCAAGTGATTATCGCATAACTAGTCATCTATATATATCTAATCCGTAAGTCACACTCATCTTTGTCCTATATGTTTCAGTAGTTTTTCCTAAAAAGACCGAAGAACGAGACCCGACTCTGCTTAATGAGCTAGATGCATCGATTTGAGTTTAATAACATGTTTAATGATATAAAAGACGGAAAAATTTGTACCTGAGAGAACAAACATGGAGATGAATAGATACGAACATAATAGTTTAGCCATGAATTTCTGAAAATTAAGAAGATAGTGTTAATCTAATACTTGTTTGTTTGAAGAAACTTTTTGATATTGAAAATGGTATAGAGAAATGACCTTTTTATAGACTGTGAAAAATGGTACATGATATATAATAACTCTTTATAGGAAACATATATACAAAATTATGAAGACTTTGACCAAAAAATAAATAAAAAAGAAGAAAATCAAAAGAATGAATATAGTAAAAGTTCTACATTTTAAAGAAAAAAAATACAGTCATCATATATTATCAGTTTGTATGATTATATATTTTTTTATTGTAAATGTGAAAAAAAAATCTATTCATTTGTTGGAAACAAATCCATTCATTTTCCTTTCATTATTTTCCTTTTTAGCAATAAATCGATTATATAATCATGATTGGTATACAAATCCAGTATAAACTCTATATATAAATAATATTGGGACTATCATATTCTTTCAATTTATAGTGAATATAGTGATATTATCAATAAATGAATATTTATTAGTTTATAGAGATATTTTCAGTGTTTAATTTTAGAAAAATATAAAACCGAGACAAAAAAACTTTTTAAATGAAATTAGTGTTATGAATGTTTGAAATTATGTAATTTGGGATTTGATATTTAAAAAAACTCTTTCGACAATAAATTATATATATTAATTTACTTATATAAATCGTACATATAAATTCAAATATATATATTATTGACCTCTGATGTTATATTTTAACAACATATAAGACCATCAAAATGAAATATAATTATGCATAAATTTACGGAAAATTTTGGTTACTTTTATTACGTGGTTACAGAGTAAACTACAATACTATAATTTTAAAAGACAAAATAGTTAGTTTATACAATAAACGTTAGAGATGTGATCTAACGAAATTTTAATTTTTATATTGTTAGAATATCCTCATTGAAAGTTGGGACATTTCTAGACTACTATATAAGGTTTACGGATTTCTCCACACATTGTCAATTAATTTTGAATTAGAATCTCATGGTTTTTAATATGCAAATAATTGATTCAAAGTTTCGCTTTTGTGGACTTGAAAGATGCAAATAATTAATTGGGAGTTTGAGACGAGGATAACATGGAGTAAGTGGCACTGCCTTCTCTTTGAACTTATATATGCACGTGTATTTATTTCCAATTTTCAGTGGTTCATATGATTTACCACCTTTAAAATACCCATAAAATCCAAATTAACCTATTATAATACATAAATATAATTTGGAAATCTCCTAAAGCTAACGAAATAATTAAAAAATCAGGGAGTAGTGTTAATCTATAGATATGTTGATAAATAGGTAGAAAACACAATATTTTTGCTATAAAATGTTAAGAGAATCATGGAATAATGTTAATCTAATAATTATCTGTTGGCCTTTGAATACAATTTTGAAGTACGAACATGGATAAAGAATCATGGGGTAATGTTAATCTAATAATTATTTGCTGGAACTTTAAATACACTTTTTATGGTATGAAAATGGATAGAGAATCATGAGATAATGTTAATGTAATAATTTTTTGTTTGAACTTTGAATACATATTCTAAGTATGGAAATGGTGTATCTATGTATTACACATGAAAGAACCACATGGAAAAGAAAAAAAAAATTCTGTGAATTAAGTTAATTGCTATTATTTTAACATGTTGAGAAGGTGCATATAGTAATCAATTTAGTCAATCCTACATTTTTTAACATTCATTCACTTTCCTTTTATTTTTATATCTGCTTAGATGTTTTTATTAGGTGAATAATAAAGAAAAATATATACACACAAGCATTACATAACAATAAAACAAAGAAAATATCATCTCTAATTTACAAAACATTAGAAGCTCTCTTTGTTGTGATATATTGATCATGGCCAAAATATCATGTTCTTATTTCTTCATACTCATGTTTGTGTTCTCAGGTAATTTCATGTTTTCCACTTCCAAACATTAAAAAATAATGTTCATTTTTACATTACATAAAATATCTAAACGTATATATATATATATATATATATATATATATATATATAGTTTCATATCATAACATATGATATTTTTCTTTTTCAGCTTTTGTATTGGTTGAGAAGGTTAAGGGAGATGAACGTTGTACTATAATCATTCATCCAGGATCTCCATGTGACCCTCCTGATTGTCGTCTATACTGTTTTGCGGAATACAATGGAGTTGGAGAATGTATTGCATCCAAACCTGGTAGAACTGCTAATTGTATGTGTGTACTTATAATTGTTAAAGAGACAAATTCTAAATAATATCCTTAATCTATATGAATAAAAATAATTAGAAGTTTTTCGGCCCTTCTCGTGATTGGATAATTATTATTGGAAAAATTCTGAAGATTTCAGTTACCTTGTTGTCAATTTTAGAAAACTATATAATCAGCCAAACGTATATAATTGCATCGACGTTGATGTTTTGCATCGAAATCACGTGGAGTTAGTAAGACAACGTTGTAACCACTATATATTCAGGGCCAATCTCGTTCTTCCATCTTGCACTAAACAATAATTAAGAAAGCCTCTCCAAAATGACGTTTTCTCGTAGCAGCTCGATTTCCTTCTTCATCCTTGCTTTATTGGGCGTCTTAATTAATCCGGCGTTCTCTTCTCGCGTCTCATCCTTCATCAAGCTCCCGAGCTCCGTCGAATCTCGCTCTTCCGACGTTTCCTACTGCGAGGGCTGGAGATTGGCTGCCGAGACCAACAATGCCGGAACCTGGAGGGTGGTTCCGTCTCAATGCGAAAACTACGTTAAAAACTATATCAACGGAGGCCAGTTCGACAAAGATTACGATGTACTCGCTAGTTACGCCATCGCCTACGCTAAAACGATCAATCTTTCCGGCAAAGATAAGGACGCGTGGGTCTTTGACATCGATGAGACGCTTCTCTCGAATCTTGAGTACTACAAGGCTCATGGTTACGGGTAATGCCCGTGCACACTCTATTACTACTAGCCCTTGGATTTTGTTTTATTATATCAACTTTCATAATGATTGTTTGACTAACTTCATTGACTATTAAATCGGGAGAGTTGTGGATTCAGATCTGGTTTCTTGGTTTAAGATTTTTGGTGCTATTTTTTTTTGTAGCGTGCTGATCGGTTTGAGTGATTTGGTTATGGTGGATTTAGGTCTGAACCGTACGACAATACTTTGTTCAATGATTGGGTGGTAAAAGGAAAAGCCCCAGGTTTTGATGCGAGCTTGAGGCTCTACAAAGCTCTCAAGAAACTTGGTTTCACTATCATTCTCCTAACCGGCCGAGATGAAAGTCAAAGGAGTATCACCGAGAAAAATCTCCGCGACGCCGGTTATTTCGGTTGGAACCGACTCCTCTTAAGGTAAAGCTATGCCAAAATATTTCTTTTGTTTTGGTCTGGAGTAACTTATCTAGCTCAGTAAAGTTGAAATCCTAACCCATTATCATATACAAAACTGAGATTTATCTAGAGGCGGATCGGTTACAGACTTACAGCTATGATTGTAGATTAACTAAAATTAAAAGAAACACAACTGAAAAAAGACAAAAAAAAAATAGAAACAAAATAATGGGTTGCGTGTGATTACTAACAGAACTCCGAATAATATTCGAAAGAAGATTTAAACAATAATATTTGAAAGACTAAGTTTTTCCTATACAATATTAGATCTAAAGAATAATATTAGAAAGACTAAAGTTTAAAAGAATGAGATTAGAAAAACTGAATATTTGACTTCAAAAAATTAAGTGATTATAAAATCTCAAGGCTCTAAATAGTATTCCACCAATCATTTAGCCATCTAAACTAAACTTATGAACCGGTACATGTGGTAAAATACTAAGTTTGTTGTTTTGGTTAATGGAATTGATGCAGGGGTCATGAAGATCAAGGAAAAGCAGCAACACAGTACAAATCAGAGCAGAGAGCAAAAGTGGTTAAAGAAGGCTACACAATCCATGGAAGTGCTGGCGATCAATGGAGTGACTTGCACGGTTTTGCCGTGGCCACTCGTTCCTTCAAAGTCCCAAATCCGATGTACTATATTGCTTGATCCTCTACTATATATTAATATGTTGCATGAGTTTGAGGTTTTATGTATGAAGAAGAATTTATGAATTTATTTCGTAATTCATTGAATAATGTACCACGTTCTATCTTTAGTACGATTTATGCTTCAACGGTTTAAATTTCTATGGATAAGGAGTATTAATCAAAATTGGTTAGTAATTAAGGGATCCCAATTATTAATAAGCTTAAATGTATATGTCTAGTATAGTGTCTAGATTCATTTAGTCATTGTACATTGCTACAGTTTTAAACCAGTCTAATTGCTTTTCTGTTTCTGTTCCGGTTAAGGGTTCTGGTCGATCAAAGGTCGAGTCTGTATATAAATAAGGGATTTTGGTCTAATGTGTCATTCACTGTAGCAAAACTTATACAAATTGCCACAAAAAGTTTTCCTTTCTCAATGTGCCATTTCTCTACTTTATGGCAGGCAGACAAAGACGAAAATGCCCTCAGACAAAAATATCTAAATATCAGATATTTGGTGGACAAAACTTTGAAACAACATATTTCAAAAAATTTTGGTAGATAAAAAATATTATACACATTTGAAATAACAGATTGGGATGATATTTGGTGGACAAAAAATATTGTCCACATTTGAAACAATAGACTTCAAAAAAATTTGGTGGACAAGAATTCGAAACGGCACACTTCAAAAATTTTGGTAGACAAGAAATGTTGTCCATATTTGAAACATAGATTGAGAAGATATTTGGAGGACAACCAATATTATTCACATTTAAAACAAACAAACTTCAAAGAAATATGGTTGACAAAAATTTGAAACAGCATACTTCGAAAATTTTGGTAGACAAGAAATGTTGTCCACATTTGAAACAATAGATTGAGAATATATCTGGAGGACAATAAATATTGTCCACATTTGAAACAAACAGACTTCAAAGAAATTTGGTGGACAAGAATTGGAAACGGCATACTTCAAAAATTTTGGTAGACAAGAAATGTTGTCCACATGTATCTTCTTCTTTCTCAGATTTAGATTCGCTCCCACTTTCCAAACCAGATTCAGACCCAGATTTTTTATCTCGCTAAATCGCCAACGATGTATTCCTAGATCGAAAACGTGATGAACTCTTATATCTAGGGAGATTGAGCTTCATTTTTTAGAAGAAAGAGAAAGAGAGAGAGATGAGAGAGAAATGAGAAGAATGGAGATTGAACCAAAAAGCTTTCTCTCTAAAGGATAAATTGGACTTTGCAAGTTGGGTTAGAAATTAGATTGTGACACAATTGAAAAGGATTTGTGGGCTGTCGCAATTTTGGTAAGAAATGCTACAGTGTGTGGCACTTTTCTTAGATTTCTCTATAAATAAACTGCATGTACATTTTTCTTAATTAATTAATGTGTATGAGATATTTAGGTATTCTCCTCGCGGCCTTTCAATTTTGTTCTTCGCCTCCCCAATACTATTTTCAAATCCTAAAACCATACAAAATTTACAGCAAATGGTAGACATTTTCGATGAAAATGACGATAAGTATATGCATGTTTGAAAACACGGCCAAAGTGACCGCATCTGATTAGCGCGCGGTGAGTGATGTCAATTTGATCAATAGTTTATAGTTTATATATGATTGATCATTAAAATATGGTTATTATAATTTCTGAAAATGTTTTGAATTGACCTCTATTATTACCAAATCAAATCCTGCCAGTGAGGACGTTGTAGTTCTCAATAAAAATCATGTGGGTGTAATAAGACAAATTTTACATTTATTTTAAATTCGCGGCCAATCTTCTTTTTCCATCCAATAGTTGAAAAGAAAGAGCCTCTCGAATGACGTTTTCTCGTAGCAGCTCGATTACGTTCTTCATTCTAGCTTTATTCGCCGTCTTAATTAATCCGGCGATCTCTTCTCGCGCCTCGTCCTTCACCAAGCCGCCTCTTTCTTCTATCGCTTCATACTGCGAGAGTTGGAGATTAGCCGCCGAGACCAACAATGCTGGAACTTGGAAGGTGGTTCCGTCCCAATGCGAAAACTACGTTAAAAACTATATCAGCGAAGGGCAGTTCGACAAAGATTACGATCTAGTTGCTAGTTACGCTATCGCCTACGCTAAAACGGTCAAGCTTGGCCGAGACGGCAAGGACGCGTGGGTCTTTGACATCGATGAGACGCTTCTCTCCAATATTGAGTACTACAAGGCTCATGGTTACGGGTAATGCTCTCTCATGTTAATACTGAGTATTAATAATATGATTGTTTGACTAACTTCGTTGACCAACAAACCGGGAGATTTGTGGATTCAGATCTGGTTCTCGGTTTGAGTTTTCTTTTGTGCTATTTTTCGCTATTATACCGATCGGATCGAGTGATTTGTTTATGGTGGATTTAGGTCTCAACCTTATGATAATACTCTATTCAATGAGTGGGTGGTAAAAGGAACAGCCCCAGGGTTTGATGCGAGCTTGAGACTCTACAAAGCCCTCAAGAAACTTGGTTTCACTATCATTTTACTAACCGGCCGAGATGAAAGTCAGAGAAGTATAACCGAGAAAAATCTTCGGGACGCCGGTTATTTCGGTTGGAACCGACTCCTCTTGAGGTAAAAAGCTATACCAAAATATTTCTCTTGTTTTTGGTCTAAAACTCTAGGAGGACTTGAGTAGATTTGAAATCCTAAACCATTATCAAAATAAAGAAATACCTCCAGCTAAAGATTAATTTAGCCATCTCTAAACTTATGAACTGATATATATAAAAAAAAAAAAAAACATGATTTGGGTTAATGTGATAAATGCAGGGGTAAAAATGATCAAGGGAAAGCAGCAACATTGTACAAATCAGAGCAAAGATCAAAAGTGGTTAAAGAAGGCTACACAATCCATGGAAATACCGGCGATCAATGGAGTGACTTGCAAGGTTTTGCCGTGGCAGCTCGTTCTTTCAAAGTTCCTAATCCCATGTACTATATTCCTTGATCATCTGCCATTGATATGTTGCATGATAATTTCGCATTTATGTATGAATAAGAATTTATGAATGTATTCCATAATTCACCAAATGTAGCCATTCTTAATGTACCACGTCCTATTTTTACTAGGATCCATGCGTCAATGACTCAATGCTATGTAAGAAAAGGGGACTGATTAACCAAATAATTCTGATCATAATTGTCAAACAAAATCCCGATAATGATTAGATAGTACTCCAATCCAAGTTATTTGATCAACATATGTAATTGACAAAAATAATTCTACTAACTAATTAACTAATTAAAGTTTTTGCCTTTTTGGTTTGAAACGATAACCATCCAATGAATGGGAGACAGATCATTATCTCTTTCTCTAAATCTCTCCAATGGCGTCTCTTCGCAGCCTTTCGATTTGGTTCTTCTTCTTCTTCGTCTTCTTAATCAATCCCTCCATTTCTATTCGCACTTCCTTCATCAAGCTCCCCACAAGCGACGGATCTCGTTACTGCGACAGCTGGAGATTAGCCGCCGAGACCAACAACGCCGGAACTTGGGATGTGATTCCGTCAATTTGCGTGGATTCCGTCGCCGAGTATCTCAACGGAGATCAGTTCCGATCAGATTACGATGTCATCGCCGATTATGCGCTCGCGTTCGCGAAATCGGTTGAAATCTCCGGCGACGGTAAGGACGTGTGGATCTTCGATATCGACGAGACGCTTCTCACGAATATTGACTACTACAAGGCTCATGGTTACGGGTATGTTCTTTCTATTATTAGCCGTTGGATTTTGTTTTATCTATAGTTGTGATTTATCAACGGTGGACGATGATTGTTTTGACTTTACTTCGTTGACCCTCGTACTAAACCGGAATCTTATTGTGTAATGCGGTCTCTAGGTTTAAGAATTGCGAATTTAGATCCGGTTCTAGGTTTAAGATTTCCGGTTCTGTTGTAATTGCTGCATTTTTTCTAGCGTACCGATCGGTTAGATTGATTTATTTTTTTCCGAATGATTTTAGGTCTGAACCGTATGACAATAATAGTTTTAGTGAGTGGGTGGAACAAGGAACAGCTCCAGCTTTTGATGCGAGCTTGAGACTGTACAATGCTCTAAAGAAATTTGGTTTCACTATCATTTTGCTAACCGGTCGGGACGAGGATCAAAGGAGTTCCACCGAGACAAATCTCCGCGATGCCGGTTATTCCGGTTGGGAACGTCTCCTCTTGAGGTAAACACATAAAGATCAGAAGACTTAACCGAATTCGGTATATCTCAAATCCCAAAACATTACCATACCAAATCGGTATATACCTAAGCTAAACATCTGAATGCAGAGGTCCAAATGATCAAGGGAAATCAGCTACAAATTACAAATCCGAGCAGCGATCGAAACTGATTCAGGAAGGTTTCAAAATCCGTGGCAATTCCGGCGATCAATGGAGCGATCTTCTAGGTTTTGCCGTGGCTGATCGGTCTTTCAAAGTCCCAAATCCCATGTACTACATTCCTTGATCACACATTTCTTATTTATGTATTGAGTAACAACTTATGTGTTTTAGAGATTAATATCATGTTTGCTCCTAGATTACATTTATTTTTAGTATAAACAATAACTAATACTTTCATATAATGTAAAATTATATTTGTTCGGTATTTTCCATAACTACAACCGGAGAAAAGCTTAGAAGAAGCTCATCTTCTACTACCTTAACCATCTCTCTTTGAGGAAGACTGACCATAACCACTCGGCTCATTGGTCCCTTACCGGGCAGTGAGGGAAGCACTATGACCTGTCCACCTCCAGCTACAGGCCCTTTTACATAGCAAGACAAGTGGCTCAGAACCAAATCCTCCTCGAACATCATCGGACGTGAATGAGACATGTTCTCTAAATTAGTACACACGAGATCAGAGCCATTAGATATCGCACCGTTATTGCTACTCAGCCATTCGATCAAGTCCATGACCGTGTCGTAGTCTAGTTTCTTGGTTATGTTCTCAATCTCTTGAACAGCGTGAAATAACAATTTATCTTTGGTTTTAACTGGTTTGGAATAGGGAACCTTGTGATAAACCATGCAATTGCCAAAATAACCTTGGTCTAAACGCAATAATTTCCTAACGTCTAAGCACAAGGACATGTCCATGAGCTCGTTTCTCTTTCCTTTGGCTCGACTCACACAGACCCAAAAGAGTCCAGCCAAAATCTCAAATGTCGAAATCCTTGGCTCATTCTCGCCGGCTCTGACCAGGGGATCCGGGAATAGAAAAGTAACAGTGACCATATGGTCCTCGGTCACGTTTGATGGTGAAGCCGTTAGAGTGCAAGATTTGATGTAATGACTAAGCAGTTGGTTGTTAGAGATTAGTTTATGGTTGGCAAACCGGCGAGGCGGCAGCGGGTGGAATAGTGGAGGAGCCATCATGGATCGAGACAGAGTTAGATCTGCCCAAGCTCGAATAAACATCATTGCACAAACTGGATCCGCTAAGAGATGGCTACAGCTTAACCCAATAGCTAACCCACCACTTTCAAACTCAGTCACCTGTAGATAAATAGAAACCAAAAAAATAAGACAAACCATATCGTACTAAACCAAACCAGAATAAACCGAATTATATATACCTGAACACAAAAGGTAGACCAATAATAATGAAGATGATACATGCCTTCCCAATGAACAAGCTTGAGTTCTTCCTCTCTATTTACATTCCTAAGCCATTCTTCAACCGACCCGGTTGCTCTCGCCTCCACCATCCTCATGCCAGCGTCGTTGCTCTTCACCTTCCACCGTCGGCTTACATCCTCCTGCTCTTCCGAACCATCATTTTCCCTAACCAATCTCCCGGTTACAATCGGATAACAATTGAGTGTGTATGCTAATGACTCCCTTAATTTTTTTGTGATTTCTCCCGGTTCTCTAGTCTTCAAAGACCGGTAATAGTACACTAGACGAATGTGGTTTGGTTCCATGACGTGGTCCAATACTGAAAACCGGTATAATCGCCCTGGTTCAATCGATCTAGTGCTGACCACGGTTCTTTTGCATATGAATCTCACGCGGTCCTCCTCCATCATTGTCTTCTCTTTAGCAATCAAATTTTGTTTTGTTTTATTCTTTGGTTAGAATCCAATTTCGATGTGCTTATACATTAATGTACACAATATATATAGTATGTGCATTAGTTGGTGTTTTATTTTGCATATATATATTCAAGTTTCAACACATACTTTTCCCATGACTACTAAACAACCCACTCCTAAGGGAATGTAAAATTTCCATGGTCCCGTAAAACATGTTTCTGTTATGGTCGGATTCCGAAACAATGTTTAGGTTAAAATAATCTTCTAATTTATGTGTGCACATAATCCACGGCATTACTGGTGATCAATGGAGCAATCTTGTAGGCTTTGCCGTGGCTGATCATTCTTTCAAAGTCCCAAATTCGATGTAGTACATTCCTTGATCACCCATATTTATGTATTGAGTAAACAACTTATGTGTGAGTGTGACTAATCATCTTATTGATTCAATACAAGCTATTTTCCGGTGAAATCCTTATGGTTAAACTTGATACCACACTCCAATCCACTAAGCCAATTATCGATTTTTACAAAATTCTTCTGGTTACAAAAACACATTAGCATGATTTGATTACACAGAAGATGACTTAAACATTTAATTTGGTTACTAATTAAGTCACAAAAAGGATACATCTTTAAGCATAAACCGTTAATAAAAAAGCTTCTAACTTTAAAAAACTTTCATGGAGAAGAAGTGTAGTACTGATTGTTACCCTCTCTCAGTCCCACACTTATCGCAGCACAAGCCAAAGGCTGCGTCGGAATCCTAAAACAGCTCATCGCTCCGCCGGAGTAACCCGAACAATCCGGCTGCGGCCGCTGCAAATTTCTCCCCGGAATACAGTTTCCGACGAAATCAAAGCCGAAACTAATCCTGGAGGAACATTCAGAGCTAAACCCAGAGAAGAAGTTGAAAGCAACAGTGAGATTAATCAAATTCGTCAACGAACAAACCAAATCAGGAACCTCTCCGGAGAATTTGTTGTGAGCAAGATTCAAAATTTCAATCGCCGACAAGCAAGAGATCGTATCTGGAACATGACCCATCAGTGAATTGAAGCTAACGTCAAAGACTTCAATTTCAGAGAACATACCAACAGATTCCGGTATACAACCGGTTAACTGGTTATTCAAAAGCAAAACTTCCTTAACCCTCGATCCCGTGAGGCCAAAACTCGTCGGAATTTCGCCGGAAAATTTGTTATTTGCCAGATTAATCACAGAAGCCGGAGAATTTCCGAGGTTTCTTGGGATTTCTCCGACGAATTGGTTGTTATTGAGGAGAATTGCGTCTAACCGTTTGTTGAATAGCTCTTCAGGGATGAAACCGGAGAAACTATTAAACCGGAGATCGAGGTAAACCAGATTTGGTATGTAGAGTGTGACTAAAGGGAAAGGACCTGAGAGTTTATTGTTGCTTAGATCAAGTTCTTGAAGAGAAGCTAAAGATTTGAAAGAATCTGGGATTTGCCCTGAGAATCTGTTACTGTTGAGATGGAGAATATTGAGGTCTGAGAGTAAAGCTAGGTCTTTGACAAGTGAGCCTTTGAGATTTGCATGGTTAAGATCTATGGAGGTTATAGATTGACCAGAACAGAACACACCTTTGTAAGAACAAACATCTGATCCAACCCATGTCTTAAGAACATTAGATGGATCCTCTGTAATGGCTGATCTCCAAGCTTGAAGAGCATTGTAAGCTACTCTGTTTGGAGCTGATCCTGGAACAGCATTACGGTTACCGCCGTTGTTGTATCCGCCGCCAATCCAAACACCACCGCCACCGCCACCACCGCCGATTCCAACTCCAACGCCGCCTCCTACTCCAAAAGAAGCATCTATCTGAATCAAACCAGTCAAAAACAGGAAGAAACAGAGAAGCTTAAAGTTGCTGCCTTTCTTCTTCTTAGACATTTTTCTCCTCCTTCAAAGTAGCTTTTTTTTTAAGAGTTGACACTTAAGGAAAGAGAATGAATAGTGATTGTTTCAGTGGATTAATGAGGTTTGTGTGAATGTGTGTGTGTGAGTGAGAGAGAGTGTGTGAGATTATGAAAAACAGAGTGGATGTGGTTGAAGAAGCATTGATGATATGAGAGGGAGGGGACAAGATTATCAAAAAGAGTTCTTATTTGTTCCTTGTGTAGTTATGTCACATTTGCCTTTGTTTTGCTAAGTTTTACTGTTTATGTTCAACTTAGACTATACACAATGGTACAATCTTTGGTTGGATGTGAGTAATATAAAAAGAGAAAAAATAGAAAAATTGTGTAAAAGTTGTATGTTGGGTATAAGTTTATACTTGGGTGTGAGTATTAAAATAAAGAGAAATATTGCACTCTCTCTATCTCCCTCTATCCTCTTCTTTTTCTCTTTTTTCTCTCTCTTTAATTATAATAATAAAAAATTATTCACACCCAAACTCATATATGTGCCATTGTGTATGCTCTTATGATTGCATGAATCATATCACGGGTTCATCTTCTTTTGCCTTTTGTTTCCACTTTTATTATTTCAATGCATTTTAGTGTAAAATATTGAATCACATGTTTTGAAAAACTCTTACATATGTCATTTGAATGGATGCACTAGTTTTGATTTCATTCTTGATAAGTTAACTAATAATGGTTTTAAGTTGCACCTACTAAACAAGTTATAATTGACTGTGAATCTTTTAGACAGAAGTAATCAAGAATGTAATAATAAATGAAAAAATAAAATGAACAGAATCTAGATGAGGCTATAAATAAGAAAAGGCATATAGCTTGTGACTGTGAATATGGTGTTGTTGACTTGTGTGGGAGAAAGAGATTTTGGGAGTGTGAGAATTTTTTTAACTGCGTCACGTGGAATGGCACAAATGTATTTGTGTCTCCATTTAAACAATTTTATTTAATATGTAGCTGCATTTAATCCAAATGTTTTTCATGCAATTATTGAGAGGAAAGCTTATAGTATACTCCAACAATAAATTACTTTACTTGATCTAGCTAAACAACAAAATTTATAGATTTCCAAGCATTCACTATAAAACAAAAACACCATGGTATTGACAACGAAATAAATTTCTTTGTATTTTGATATTATCAGTCTTAAAAATACCAATTGCTCTACTATTTTCTTATATAAGTTAAGTTGAGCAGTTTAAAGATGATGGATATGCTAGAAGGTAGTTTTCAATACTATATGGATGGAGACAAAATATGAAAAATAGTTAGTGGTGATTTGCAGGATTTTAATAGATAAGGCTTACCATTTTTCGAAATAACGTACCAACCATTAAAAGAGCATGAGATCCGTACCAAAAATGGACATGAGGGTTTTTGTTCAACCTTTAGGCAAGAACATACCCACAAACTAAATGTTGTTCTAGTTAGATTCAATTTTGATTTCAGTTTAAAGACCTTGCCGTACTGGAAAAATAACCTGACCCAAAGACAAATGATAATCACGCTATTGGCAAGTGGCAACCACATGCTGACGACATGCATACTTAACTAGTTAACTCAATTGCAAGTAGGCCTATAATGGGCTCTTTAAGCCCAGTTCCTAAGAAGCCTAGGTGCTAGTTGTTGCCTTCTTTGGTAGTATTCCTTTGGAAACGATCAAGTTAATTTGAATACTTGGTACTAAAACGAAATAATTATGTCAATTTTCTGAAGGACACAACGACCGGTGGTTTTTGTATTCAAAAACTAGATGTTTTATTCTCTCTTTTTTTTGGGCAACAACTAGTAATTAACTTATTAGATACATATTTTAAACTACAAATTGCATGTTAGTTTTTTTAGAAACTTAGGCCATGAATGTTTTGGGGTTTTTGAGTGGTTTTTAGATTATTGATTTTGGTTTATACTTATAGATTTTAGATTTTGATTTTTCGTTTTTGGATTTTGCAAAAGATAAAAAAATAGAAAAAGAAACAAATGGAAAACAAAAAAAAGTTTGAATCCACGGCAAACATTTTAAAAACTAACAAAAATGGGTTTTTGGGATTTGTGAAGAAAATTGTAAAAACTGTCAAAATCTAGATTCCTTATTTTTTAGGAAAACCATTTTTCTCATAATCTTGAATGGATGATTTAATGGTTTTTAAAAATCAAAAACCAAAAACCATGCTAAAAACTACTACCCACCATTCAAGGCCTTACTTATATAGTCAACTGATTTCTACTAGTGTGGTCGATTCACCATCCGATTGAAACCCGCAAATTGTTAACAACACTTCAAAAATTATCATTTAGTTAAATAAATTGATTCCTTATCTGCTAAATTAACTCTTTGTATAGTAATGATGGAGTCCACATAAAAAAAAAACAAGCATAAAGGGAGATAAATTGATTCTTGGAGTCTATATAAAGACGGACAATGCAATTTCCTTACTTAAATATATTTATATGTATATAAAAGTACAAAACATAATATGAAATTTGAATATTGGTACGTTAAAAAAAAAGATTTCAAGGAATATAATATGAGTTCAACATATGAAATGGGAAATCGAATCCATTTGTCGAAAGAGAAAAATAAAATCATTAAAAAGAAAGAAATAAGCAATAAAGGTAAATATTGTCTGTTTATTTCTTTATTTCAGTTTCGAAATCTAACCATAGCAAAAAAAAAAAAAAAAGGTCAAGTCTCATCTCCGGCCTCTCTCCCCATGTTGATTTTGCTTTTTCCTCTCCCAATGTCCCATGAACACAAATAAGCCTAGAGAATTAAACTACTTAACCGAATATCTTGGATCTATATTGATAATTTGCTATCTTAATTTTGCGGTAGCCAAAATTTTACATCAAGTTATTTCTGATATAAAATATATAATAGCTAAACCAACATGAATTTTTATTGATCACATACCATTTTTTCACCAGATAATTTTGTCAACTAAGAAAGTTAATCGAAATTTATAAAAGAAATTTTGTTTATGGAATAAGCACTTTATTAAAATTTTGAAATTGTTAACACATTGAAAAATCACTATATACTTTGGATATAATCATCATATAAATATCTAACGATGAGTTAGGCCGTTATAGGGGTCATTTGATAATATGCTAGAAGACGAGTGGAATAAGGAATATATATAGAGAACAAATCATCAAAGAAGGTTTGAATGTGATATACACATATACGTAATCTATTATATATATGTGTATATATAGAAATATTTTATGGACAAACTTAAAGACTAAAGAGACCAAGCATAAACATAGATAAGTGCTTTTTAAGATGACATTACTTCTTATATTCTTTAGGTATAGATTCCATTATTCAACAACTCAAAAAAAAATAAAAAAAAATCGAACAGGAATCAATTTTTAGTTCACTTGGTATAGTTCCCTCCTCTCTTGTTTCAAACCAATCAAAACTCACTTAATCAAAATGTACTCTTACTTATAGTTATACGGTTTTTAAAGAAAGTCATTTCAGTTTAATTTCCAACATATTAGAAGTCTTTTTTTAACATTATACATCATTCCACGGAATTTACAATAACTTCTTTTCAACATTTTTAAACCTTACTAAAAGTCTTCTAATTAAATTCCTAACAATGTACTGATATAGACTAGTAGCCACTAATATACAGATCAAACTAAATCTGAAGGTTTTATGATACTGAACTGTAGCTTCTGCTACTAGACCATTAAGATCATGAAAGCTCGAAAAAAAACTAGTAAGACCATGGCACATGTATGGTAGTATTGAGTGAAAGGTTCGGCCATAATACTCTTAAACATAAAATTTGAAACTAATTTTAGATGATTCCACAATCAAACCAGCCTTTTGTAAATATATCAGATTTCAAATGACACTTGGGTTTCAGTGCATTGGATAACCAAAGGTATAACAAGCAAATAATACTAGCTAGTATTATATACCAACATATATATTAAACAAAAAAAAAAACAATAAATTATACAATTCATATATCCTAATTAACAAAAACAAAGAAATCGAACAACAAAAGAAATGAATTTAAAATAACATGTAATAAACATACTTATATCTAATTTTATATGGACTGTTGATGATTTTCATGCAATTTTCCTTGCTTTTTTTCTTCTTAGTCTCTTTGGAATATAACAGCTTTTTCTCTCATGCTTTATCCTTTCTTTTTTTTTCCTTTTTTTTTATATATCAAAATCCTTTTGAACTATATAACAAAAAAAGGCACTTGATCTTTGGTGCTGCTTAAAAAACCCTCCACCATTGCTTGGTCCAAAATCGAACTATATGCCACTTTCCATGGAGATGCCATGATGATGATGACTATGAGAGCATCATGATAGGTATGATAGTACCATCTTTTTGTGATGTGGGTCGACATGATCATCAGACTGGAAAATGGCACAATTACCCATGATGATCTTGGTTGTCAGAAGAGTCAGGGGCTGGCCAAAACGTTGAGTACTTCAACCATTCTGCTTCTTGTTGGTTCCCCACTGATGATGACCCCTGCACCAATCCAAATCGCTTCTCAATATATACATACATACTTACGCACACATATACCAACCCAAAAAAGCATATAGCTGACCTAAGTCAATCACATTTGGTTTGGTTAGAAACTAACTGAAACTGAACTAACTTATACTTCATCCGTTTCAAAATATAAGACGTTTTGAGGTATTATTTTTATTTCAAAATGTAAAACGTTTTCAAATTTCTATGCAAATTATATATTAATTTAATATTTTCTAATTATTTATATTATGCAGTCTCATTCATGATTGAGATATTTTTTGAAAGTAAATATTTATTAATCTGCGTGTTTTTAACTAAAACGTCTTATAATTTAAAACAGAGAGAGTATAACCAACCAAAAATGCCATGTTAGCATTCCACAAATAGGGCATATATTATGGTTGCCTGTTATATATATATATATATATATATATTTTACATTTTAAAATGATTTATAAAACTAAAATAATAAGAACATTCCATCAAATTTAAGACAGATTAAAAAAAAAAGGAATGCAGACATGCTGTCCCCCACGAAAACACAATGAAATCTACTAATGTCTCTTACCGAACTTGTCTCGCGAGGTACTACGCATGAAAAAAGACTTTAAAGTATATACATATATACACACATTATATTACATATAAACATAAGTTTATATATATCAACTATTATTGCCTTTTAAATTAGTTATAAAAATGGTTTGAAAAAAGAAAAAAAAAAGGAGAAGAAAAGAATCTGAGAAATTTTCTTTTGTTCTTTAATTAAAAGAGTAATTTATAGGTAAAAAGCAAACTATAATTAACAAAAGTAAACGCATCTCTCTTTCTTTATCTTTTCTGGTTTTGTTTACTTAACATTGTTTTAACTCTTTCCAACTAAGTAAAGAATAAGCGCAGAAGGAATATATGAGTCTTAAGTATCATTCCCATGCAAAACTGAAAAAGAAAAACTATATATTAAAAAAGAAAAAGTTTTTCTTAAAAATATTCTTTACTTTTATTCAAATGTAACTTACATTGTACTATCTTCGACCCTTACAGAAAAATATTATTATCTTAAAACATTTATTTATAATTTCGATTTTAGTCTCTTTCTCTTGTATATACAATATATAGTTCTGAATCTACGTGTTGATGGTGAAAATGATCATATGTCTAATATCTATACTCGTAAATTATTTTTTTGAAAATAATGATGGTGAAAAAGTGAAATTTTCCCATGAAATTAAGAGTCAAAAAAGGGATTAATAACTTACATCTTTTACATCATGATGAGTGGTAGAAGAAGTGCAGCCCATTATGAGTTCTTCCAATCCAGAAGCTGACCTTCCTCCCATCTTCCCATCATTATGTTCTTCATCTCCATCTTGACGTTGTTGCTGTTGTGTCTTGTTCAGTCAATAAAGACAAAAGTAATCTCAGGAAATTTTTTTATTTAATTCCTTAAGAAAATGATCTTAAAACATTAAAATTAATCATCTTGTCTCTCCATGACCAAAGACCACATTGGTTTCCTACTTGTTCTTAGTTTGGCTGACACTAAAAAGTGACTTAGCTTTTGTTGGCTTTGGATAATGGATATTAGTTAGACACATCTTACTAGACTAATTCAGCATAATTATATATTAGACATTGTAACTTTAGTTGTCTTTTTTTTTTTGACCTATATCTTATATATACTTTATTTGCCATAATCAATTTTGGTACAACCCAATTTGCATGCCTATGTAGTCCCATCATTGTTAAGTCACATGCATGCAAATATCTTAAAAACCTAACATGTGCAAGAACCACAATTTCTACTACTTAATTAAATACCGACATATATACGTGCCTGTGTGTAGAAGAACACAATAAAAAACTCCAAATAAGTAACAGTAACTGTAATTAGTTACATTACAAATTCACAACCCTAATTGGAATTAAATGTTTTTAAAAAAAAAATTAAATTGAAATATGTTGAGGGCCTTATAAAAGTTTGATAGGTGCATGACTCCCACCCCAATCAATAGTAACATAACGTAATTTTATTTTGATTATTATAGATAAATCACAGTGATATTTCAGCTAACTTGTTCATTTCATGAAACTGTATCCTTCTCCTGAATTAATTAATTATATTAATTAAGAAAAGAAAGGGTGATAAATATATGATATGATAGTAATATTTAATTAGCTATTTTACCTGGTAATTTTCATTGGGGAGCATGATTCTATGAACATGATAAGGATTCTCGTCGAGGATATTAATGGAGGCATGGTGAAGCGAAGTAGATGGAGAAATAATGGTTGATATTGGATGTGTTGGCTGGCTTATGTTGAATGCATGATGCCGTTGTTGTTGTTGATGATGATGATGGCGATGATCATGAGCCATATGATGTGATGCTGATGATGATGCTTGATGACGATGACGATGTTGTTCTGCCATTACATTCTCACATGTAGCGTGCCCGGTCTGAGGAGTTTCCCTCCTCGCCACCTGAAAAGATATAAAATTTTAACTGCTAATTAAAATAATTGATATATATATATATATATACATATACTTTCTTTTTTATATTAAAAATAATTACTTTTATTATTTCATATTTCATTTGAACCGTTGCGGTTTAGACATTGTTTTCTGAGTTTATCACGTCGGGTGAAACTTTAGGTCACATTGTTAGTTAAAAATTGATTATCACCAACCGTTCATTATTATCACGTCGGGTAAATTTATTATTTAAATTCCTTAGGTAACTACATTATAATACGAACAAAAAAAAATCAAAAACTATACAAACAAAATAAGCATTGTTTACTTGCAATGCAAGCCAATATAAGAACCCTAAGCATCATTGTTTCCAGTATTCACCTTTGTTTTACTTAGTCTTATGCGAGAGCGATAGACATAATTAACAGTCAAATTAAAATTGAGTTCAAAATCAAATAAATCATATTGTATTAAAAAAAAATTCCTTGTAGGAAAAAAGGTTGTAATTTGCGTTAGAACTGGTGAAAATTTTGTATTACAATATTTAACCATTTAAATTTAGTACTATATATTAATACATAATACATATCATAGGATCTATTTTTTATTTTCTTTTTGTAATACACTTTTTAGATTCAATTTAAATTTTCTTCAAAATGTGTATTACATTTTTAGTACTTATTACCAGTCAAGTATGCAAATTAATTTAGTTATTTTACTAAACGAAAAAATCAAAATGGAAAAAAAAGGGGTGCATATATACCTCATCAAAGCTTTTCATAAACGGAACAAAGCTGAGTTGATCCATTGCATAACTCGGAAGCCCAGCCGCAACCGCCGCAGCGGCAGCTGCTACGGCCATAACGCCACCACCAACACCGCCTATTTCATCGGACCGATTTGGAGGATTAACATTAATAATCTCTCTAGACGAAGAACAACTCCCACCACTAGTTGTCCCACTATCTCTCCTCATATGATACTCTCCACCGCCTCCGCCGCTACTCGCTTCACCGCCTCCACCACCTAAAGCGTTCAAGCTCGATGTAGAAGACGACCAGTTGCATTGCCTAGGCTGAGTTTGATAAAAGATCTTAGACACAACAAGTTCTCCTTCTTTCTCTTCTTCATGTGTCCCCAAATGATATTGATGCATTACCCAATTGGTTTTCTCCGGTTTTCGATTCTTTCCAAAATTGGTATACAAAACCAAAATCTTCTTACAACCTTTTTGTTTACCGTTTACCATAACCGGCCTTGTCTTACCGGTCTTATGCCACCTCGTCTCACCGGAGCTACTGCTTCCTTGCAGATTATTGTCACATTCCGTTTGAATCTTTCTTCGCTTTCTTGTTCCCGTCGTGTACGCCTTTGATGGTCTATGAAAGAAGTGCCGGCTTAAACCATCTCTAGTCACTCCTATCAAAGTTGAAAAAAGAAAAATGTCTTTGTTGTTAATTTATATGTTTCTTGTGTGACCCAAATTAAAAAGATTCAAACTTTGGTATGACCCAAATGAAAAGGAAAAAAATTCAAAACATTGGTTTGACCCTCCGTTGCTAGTCATTTCAAGCAATCATATATTATAATGAAAGATATGCATGTGTGATTTATAAATAAGAATGCATGAAAAATGAATGATATATATATATATATGTATAGGTTATAAAAAAAGGTATGTATATAGTGTAGTTGTGACCAAAGTATAAGAGATATAAACTTTGGTGGGACTCAACTAAAAAAAAATCAATTTTGGTGTGACACAATGGTCTATATATTATGTATATAGTCTTATCAAACAACCATATAATGAAGATATATCAAGAATGTGATATATGGACTGCATGAAGGTGTGTATGTACCAGGAAGTTTCTCGGGGTGAGTGTAGCAAATGCCGTCTTCGCCTTCAATGGTTGGGATGAATTCGTCAATGAGAGGGTGAGATTTAAAGTCTTTAGCTAAGACTTTCGCTTCTAAATGTTCTATCAATTCTTGATCGGTTGGGTCAAATTTCACTCCTGCTGGTAAACCAACCCAATCCTGCTAAAAAGAGGAAAAAAAAAAAACTTAATTAATATAAAGAAAAAGAACAAGAGAATATAAGTATATACAATTATACATATAAAGACTCGTATATAGACGCTTTAAAATTTGGATTTTGAATTTCTGCAAGCGATAGAATAAAACAGAGAGCATCATTCTTGATGTTCTTCATTGATTCTTTTCCTCTTTTTATTTTATTTTCTTAAAAAAAAAAACATTTACAAATGACCTAAAATGAGAAAAAGAAGGTAGATAAAGAATTTTTTTTTTTCTGTTAATTAAAATAAAATAGAAGGAAAAAGGAATATTACTTACTGGTTTGCCTTCGAGCTTGTGGCCGCAGCTAGGACACTTCTTGGATCCACAAAGTTGATGTTCTTCGATCTTTGCGTCGATTATATCCGAACCAGTCACCGAGCCAGCAGGATTACTCTTGTTCATCTCAATCTCTAATATCTTTGATCAATTTTCTCCTATGCGTCTGCGTGTAGTTGCAAAGATAATAACAAAGCTCTTTCGATCATATCCGAGGGTTGGAGTATTAGAGAGAGAGGGCCAAGAGAGAGGCTACAGAGAGAAGATTTGAATAAACCCTCTATTATTATAGAGAAGAAGCAACTGATTTTGAGGAGACAAGACAAAAGAGGGTTTTTCTTGAAAACCTAACCGACACAAGAAGAAGACAAAGTGAGAATTTATGGGGAAAAAATCCCCAAATTATGCTAAAAGGAACAAACTTGGTCGAGCGGATTAAGATCTTAGACAGTACTGCAAATCAGGAAAAAGAGAGAGAGAGAACAAAGAGGAGAGATAGAGAGAGTTACTAAACGACGAAGAAGAAGGAGGAGAAGAAGAAGAAGAAGAGAAAGTGTGAGAGTTTGGGATGTGAAAGGTATAAATTAATAAAAACATTCGAGAGAATTTTTTTGTTGAGGAAATTATAATATATATATATATATGGTGTATATATGTGTCTATCTCAAACTTTAACTGAAGAAGTAAGCAAGAAAAAGGAAAAGGTGGCTCTGAAACCCATTCACTGACCCACCTTTTATTTTGCCTTTGCTGGTTTAAGAAGCCGCTATGAGTCTTTCAAGCGGTTTGTTTACATTTATCTACAAATTCTACTCTTTTGTATATTCCCAAATTATATATTTATTTATTATTTATGTAGTATAGATATGGATATATATATATATATATATATTTAAGATATGGATATATGCATACGTTTATACATTCTAGCTATCCTTTTCTTTTTTACTGCTCTTTTTCTTTAACTTCTCATTTTAGCTATCCTTAAAACATCGCAAATTCATTACAAATTTAATTTTTATGTAATAGAGTGGAATGAATTCTCTACAAAAAAAAAAAGATACTAAAAAGTTTACCATCTATCTTTATAATTTAATGTGAGTTTCATGCTGGCAAGTATTTAATATTGGAATTTCCATCACTATTAAGTATTAACTATAACAAATATGTAGTCTTCAGATGGTATGTATAAATATGTAAATATATAGTATAAGTAAATTAACTTAAAAACCAAAATAGAAAAATGGATTTTGTGACGTCGGAAAAAAAAATTACATGGGTTTTGTATTCATGGTCTGTATTTATGACATATACAATACTTCACACCATACTACTCTTAACAAGCATTTTTAATTTTTTAAGGATAAACGTTAGTCGCCATCACAACCTCCAGTAACTTCTAGTTAAGGAATTAATCGAGTAAATTTCTGTAGAAGGTTAATAATAAGAACAGAAGAGAATAAACAAAAAAAAAAGTAAAAAGGAAGAAGAGAGAAAAAAAGACGAGAAGGAAGAGAAATCACATGGGCATCGAGCTGGAGGAATTGATCATTATTCTTTTGTTATTCAATTTTCTTCTTTTTTCGTTTTTATTATTTAATTTAATTTCTGCAGAGGAAAAAAAAAAGGAAGTAAGAGGTTGCTTGAGAAGTAAGGCAATTTGAGCAGCGACCCATTATATGGACCACACCATCTCTTATCTTTCTAATTTGTAATATATTTTTCGTATTTTTTTTGTTTTGAAATAAATCATATGTCTCTCGTATTTTATAGAAAAGCGAATATAATTATGAATTTTTATTATTATTTTTATATGGTCTCTTTGGAGATCTGTTTACATCAGCATGAATTATGAAATCATGGCAACTATTCTTTTTTACATATGTTTCAAATCAGACAATGTTTTTGAAGTAATCCTGAAAATATTACATTATTACGCCTATTAAATAATTTTGTGTTCGTTCTTAAAACATATTTATCGTACGCATTATCTATCATACGCTTCATAACAATCTTGAGTATCTTGACTGTGATGATTATAGTTAAAGTTCTATCGTATTATATATCAAGGTAATGTGAATTTTTTTCATCAACTTATTTGAGAAAGAAAAAATAGTCAAAACTACCAAAAGAAAAAAAAATGAACAGAAGAAAATTGTACACTTAAATTTCTAGATTAAGTGTGAGAAAATTAGATTCGTTTTTATATAAACCCTAATGTTAATCGTAAGAAAAAATATTTTTGTTTTAGATTAATTTTTTACTCAAAAAAAAAAGTTGTTTTTTATATAAACGAAACAAAGAATTATGATTAAACTAACCACTTTTTGCTTTCTTGATTGCTGGTCATGCTGCAGTTTAAAATTTCGATTAGAAGCGGTTTAATCTAGAAAGTGGTGTAATAAGCTTATACGGCTCTTATGATGTAGTATGAATTAAGATTAACGTAGCCCCCACAAACTATGGATCCATTCTTGAATTTGAGATCTTTCGATTGGATTGGAGTGTTAGGTCTTGAACTCTCTTTGAACATTTTATATTCTTATGGTCCTGAAATCTAAGATAAACTGCCAAAAAGATACTTCAGCATTTCATGTAACATAAATTAAACTATTCGTTATGATTTGAAAAATCACTAAATCAGTAAATCTTCCTCAATGCTATAAATTTTCTATATTAACTTTTTAGAGCCGTTAGACGTAAGTCACGTAACTATTCAAAAGTAAAATTTGATATTCTCGATCGGGTGTGGAAATATAATTTTCAATATATATATATACATTTTTGAATGACTTTTAGCAAATAAATCCTGGAGTTGGACCTTATTTACGGATGAATGCCATTGGCATTAATTATTTAAATTTGAAAAATATTACTTAAAGATATTACCAATACGATTTCGAGAATCATAAATTCATATCTTCCTTAATTTTTTGAGTCATTAATGTGATAATCTTTAGGAAATATTTCTCTGTAAAAAAAAAAATCCACATTAATGAAGGCATTAAAATCGACACTAACAATTAAATTATTTAGATGTTCAATTATTTTAAGATTCTTATATCTTATTTGATATTTTTTTTTTAATATCTCATTCTTTAATTACTGCGTTTAGAATTTATTGGTTGTTACCTATTTTTTGGTGAAATTTATTGGTTGTTACTTAATAAGTAATTATGGTGCGTTTATTTTAGTTAATATCTAATTTAAAGGATTTGTTTTCTTTTATTATTAATAAATGAATAACATGTATAGAAATAAAAGATTTTTTTGCGACTCCATAATAAAAATATTAAACTCTTATTTTCTACATTTCTTACACATAATATCCTCTTATTCAATAACAAAAAATATATATTACATATTTTTAAAAATATTTATAATATTTAAATTATATAAAAAATTTGTAATATTAATATTATTTCAACTCTATACAAATTTAATATATATGTATATATATCTTATGGGAACCATTCAAAAGAAATTTTTAAATTGACTTGAATTATATAGCTTTTAAATAAAAGTATTATTAAAAAGAAAAATAACTAAATAATGTTTAATTTCACGGGACGGGTAATATGATGGGACGGGTTTGGGTTGATATTTATAAAAGATCGTATATCACGGGTGAAATCCTAAAATTAACAATCAAAATAATCTATCAAATAAATTACATTTTGATTTTTTTAAGAAAATATAGCCCTGCGGTGTACCGCGGGTTAAAATCTAGTGTATATTATGTTTTATTGGTAGATCAAATGTGTAAGAAATTTATGTTAGTATTCTTTAGTGTCACAAAAAGTTCCTAACTAATATTTTTCTTTTTAATAAGCGGGATCGAAATGAAAGGCGTTAAAATAATTTAAGATATAAGTGGTTTCAGCTGGATTGAAAACATGACCACGCAAAAAGAATCTAACAATATTTATAAATGAAATTCATTTCGATTTGTCAAGGTTTGTAACTTTGGCGTCAAGAACTTCAAGTTAAGGATATACAAAAGACATTCTTAATCCTTTAACAAAAAAAAAAAAGACAATGATCTCAATCCCAACGTTAGAAAACCACCAAAGAGAGGCAAACAAATTCATTATATATATATATATATATATATATATATATATATATTTAATCGTGCGTATTTATAGAATACCCATCATAATTATATTATTTCGTATTTAAAATAAAAATTCCAAATATTTAGAGAGTCAAAGAATGAAATCATGGAGGGGCCAAAGACATGTCTTGAATAAAACATATAGATGCTTATGATTGCCTCTTTGTCTGGGTATTATCATATCTTTGCCATAATTTTTGTTTTATGTTTTGTTTAAGTACTCTTTTTTTTTTCTACAATTGAAATCTTTAGAACTTATAGACTCTGAGCTTCGTTTTATCCCATTTCGTATCACAAATTTCTACTAGATCGTATTCAATTTTGACATTTTGGATGCTAAATGTATAGAGATAAGACATAAAAACAAATTAATGGATATTTTTACAGAAAAAATTAACTTCGATCAACTAGATTATTTGTACTCAAAGTGTTAAGTCTCTTGCAGTGGTAAACACATGAAAGATTAGGCCTGGGCTTTCGGTTATCCGTTCGGTTATCGGTTGGGTCCATTCGGTTTTCGGTTCTTTCGGTTCTAAAATTTAGTATCTATTCGGATATTTTGAAATTTCGGTTCGGTTTCGGTTTGGTTTCGGTTCTTTCGGTTTTAAAATTTAGTATCCATTCGGTTATTTTGCTTAGGATATTTTCGGATATTTCGGTTATTTTTAAGTATTTTCGAATATTTTTGGATGTTTTTCGGTTATCTTTGAGTATTTTTACTATTTTTATAGATTTTTCAAATATTTTTGATTATTTGGTCTATAAATAACTAATTATTTCGAAAATATAATTGTATTTCGGGTATTTCGGTTACCCGAAATATTTCGGTTCGGCACCGATTCGGTTACGGTTATTTCGGTTATCAAATTTAGTATCTATTCGGTTATTTTCAAATTTTCGGTTCGATTTGGTTCAGTTTTTTTGCTTCGGTTTCGGTTCGATACATTCGGTTCGGTTTAAAAGCCCAGCCCTATGAAAGATCTTAGAAATTAAATGGGCTTATGAGCTTACACATTTATGGCCAATTTAAATCAGATGTGTGAGTTCTGAGTCTTATGTGAGTTATGGCCAATTTTTTGTCAACTTCCTTAAAAAGCCTTATAGTCTTCATCTTCTGTCAACCCTGTTTTAAGAAAAATGAAAATAAATGTATTAAGAATTAGGGAAATCAAGCTCAACTAATGTTTTTTTTTTTTATTGTCTTTCAATTGTTCTCATCGACCAAATTCTCTAAACTTTTAAAACTACATTGCTACTATCAAACGAAATGAACATTTTTATTTAACAAAATATGTTTTGTTACAATTAATGTCAAATTAGAAACATGCCGGGTTATGCTAGAGCATAGTACATGCCTTATCCCGAAATATCTTTTTTTTTTTTTCTTTTTTTTTTTTTTGTAAACCATCCCGAAATATCTATAAGTAGAAACCTAACCCAACAGCCAAAACACCGACTCCAATAAAATCAAAATCAAAATCAGTCTCTTTATTAATTATTATTACACAGACACCCAAATCTTTCAACAAGTTTTAAATATAACCCTTCAATGATTGAGATCGTCATATTTTTCTCCAAAGTAATTAAAACCTTCTCGTCTTAAATGTCTTGAATCTTCTCTTCTTTAAAGCAAAAACCACAATCACATAGCCACTTGTTTCACTATCTACTTCATCCATACATTCACCACAAGCCCGTGATGGCCTGATCTGCTTCCTCCTCCTCCATAATTCCTGGGTTTCAATTTCTTCAAAGGTGAATGCTTTTTATTTTCTAAAGTTTCCATTTTTGTTAAAAAAAAATAAAAAAAATTGAAGTCAAACACTCTGTTCCATTTTTGGGGTTCTTATAAAAAATAAAAATGGGTGATAACATTTTCTCTAATCTTTCATTGTATGGGTTCGTTTAGATTCCGATCGTCTTCACGTCGAAGTACACAATCTGAAACCGATCATCAATTGGGGTTTATAATACCTAGAATCAGTAGAAAATATCGATCATTGAGCTTCGATTCTGGTCTTCGTTTGATTGTTTCGCTTTCGGATAATCAGAGCTTTGAGTCTCCGACAAGGTTGGTTATGTCATCTTCTGTCTCAAACTCGGACCGGAAGATTGTTACTGGTCCCGCAGGTTATATTCTTGAAGACGTTCCTCATTTCACCGACGACTTCCCTGATCACCCTGTACGTCTCTGGTTTTTTAATTTCAATTGATAATGTGAATTCTGTAAATGAGAGCGGGAAAAAGTCTGAAACTTTATATGTTTATGCTTTAAAGTTACCTTTTTTACTAACCCAATTGTGAGTTCTTCTCTGATTAAATCGATTGTTTGTGTCTTGTGATGTTTCAGACATATCCAAATCCATTACAAGACAACGCAGCTTACTCTGTTGTTAAGTAAGTTACCGTTTCTTTGGTTTACCTCAGTGAACTTAACTTTCTTTCCTTAGTCGATTTCGAAATGTGTAAAGCTTGTTGATTGATGTCAAATTCAATGTGTTTTCAGGCAGTATTTCGTCGATGAGGATGACACGGTTCCTCAAAAGGTAACTTTTACACTCTCTCCTTTAGCCGTTAACATTTCGTCTCTCGTTAATGAAGATTCGGGTTTCGCCCTTTTGCAGATAGTAGTTCATCCTGACAGTCCTCGGGGAACACATTTCCGTCGTGCAGGACCACGTCAAAGGGTATATTTCTGTCTTTTTTGTATCCGAAGAGTCTTGCTTGAGAAGGTGAGTGTAAATGGAAGTTTTTGTTTATGCAGGTTTACTTTGAGTCGGATGATGTTCTTGCTTGCATTGTTACGTGTGGCGGTTTGTGTCCCGGGCTTAATACTGTGATCAGAGAGATAGTTTGTGGTTTATCTTACATGTATGGTGTCAAGAGAATCCTCGGAATTGATGTAAGTCCCATCGCTTTAGTTATTCTTTCAGAATTGCTCTCAATTTTTTAGCTCAATATATTAATTTTGTGATCAAATTTGGTTTCAGGGAGGTTACAGAGGATTTTACGCGAGAAACACAATCCATTTGGACTTAAAGACAGTGAATGATATTCACAGAACCGGAGGAACCATCCTTGGGACTTCAAGAGGCGGTCACGACACCACCAAGATAGTAGATAGTATTCAAGATCGTGGGATTAACCAGGTTCTTGATTTACTTATTTCACAATGAATCAGGATTACATTGAACTGGTGTTAAATACTCGTCTGTTTTGGGAATTCACCAGGTTTATATAATCGGTGGAGATGGATCACAGAAAGGAGCTGCTGCTATATTCAAGGTAGGCAAAATTTCTTCTGATCAATACATTGCGTTGGTTATTTCTTTAATGACTGTCTCTGCAGGAGATTAGGAAACGCGGGCTCAAAGTTGCGGTTGCCGGAATCCCCAAAACAATTGACAATGACATTCCTGTAATTCTTTTTCCCCCAATGGTTTGAGATTTCGAAATTGTAGCATAGTTTCGTATGGTTGTTCGAGATAATGACTGTTTGTTCTTTTTTGATACAGATTATCGATAAATCTTTTGGATTTGACACAGCTGTAGAAGAGGCTCAACGTGCTATCAATGCAGCCCATGTCGAAGCTACAAGCGTTGAGAATGGTATTGGTCTTGTGAAGTTAATGGGACGGTACAGCGGTAAGCAGTTTCCCTAGACTAGGTAGATTTCACCCAAGTTTAGCTGAGCACCGAAGAGATGTTTACGGATTTTTAAGGATTTGTGCAGGATTCATTGCAATGTATGCAACTCTAGCCAGCCGAGATGTGGACTGTTGCTTAATCCCGGAATCTCCATTTTTTCTTGAAGGCCCAGGCGGGCTTTTTGAATTTATTGATAAACGGCTAAAGGAGAGTGGTCACATGGTGATTGTAATTGCAGAAGGCGCGGGACAAGATCTGTTGGCTGAAAGCATGGAAGAGTCCACAACTCTGAAAGATGCCTCTGGAAACAAACTTCTACAAGACATTGGCCTATGGATCTCCCAAAGGATCAAGGTTAACATATTAACATTCCCGGAAAACAGAGGATTGCTTGAGAAAAAGACCGAGAAAATGATTTTGCTTTCCTTTATCTCTTCTTATGCAGGATCATTTTGCCAAGAAGATGACCCTTACCCTCAAATATATAGGTGAATAGATATCTTATGAGTTTTTCTTTTGGGTCTGTGGAAAATAATAGATAAAGATTGTTTTTTGGTTACTTTCAGATCCAACCTACATGATACGGGCTATTCCGAGCAATGCATCAGACAATGTATGCTGCACACTATTAGCTCAAAGCGCGGTTCATGGGGTGATGGCTGGTTACAATGGTTTCACTGTTGGCCTTGTCAATGGAAGACATACGTACATTCCCTTTTATGTGAGTCTCAGAGAACCAAATCCACTGAACCAAAAGTAGATCCATTGTAGGATCAAATACACATCTGGAATCAATCTGAGCATCTCTTACATATTCGATTACTTTTGTCGATTTAGGATTCCTAATAACATGGTTTGAATATTTGTAGAGGATCACGGAGAAACAGAACAAGGTGGTGATCACTGACAGAATGTGGGCGAGGCTTTTGTCTTCGACGAACCAACCGAGTTTCATGAAGCAGGACAAGATCCACTCAAACCAGTTGGTTGGTGAACCAGGGACCATGAAATGGTGATCAAGACTGTCTACAAAAACATTCGTTTGTGGTTTGACTTGAGGAGATCTTTGTTTGGGAAGTAAGGTTTCTTTATTTAGTAGAAGCTTTTTAAAATGTTTGATAGTATTCATCAAGCAAAGAGAAGAGAGATAACTCCTTATGAGAATAATAATGTAATAACTCTTGCTTTGATTTTACTCTTCACCAAATTTGTAATTTACTCTTACAATGAAGATGGTAATGACACTGTTTCCTTTCATTGTCATCTTAACTACAACTTTGCTTCTGTATATATCCCACACTCAATCTTTGAAGCTCATGTAACTTTATTCAACTTTACATGATATAAAATGGGACTTGAATAAGGAGTTTGCAATTAGCTAACAAAGAAATCAAACTGCAGCTGGCTTCCCATCTTTTCGAGGATCACAAACTGCAGTAAGTAAGCCCTTGGATGGTTTCGATTTCTTTCCAATTTTCCTTCCAATTTCAATAATCATCTCTTCTTCTTTTTCTTCCTTGAAGCTCTGAACAATAAGTTGAACAATAGCTCCACCTGATACTGCTTTGAGTTCATGTCCCCTTCCAGCCAGAAACATCTTGGTATCTTCTGAAACCCCTATGTGATCGCCATTGATCGCGGTGAAGTTCTCGTAGGAAACAACATTCGGTATCAACTGCAACAACAACAACCAAAAACCAGTTAGTATTTCATCTTGAATGTTAGTTAGTAACAATCTGATTGTTTTGAAATATGCATACCCTATGGTAAATTCTGGCACTCTCTACTGCTTGTTTAGGTTTCATATTCAACACAAAGCAATTAAGGAACACTTGAAGCACCGCCGGAATTATATGCATTCCGCCAGCTCCTCCAAGCGCTGCCACGAACTCACCATCCTGCGGTAAGAAAAACAACCGCGGGTTTTCATGGACCGCGGTTAGATCTCATAGTATGAGATTATGAGTTATAGATAACACGAAAAGTAGATAAATACTGATGGTGGACCTTGGTGATCACGAGAGGTGTCATGGAAGATAATGGTCTTTTGTTTGGTTCAATGAAATTTGTAGGCGCTGGAGGAAGCCTGTCGGGAGTGATTTCCGCAGGTACCGAGAAATCATCCATCTCGTTGTTAAGTACAATTCCGGTGGAAGGTGATAACACCCCGGCACCAAAACCGTAATTCACGGTTGAGGTCATCGACACACTGTTTCGATCCGCATCCACAATGCAGAAATGACTCGTCCCTTGGTCCCTAAGTTGGCTCCACCGGTTCAAATAGTACTCGGGTGGGAATGTCGTATTGTCGAAAATCCTCTTTCGGATTTCTTCCGCGTGAGTCTTCGAGAGCATTTGGTTCATAGCGTTTGTTATGTTAACGAACCCAGGGTCTCCGAGATCCATCCGAGCTGCGAACATATGTTTCATTGCTTCTATCAATCGGTGCAGCCCGAGATGACTTCCCGAAGTAGTGTAAAGGTTCGAGTAACTATCCAAGATATCAATAACCATCGAAAAACCGAGTGTACCGCCCGAAGGAGGCGGCATTCCGTGAATCGTATAACCCATAACATCCACAGACATTGCATCGGTAACTAGGACTTCATAACTTCTTAGATCATCCATCGTTATGATCCCTCCCGCCTTTTTCACATCGTTAACTAGCTTCTCACCTATTGTCCCGTTGTAGAACGCTCCCGGCCCTTGCTCAGAAATAGTCTCAAGACTCCGAGCTAGCTCTGGGTTATAGCAAGTCTCACCAGGTTTCAAAACCTGTCCATTTCGTGAGAAGACACTCCGCAAACCCGGATCTTTAAGTATCATCGCAGCGTGGCTAGATATAGCCTTTCCGAGATACGGATGCACCACAAACCCGCCTCGAGCCAACTCAATAGCCGGCTCGAAAAGCGGTTTCCACGAGAGACGGCCATACCGTTTCCAAGCCTCGTAAAGTCCAGCTATCTCTCCCGGAACTCCCATCGACAATGCCCCCAACGATTTCGCACTCGCATCATTCTTATACATATCCTGATTCACCAATTCACAAAACTAACACATTAAACAGAGAAAAATTAGATCAAGAAAGATTAGTTAAAGAAGCTATTACCTTAGAAGCAGCTAATGGAGCAGTTTCTCTCATGTCAAAAGCCTCAGCTTTAGAATCTTTCTGCGAGCTAACAATCAAGAAAGAACCACCACCGATTCCACTCGACATTGGATTAACAACACCAATACATAAAGTAATAGCCACGGCGGCATCCACCGCGTGACCGCCTCTTCTAAGAACAGAGGCACCAATCTCGGAACATCGAGCGTCATCAGCAGCCACAACACCATTCTCTGATTCAACCATGTCACTGACAGTTCCATGGCTAAGACTATGATCATCATGAATTGCTTGTCTTGATAACAAAACTGTTGTACTCTTGTCATTAAAGCTAAAACCTATGAATTTTCAGAACACAAAAATCACAAGTCTAGTAAAACAAAAAAAGATGTTGACTTCTACGTTAATGAGTAGACAGAGAAGAACCTGAAGTTGCTACAAGAATCAGAAGAAGCAGAAAAAGAGCAAGCTTTAGATAGTTGCTCTGCTTCTTCTTCTTCTTCTCTGCGACTGTTTCATGGTCGATGCACAGAAGAGGATCGGCGATGATTGCGTCACCCATCTTCTATCTCTTTTCCCTTTCGATCTAGGAGAGAGTAAATGAATGGAGTTTAAAAAAAAAAAAAAGAGTTTTGTTTTTTTGGTTTTTGAGAAAAATGAAAAGATTCTATAAGTTGGTCACTGTTTTATAGATAGTTTTTCCAAGTTGGTGATTGGATTTGGAAGTCTTATTGAACCAAAAAAAAAAACATTTAACACGCCACAGCGACTAAAGTCTGATAGTAACGACTGGTTTAGTAACGTCAACGTGGTTCCCATAGAGCAAAAAGATAATAAAAATACATATAAAAGAAAAATGAATTCGTTGGTATTGTTGTTTATATTAAAACAAAACTATGAGTGATTTTCTACGATTTTTGAATATAAAAACTGCCTCTAGATTTTCGGAATAAATTTTGATTTTAGAAAATGAGAGATATTTTTGAATAAAATGATAAACGAAAAAATGACATTGACATATATATGTATTTGGATATTTTAATGTATAATAATTAGTTATTTCGGTATTCTATTAAATCTAGATAAATTACACATGTTAAATTTGATAAGTGGATATGTTAAATGCGATCTAGTTGATTTGTTAGGTTTTAACATACTAATGGGATTTTACAAGACCTAAGTGTTATCAATTATTGATGTACATATACGGTTTTTGGACTAGAAAATGTCAGATATTGTTAATTTCGGATGACAAAAAAATAAAATAAAAAGTCAGATATTGATTAGATTAGAAAAGTGTTATTTTATTCAAAATATTTGTTGGACTTTTAAAAGAAGAACTGCGCAAAAATCTTTCTGGATCTGTCATGTATAATGTCTAGGTTCATTTGTCAATTTTACATTTTTTTTGTTTTGTCGGCTTGTCAATTGTACATTGGTACAAGTATAAACCACTTAAAATTTAAAATGCAAAGGATTCTACTATTAAATAAAGTTTATTTTCATTACTATTTAAGGATTTCGGTTTAATTTAGATATGAGTCTGCATATAAATTGTACCATATATATTTTTCTCTAATTAATGAGAACAAACGATTCTAACAAAAAAAAATTCATTGTTTATTTTTTTCGGAAAATTTCTTTATTGTTTTGCAAAATTTTTTAATCGATTCTCATTCATCTTCTTCGTGAATCCAAAGAATCTTTGTGCATCTTCAAATCTTTATGTATCTCTTTCCTGCGTGTGGATCGCTCTTGTCCTTCTAGGTTATAGCTGAAATCAAAATCAACGGAGAAGAGAAATTAAATGTCTAGGTTCATTTTGTCAATTGTATATTGTACATAAACCAGTTTAATATATTTCATTTCTATTTCTGGTTAAGGATTGGTTTAACCTAAGTCCGAATATGTATATAAACCATACCATGTATGCTTTTCTCTAATTAATACAAATAAAATTTATTTTAGCCGTTTGGTAAAACTTTCGTCTTTGTTGTCTGCCCATAAGAACCATACAAGTCAAATCATTCCTAGTAAAAGTATGTACTTAAAACATCGCTTTGATTCAAAAGCGCAGCCAACGGGAAATGTATCGCCTATTAATTAAAAACAAAATTTGCTTGATAAAAATAAAAATTCTGTTTTTTTTTTTTTTTGTGTATGCAAAATTCTGTAAGTAAGTGGGACGATAACTATTTAACAAAATACAAATAATACACACCAACGACAGCCACCCCAAACTCCGGTAGTAGCTAGGAGGACTTTTCCAAGATCTTCTAAAAAAAGTTATTAATCAAATTTATGATTCTGAAATTTCTTACACTAACAAAAAACTGGTATTAATATTTAATGTATATCAAAGTGATAGTATACAATAATGCATAAACAAAACGTTTGGACCGACGAAAAATGTATAGAGCGCTTTTTCAAGCTTGTTATGTATCTTTAGATATTTATATCTGCCAACACTATCAACTATCATCAAGTTGAATCAACATTCAACACTATCAATTTTAATTCAACTAGCTTTCATGTTTTTTGTCTTGTTGAAAAGTATTGTAAACTTGTAACACTGTTTCTGTTTGTCGTCTCTCCGTATGTGTAATGTGTTACATTGATGTATTGATGTTTTTTATTTTAGTAAAGATTGATGTAATGATGTTGCTTAGAGTTGACTGATCAACCAAATATTTCTTATGCTCAGTGTTAATTCCGTCTTTAAGTATTGCAAATGTTTTATAGTTCTGGGTATTTATTAAACTTCATTCATTTTGCTTTTACAATACAAGATACTCTAAATATTCTCATAGAAAATGGTTTCCCTTAGCGAAACTACAGAATTATATAGTGTTTATAGTTCGGTAAAGTGTTTTTAGTTCTTATATTGTGGAATCTCTTTTGCAATAGTATTCAAACAAATGCAAGTTTTAGATTTCTATGCTTTAACCAGTAAAGATTTTTGTCAAAAGAAAACCAGGTAAGATTAACATTTAACCATTCAAACCGCTGCAAGAATAGTATAATTCAACTATCAAAATAAAATGACGATAGTATAGCTGTATATATTCGTGCATCATTAACTTGTGTATTTTACTATTTTTCTAGAATGAATAACAATTAATTCGTAAAAAATCGCAAAACTATATCA